GAGAATCTAGGTCGAGAATATGTCGTACGAGAACTATTTCTTCAATCTCTGTAAGTTTTCGAGATTTAGCGATAGAATCTTGTCGTGATAATATTCCATGAGTTCGATTAAGCAACGTCGTATAAGGTACTTTATAGATCCGCGCAACCTTCTTAACTTTTAAATGTGGGTTCGTACGAAGCGTATTTAACGCAAGAATCATATCAGACTCTGTCCAATGCTTAAGCATTTTGTTTGTTAAGAAAAAACGCGCTCTGAATAAGTTTGTGGAGTGCCAAGAAAAAAAATCCATTTCGCTTGGGAATCCAACTCGCTTGTGGACAACGTTATATAATACTTATATTAATAATAAATAAGAGTCTTAAGAAAGATTATATAATAATAGCTATTCTATAATTAGTTCTATATTTCTCTTTATGTAAAAAAAGAGTAATTTTAGATAACTTTCTTAAATTCTTTATTAAAGATTTAGTTATTAAATTTTCTAATAAGTATACTTATTCCATAAAGATTAAGTTTAGTATTATAGTACCTTAGTTCTATAAGGTAGCTTTATAAATTTAAAGTATCAAAATAAGTAAGTTATAACTATTATAAAGGAGCTTTATACTCTAGTTATAAATAGAACTTAAAGAGAGTATTTATTACTTTTTAGAGTAAACATAATTTTAATAAAGTAAGTATTTAATATTAAAGGAAATAATTTAATAAAGTAGATCAAGCGGTTTAAGATATAGCTAGTAATATATAGTTTTACCTAGATTTAAGGCTAGGATTATAATAAAACCTTTATACCTATGATTCGAGTAAATACTTTATAGTTATTTCTTATACTTATTATAATACTTAATCTAAAGATAGTTTCTTTTCATATTAGTAATACTTTTACAGAATCTAATCTAAATAAGAAAGTGTATTTATAACTACTTAATAAAGTTAATACAATAAGAGGCTATAAGTTTTATAAAGCTTATATAAGTTAAAACAAGCTAACTCTGTAACGTAGTATATATATGTTTAAATTTTAGATTGGTAGTATCTACTTTAACTCTTAGTATATAAGCTTATTTCTGCTAATAGTATTATAGCTCTATTGATAACTTATATAATAAACGATTATAACTATAATATAAATAATATTAATCGGTATAATTAAATATAGTTTAAGTTTTTAACTTCTCGAGTTATACGCCGAAATCAGATACTATACTAGTTCTAGCTTCTTAATACTACTATAATTAATATATATATCCTATATAAATAAGCTTTAAAAATAAGCGTTTTTGAATAATTATTACTTAAAGAGAGAATTATAAACCTCAAAATCTAAACGTATATATACTACGTCAAAGGAATATAAGAGTAGAATCTTTTACTATAATTAGAGTTAAAGAAGTAGAGATTCGTATAATCTAAATCGGATTTATATTTATACCTAAACTCGGAGTATTAGATCTAGCTTATAGTTTATATTGATAATGTGACGGTTATGGTCACGAGGGCTGGATGTCACATGCTCGCTTAGCGAGGCGCTAGCGCGCACGACCTGTATTTAGTTCCCAGCTCTCTCGAGCTCTCCTTCTTTCCTCGTCTTTTGTCCTAAGAATAGAGTGTTAATTGTTCTGAGTTCTACCTGAAGCACGTCTGTCACATTACAAAAGACCCTTAGTTGAGGCTAAGTATCCCAGGTCTAAGTTCACGTTCACGTCCAAGTTCAGGTCCACGATCTTACGTCTCAATTCTCACGATTTCTACCACTTTCTTGTGCGCAAGAACCCTACACTTTACAACACGACGAAACCTCTTCTTTTTTCGACTTCTCTACAATGGATGCCCTTCAAGTTCAGTCCGCCATCGCTGAGTTGCAAGCTGAAGTCCAGCGACAGCGCGACGAGATTCACTTACTCCGGTCAAGAACATCCGCAAAGCCTAAACCTTCCCTCCCAGACCCTGACAAATTCACTGGCCAGGCTCATAAATTCGACACCTGGCTTCCCTCAATCAAAGCAAAGCTACGAGTCGACGGTACAGCTATTGGAGACGCTATTGCGCAGTTCTACTACGTCTACCTCAACCTTGACTCCCACGTCCAAGCCATGGTCCTTCCACAGCTCTCTCAAGCAGAAGACACCCAAAGCTGGGACTACCAAACAATCCTCGAACAGCTCGCGCGCGTGTACGACAATCCAAACAAGGTACAGGAGGCGGAAGACAAGCTATTTGCCCTCAAGCAAGGTGCTGACTCAGTCCCTACATATATCGCCAAGTTTGAGCGTGTCCTTTACGAAGCAAGAGGTCAGGACTGGCCAGATGTCAACAAAATTTCCACCTTTAGGAATGGCCTTAATTCTACTCTTCGCGGACGACTTTCTCAACAACTCAACCTACCTCGCGATTATACTACATTCATACGCGTCGTACAACAATTAGCAGGCCGCTTCTCTTCGTCTACACAACCTACACAGTCCTACTCCTCTGGCAACCACCACAGCGAACCAATGGACATAAATGCTTTTAGCATCAATTCCATCGACCCATCCTCTCCTCCACGCGCTCGCTCTATTTCCCCTGAGCGTAGAGATCAATATAGAGCTGAAGGCAGGTGTGTACGATGTGGCTCCTTGGAACACTGGGTCAACGATTGCATACTCCGTCCTTTCTCACCAGGACCACAAGGAAGGAAATCAGCCATAGATTTGGGGGATCTACCAGCTGGGGAGGCATTCCCAAAGCCAGTACGAAAGCAGATTGCAAGACCAGGCAGAGTAGTAATAGCAGCTATGAACGACAATGCTTACGATAGCGCGGAGGTAGATTCGGACGATCCTGACCATCCAGATGCCTGGCAAAAGGGTATTTTTCACAATTAGTTCAGATTTTCAACGCTCGGGGCGAGCTCTTTTTAAAGGGGGGGGTGATGTGACGGTTATGGTCACGAGGGCTGGATGTCACATGCTCGCTTAGCGAGGCGCTAGCGCGCACGACCTGTATTTAGTTCCCAGCTCTCTTGAGCTCTCCTTCTTTCCTCGTCTTTTGTCCTAAGAATAGAGTGTTAATTGTTCTGAGTTCTACCTGAAGCACGTCTGTCACAGATAATATATAGGCATAGGCGGCTATACTAAAAATAGTATCTCTTAAGTATTTCAATAAAAAGTTAAGTTTAAGGTTTAAGACTAAGAACCTAGGAAAGACTTCTTATATTTTAGAAATAAGAGTTATTTATTATAGGGTAAAGTATACTATTACTTTATGTGAGGGTTGGAACCCATGATGGAGGCTCGGGCCATGCCCTCGCTAAGCACTGACCAAAGTCCCCGCTTGGCACTGGCCATTACCCCACCGCCAAACAGGTTTCCACCATTCCACACTTTCTTGTTTTGTTCTTCTGACATCATGTATTCGTCATTCAAGTTTCTTGCAAGTTTCTTGGAATATTCAGGAAGCTCTTCCTCTCTCTATACATAGAGGAAGAGCTCGCATGTATGTAGTCTTCACGCACTTCTTAATTCAATATTCGAAACCACACCTTTGAGCTGTTCAAGGTCTTGCCTCTCACACTTAGTATTATTAAGGTATTAGAACTAGATTATATCTATATACTAAATTAATTCTACGCGAGGGTACTTAATCCTAGTTAGAGTTTACGCCGGACTATCGAGGAGATATCTAGAAGGGATGTTTATTTATAAAAGAAAATGAAAAATTACTAGAGAAACCGGGTACAAATTTTAGTAACTTCGTAAAAAGAATAAAGAAATATAGAACAAAGTAGATATAGAAATACTACTTGAGAATTCACGTTACTCCTAGAAGGTATCATGTGTTTTTATTCTATTATACAAATACAATAGACAAGTACAGAGTATTAAAGTGTCTAGGAACAGACGTAGTACTCCTTGACGCGTCTATTCCAGACAGACATCTGCATATACCATTTAACCACATCTACAAAAGCATCCGGCGTGGGTCCTCAATGTATTCCTTAACCTTTACCAAAAACTGCACGGCTTCTCTTCCATCCAACAGACGGTGATCATATGTCAGAGCAAGGTACATCATAGGTCTAATCACGATTTGACCGTTGACGACGACAGGCTTCTCTTTAATAGCATGCAGTCCGAGAACTGCGGTCTGTGGAAGGTTGATGATTGGGGTTCCCATCAACGAGCCAAAGACACCACCGTTGCTGATGGTGAAGGTACCGCCGGCCATATCCTCGATTGTGAGTTTATTGTCACGAGCCTGAAATCAATTAGCAGGGTTTGGCATGGGATATCCGGCGTTAACAAACCTTCTTGCCAAGATCCGCAATGGCCTTTTCAATTCCAACCAGGTCCAAGGTCTCCGTGTTTCGAACAACGGGTGTGACGAGTCCCTTCTCGGTGGCCACAGCAACACTGATATCAACGTAGTCTCTGTAAACAATCGTATCTCCCCCATTTTCACCCTCAATCGAAGCGTTCACGCCGGGGAGATCTCTCATGGCGAGAACACAGGCTCGGGAGAAAGCGCTCATGAAACCAAGCTTGACACCAGTCTTCTTCAAGACATCGTCCTTGTAGAGTTTGCGGAATTCCATCAGTGATGACATATCCACCTCGTTGAAGGTTGTGAGAGAAGCTGCGGTGTTTTGGGATTGCTTTAGGCGCTCAGCGATTCTCAATCGCATACGGTTCATCTTGACCTTCGGAAGAATTAGCAGGAGTTTCTCCAACGCTGTATTCAATTACTCACCCGTCGCTCTTCACGGCTACCCAGGGTGGGGCCAGAACTGGCAGACGTGGCATCCTCCTTCTTAGGCTCTGGCTTTGATTCTTTTTTGGGTGCTGCGTCCTTCTTTGGCTCGGATTTTGGTTCAGGTGGAGGTGGACTCGACTCGGATTTTTTGGATGGCTCTGGGTCTGAAGATGTTGGCTGGTCTTTCGAGGCAGATTCCTTGGGTGACGATTCGGCCTCTTCCTTTGCACCACCTTCCGGTGCTCCCCCAAGCTCGATACGGACCAAGTCCTGTCCAACAACGACGGTATCCTCCTCATTGGCAAGGAATTCTTTGATAGTACCGGCCTCTGGGGCATTGACAGAGACATCAATCTGCAAGTTAAATGGTTAGCATTCGTTTAATTCAATATCCAGTACCACCACGTCCAATGGCCGCAACGTGTGTGTAGCTTGCCTTGTCGGTTTCAATAGTGGCAATCTCCTCATCCAACTCAACATAGTCGCCAACTTGTTTCGACCATTGCTTCAGTGTCCCTTCCGAGATGGACTCAGCCATCTGGGGCACCTTGACAACCTTATCCGCATACGAACGAAACTGCTGGATAACTGGATTTGGGTATCGTAGATGTGGCGCACGAGATGAGCGCACGAAGCGCGATGCGACTAGAACTCTCCTTGAAAGCATAGCTGTCGATGTGGAGGAGGCGGGCGGAGGGAAAATGCGATGCGATGCGAATAAGTGGTATGGAAAAACTCTGGGAATTGACTTTGAAAGGAGACGACGTAAAAAGATGGTCAGCAGCGCAAGAGCCAGCAGCAGTAGCAGTAGCAGCAACGGCACCAGTGAGGATGAGCTTCGGACAGAGACGGGCCAGGGCAGGGCAGCGCCCAGCAACCGAGCGTCCCGCTGGAGAGGCTCGTGAGAGGGGAGCCAGTGAGCCAGTGAGCCACCAGCACCGAGCCACCACAGCCTTGGAATTCTGCCAAGTGCGAGTGACACTGACACCTCCAGAGCCTCAGCTAGTCGGAATACAAGCTGCTCGCTCCCTCAACTACATCCCTCCCCACCCCAATCAACACTGCCATTGACGCCGCCCACCACACCTGAGTCGAGCATCGGCCCATTGACCAGAGAGCTGTGGATGCAAGCTACCATTTGATACCGGAATCGCTGCGAAAAGCTCCTCTCGGTGTGCTGCACAACCGCCACAATGTCCACCAAGGCCGCCGTATCGTGAGTTCTTTTGCGCCCCTCGACGGGACTTGAGCACCTTGGAGGTGTGCTAATGCTTCCCCAGATCCCTCTATCGCCGGTCATTGAAGCTGGCCCTCAACTGGTCCGTCAGCCGACATCTCTGGAGAGGACAAGCCATGTACCTCCGATCGTTATTTGATGCCCAAAAGGACATTCGCGATCCAAGACAACAGAAGGCAAGCTGCACGGCAACGACTGGAGTGGTCTCAATCTAATTAGGTGGTTTCTAGGCTCTGTTTCAAGAGGCAGAAGATTTATTGGAGAAGTGGAAGCACCCCGACCCATACGCTCACCCAACAGCACCAGGAGGTATGTTTGGTTCTTCGACTCGATTGATTGCCGATATTCTGCCATGTATGTTGGAGAAATGCTGACTTTATATCAACAGGATCCAAATACGAGCGCAATATCCCTGCACCCCATTTGGACCGTAAGTACTCTCTCTGTTGTATACCAAATTCGACTAATTTATTCTCTAGCCCCTCCTCACATTCAGAAGTAGCTTAGAAGTGGAAAAGATCGAGTGGGAATCTGTATATGTACATAGCAGGAGAAGCAAATTACCATGACATTGCTCCGTTTTTGATATTTCGTTCTACTATCACTCGCAACTTAAATTGGAAGTATTTAATTCTTTGCCTTGAATCCATCATTCATCAATAAATGCCATACGAATACAAATTTGAATGTATATATTAATTATGAAGGAATGATTCAATTACAAACTCGTCAAAACAGTTCATTTTCGATATAAACGAATTATTAGCGTAATGTATCTCTTCCCCAAAGCCCATTGCAAGCTTGACAAATCGCATAAGCCTCGACTCAGAAAGGAAGTATTTTCACTTCACAAGACGTCCATGCTTCAAAAAGCGTCCGAGATAAATATCGCAAGAAAGCCAAACGCCCAAATATCCAACAAACAAAAAGCCACCCGCATGCTAAGGTACCAATTTGGGAATGGTAATGAACCCAGAAGCCATGGAAGACGCGTATAGTGCCGAAAACAAAAAAGACAGAAGATACCAAAATGTTGAAGAAAAAATGCAGTGGAACCAAAAGTAGAAATAGTTGTTGATCGGTTTCTCATAAGATTGTCTCTCAATAGCAATCCCAATCCATTGCCATGGATTTTAATGTACAACCAGAACGCAGAAAAAGCAGCCGTAAACCCAAACCCATACGACACCCCATTATCATGATGAAAAGCAGACCCTCAGAAAACCCTCCAGCGCACAGAACAAATAATCTATAGCTCTTGGCTGCCAGCTGCCTTTCCACCCTTCGTAGTCTTCTTTGGCAACAAGTCTGGAGAAAATGTTAGTATTTTGAGATGAACCGCCGAGGATGGAAAACGTACTCTGGTGAATGTTTGGCAAGACACCACCCTGGGCAATTGTGACGTGTCCAAGGAGCTTGTTCAACTCCTCATCGTTTCTGATGGCGAGTTGAAGATGACGTGGGATGATACGGGTCTTCTTGTTGTCACGGGCGGCGTTACCAGCCAACTCGAGGATTTCAGCTGCTAGGTACTCAAGAACGGCAGCGAGGTAGACAGGGGCACCTGGAAACCGTATTAGTATGTGCGAATTGGGTGGCAGACAGAGATGGACTTACCAGCACCAACACGTTGAGCGTAGTTACCCTTTCGGAGAAGACGGTGGACACGACCAACTGGGAATGCGAGACCGGCCTTGGATGATCGGCTGCGCAGATGGGTTAGTAAATGCGGCCATGCTTGAAAGTGACTTGAGATGCAGAAATCGAAGTTGGAGGTCGAGATGTGGTGCAGATTCTGGAAGCAGGCGCGTCCAAACAACTCGATCCAAACAACTCGATCCAAACAACTCGATCAATGGATCGCGATGGAGAAGGAACTTACGATTGCGCGTTCTTGGAGCCGCTGGCCTTTCCTCCGGATTTGCCTCCAGTCATTTTGAAAGTTGGGTTGATTTAAAAAGGTTGGGAAGTGGTGGAGGGAGTGGAAGTAGATGCTGGGAATGATGGATGCTGGACGTGTATGTTGAGTTGGCGATGAAAAGTTGGATGGAGGAGAGAGTTGACCTTGGGGGGGAGACGTTTGCATTTGTAGCTTGCCGGGCGTGATGCGGGAGTCGCTAATCACTGGCACCGCCTGGGGGATCAATTCCCAAAGTCTAGTGCGGGCACGGCAGGTGCGTGTGGGCAACGCAGCTGCAGGGAGTGGCGCGCGTGTTGATTGGCTGGATCCACTCAACGCGCACCTTGCGTGGGTCGGATCAGTGCCAAGCCAGCGTCCCGGCCACCCAGAAAGCGCGCTTTTTGCACTGTGGCTGCCTCAGGATGGCTGGGAAACCAAAACAGCAAGCGCGCCCCAGCCACGCTAGGCCTTTTTGGTCGGACGTGGCCCGTGATTGCAATCACTGCGCTAGCTTGCGCAGAAGTACATAACCTCGATGACAGCTCTCAACCATCCAATCCCCAATTCTACTTCCCAAATATCAACACCATCGCCCACATCTGCCAACTCACGTCTTCCACCACTTCTTACATCTCAATACCCATACCCAACCCACCCTCCAACACCCAAATCCACAACATCTTTCAAAATGCCACCAAAGGCCGCCGAGAAGAAGCCAACTGCCAGCAAGGCACCAGCAAAGGCACCAGTCGCTGAGAAGAAGGAAGCTGGCAAGAAGACCGCCGCCACTGGCGAGAAGAAGAAGCGCACCAAGACCCGCAAGGAGACCTACTCCTCATACATCTACAAAGGTACGGATTTCCTCATCTGCCAGCTTTTTGGTCGCCTCATTCACGATCGCGTCTTCCGTCTGGAGTACCAGCTCATTTGGACCTCATCTTCAATGGCATCCCAAATCGCGCTCTTTTTGCACATTTGCTAATTATCCATTCTCTAGTCTTGAAGCAAGTTCACCCAGACACTGGTATCTCCAACCGTGCCATGTCTATCCTCAACTCCTTCGTCAATGGTATGCATTTCCCACACAGGCTTTCCGCACGTTCCATGTTCTAACAAGCTTTGTAGATATCTTTGAGCGTGTTGCCACTGAGGCCTCCAAGTTAGCTGCATACAACAAGAAATCCACCATCTCATCGCGAGAGATCCAGACCTCGTATGTTACCGCGCCTTCCACATCGTGCTCACATTTACTAACTGCTCCTCCAGTGTCCGACTCATCCTCCCTGGTGAACTTGCCAAGCACGCTGTCTCAGAAGGTACCAAGGCTGTTACCAAGTACTCTTCCTCCACGAAATAGGTGTACTTTTTTCTTCCGTTTTTATCAGGATGTCCGATCTGCGATAGCTTTGGTTCGTCGAACATGGATGACAAGGTATCAGCTCTAGCGGGGTTTGGGTCCTTGGGGTTCTTTTTTAATGCGTTATGGATGGTCTGCTTTTTTTTACGGGGGCAAATGTCTTCACGGTCTGCTTTCGGGGTATGCGGCTGTACAATAAAGTCTTCAGAATAGGGAATCAGAAGACAAACAATTGAAACATGAACATCATAGTTCTGTTCTCTTCATGCTTTGTTTTCCTCTATGTTTGTACCTCAATTTTGGTCACTTCCAGGTTTAAGTCAACACTCATTTGAACGCTACTTGTCACTTGAACCGCTTGGTTGGTTCGGCGCGCCTAGGCGCGTATTTGACACCTGCTTACATTTTAGGCTGGTTTGTTATGGCTGTAGGCGCAATCACCCCTCTTGATTTTCACCTTTTGAAGTGTTAAATCAGTGAAGTTGCCGCAGCCAGCATTTCAGATATTCTTGAAATTTGATTTCTTTGCGTTGAAGAAATGAATTTGAGATGTAGTTTGCTGATCAATTATTTCTAACTCTACAAAGTCCCAAATCCATAATGTGGGGACCATCTATGATACAAATGACGCAATCAACCCAAACCATCGTTGGCTGCATCAACCCAATCCAGCTTTGGTGGTTTTTACAACATGCGAAACAGGCTGCAGAATACCCTTGTTATTGATAGCACCCAAAGCAGTTCCAGAGCTCCAACCCATCTTCTCCAACATTGCGCGGCCTTTGTTCTCAACTCCAAGCTCTGGTGCAGATCCTCCCACGACATCACCATCTCGATAGCTTGCAGCAGCACCACCATATCCGCCTCCACCATGTACAGGTCGAGGTCCTCTCTTTCCACCAACATCCATTCTTGGGAGGAAACGACGGGCCAACTTTGATTCAACATTGTCAAACATGCTCTCAGAATAGAATCTGGTTCCTCTAGTCCGGTACAGAACTGGAAAGCGTTGATCTCCTTTGCCAACCGATTTGGATTTCAAATTGAAAGCATTAGCAAGTTCGTGGACGATCTTTCTATTCGCCTTATCCATGGGTACGAGCAAAAGACTATGGGAGTCAGTATGTATTTACAGCTCGCGGTTGTCAGTACCCACGTGGAATCATTGCCTTTCAAGAACTCTTTGATGGCGTCTTTGACATCATGAATGGCCATTCCTTCCCTGAACTTGGCTTTCATGTCAACCTTGCCGTTTTTGCTACCCAGTAGACCTTGAGCACGCAACTCTTCTCGCTCCTGCTTTCGCTCCTTCTTCTTGACTCGATCGTTGTCCCAAGCCTTTTGCATCACAGCCTCGAGCTCAGAATCCGAATTTTCGATTACAAGCTTACCCTTCCGGCCTTTGGGCTTCTTCTGGAGGCTTGGGCGCTCAAAGTCCATTACATCAAAGTTATCGTATGCATCAGCGAGAGCAGTCGCATTGGGAAATTGACCTTTTTCGGGGTTGGGGGCATGGATCTTTGGTTTTCTGTTTCTAGAACGTCTTGAAAAGCCGGTGAACCCATCGTCCTCTGCGATGCCCGCCTCGCCATCAAAAAGTAGTAGCTCATCTGCGTATGTGAATTAGTTTACTGTTGCAGTGAATAAACGAAAGTGCCCAGCGTAAGGAACGCAATCAAGCGCCGCCCAGGGAACGAACATTGATTAATGCAGAATAACTTACTTGAATCAAAACCGTATTGCTCTTGTTTTGCGAACATCATTGCGATCTTTTCATCACTCATTTTGGCAACCTCGCGTTGGGGAATATCACCGTCTTGTTCGTCATCCGAATCCTCTTCCGACGCACTTGCAATCTCAGCCATATTTTTCCTAGTTTCCTCTTCCTCAGCCTCCCAGGCTCCAATCATGGCTGCAGTACGATTGCCTGTCAAAGCGGCATGTCTGACCCATTTGGCCTGATCAGTACTCTGGTTCTCGTAGACAACAAGATAGGCGACACCGCTAGCTCTTTCCCTCTTGTCGAGTATGGTTTTTAACTCTCCGTCTTCATCGTCCGATGTGCTCAAATCACCAAAATCACGAATATCCGAGGCATTCCACTCATCTGGTGAAGGTCCATTATCCGGAATAGGCTCATCAGAAAAGACCTCATCCTCTTCTTCGACATATATATCGTTTTCATCTCCTTCCAAATCTCGAGCGCCAAACTTGTTGGTAAATGGGGTGTCCTCGTTGCTTTCATTTTGCATGTTTGCAATATAATCAGCGAGCATTGCGTCATCCTCAATGTCCCGGCTTTGCATAGCGCGTTTGCCTTTCCTACGTGATCCACGTTTTCTGTTTCGGATTTTACGGGGGATCAATGGGATTTCGAAATCAGTACTTGGATCGGAGGTTTCAATGATTGGCTTATGCTCCTATATTGAGGTATAGTAGTCAGTTGGCATTCTCTGGGCACGTATTTCGACAGACAAGATTGAGAGCGAATTGACTTACCAGTTCTGGGGGTGCGACACTATGATGGCGAACTTCCTCCAGCAGTTCTTGACGCTCGTGGATTTTTTCCTCAACCACCTTTATTTGGTCATCTATCGTGCTGGCCCGCGCAACTCGAATTGGTTTGGGTGGCAGAACCCTTGGGGCAACACCGCGACCTCGGAATAAAATGATCTCCTCGCTAGAGTCGGATGGAGTTGGGCTAGATGGTCGAATTTCTGGTGCACCCAACCCAGTAGCGACTGGCTGACTTCCAAGTGTGTCAACTACGAAAAGTGGAGGTTCTTCATCAGATAGAGGCGAGGGGGAGAGAATGGGTCTTTGTGTTTCTGGTGACGGTTCATCCTGATCCTCAATCTCCTCCTCAACCTGGACCTCCACTTCCATCTCGTTAAAGTTGATTTGGTCTTCTTGGACAGGTGCGTTCAGAGCCATGTCTGCCATTGCATTCTCATATCCGTCTCCATCATCAACGACAACCTCAATCTGATATTTTTGCGCAGGTGGGTTGCGGGTTATGTCTGCCATTAAATTCTCATCTTCATCATTGAGGTCAACGACAACCTCAATCTGGTCTTCTTGTGCGGGTGGGTTCAAAGTCATATCTGCCATTGCACCTTCTGCATCCTTGTCGCTGTCCGATACCTGAGGATCGGTGGGTTGCAATGTTCCTGCATTGACAAAGCTGATCGGTTTGTCTCTTAGTCTTGGAGCCCATTGGGAGGTGTGTCGCTCAGTATTTCTTGCTTCCTCTGCTAGGGTAAAGCCTACTTTAAATGTTAGCGGATATTCCCCATTGAAATTTACTTTCCATTTCGCAAGAACGATTACTTACCATGTCCACTGTTTCTAGCGTAGGGGTCAAAGGAGGAAGGGGATTCAAAGGCTTGATGGGGGCTGCCTCTGGAAGCACCAGCATTTTGAAAGTTGCCCCGCCGATTGCGTCGCTTTGCGCTACGAGGGCCCATGCTGCTTGTGTGAGAGAAAAGGTTGGAGATCAAGCAGGAATCGGAACTCCTCTCCGCAGATCGCAGGGGGAGAGAGGTGCAGATGGCGTAGTGCTAGATCAGTTTGCGGTGATGGTGGGTTGGTACCTGAACCGATATGTATGTTTTCGTGGCGATGGCGACGCAGCTTGAATCCAGAGTTATTAAGTGGAGCTTGACTGTCTTATCGCTTATTGGACGCGATAGTGGTTGTTGCCATGTTCCTGAGGTTTCCAGGCATCAAAGCAACCTGCCCAGGCGGCGGCAGAGGCAATGGCTTGTGACAGAAGTCTCCACTGCTGTCACGCTGAAGGGCAATCTGAACTCATCAGCCACCTTTGGGTGGTGCAGGTGCCTATGCATCCATCCATCAACAATGCCTAGCTGAGTCTACTTTAACAACCTCCTACTAGTAGCACCACTACCACCACACTAGTGTTACTTTTACCACTGTATGCTGCTCACCAAAGGACCTTGACCTCTGAGGTTTAGCATCATCTACATCCTTTATACTTAGCAAATAGCTGTGTGCTGCTTGGGAGATACAAGCACAAGCACAGACACATCCACACCACAAATGCCCCGCAGCCCACCTGCACCTCCACGCTTATAGCAAGACACCGCTACGGCTATAGTGACAGTGACGACGACAGCGACGGCTACGGCTACGGCTCATCCCAACTCTTTAGTGCCAGGCACACCCATACTCGTACCATCCAGAGACCACGATGGATCTCGAGTTTGGTCGTCTGAAGCAGCGGGCCTTGGAGTTGATCTTTCCTGGAGCACAACTCACCAACGATGTTGCCTCTACATCGCCCATCTGGTGCTTAGGCCAACAGTACGATCGCTCAGAAGCAGCGCCCACCAGCCTCTCCCATCCTTCTCCCTCGGGCAGTAGTGCCGCTCATACTCGTATCACCTCTTCCTCCTCGAAACCAGCTACACCGCCCGAAAGTACCGCCAGCAGCAGCCTCGACTCGAGGTCGGCATACGATGAGGCGAGGAATACAAATTCCGAGGGAGATTATGGCTGGCCACCTTCCTTCCTGGACGATTTCGAGGCCAGGATATGGCTCACGTATCGTTCCAATTTCCCGGCCATCCCAAAATCTTCGGATCCAGCGGCGACCATATCATTAAAAGTACGGCTCAGTTCATGGGGGGATCAGGGAGGATTTACTTCTGATACGGGATGGGGATGCATGATCAGATCAGGCCAAAGCCTGTTAGCAAACTCTTTGGTGATGTTGAGACTCGGGAGAGGTATGCGGCTACGCCTTTCACATAGAATAGCGGTTCGATGCTAATGGCTATTGCAGGATGGCGTCGAGGCTCTTTGCCTGCCGATGAACGAAAACTCCTATTACTATTCGCAGATGACCCAAAGGCCCCATACTCAATCCATAAATTTGTAGAGCATGGAGCAACGGCGTGTGGAAAGCATCCCGGGGAATGGTTTGGCCCTTCTGCCACGGCACGCTGTATTCAGTGAGTATGCTGCGGACCTTGGCCTTGTGTCGACACTAACACGCTACAGGGCGTTGACCAATGACCATCAATCCTCTGAACTGCGTGTGTATATAACCGGTGATGGTTCCGATGTCTACGAAGAAACCTTCATGAGCATCGCGAAACCCGACGGCTCCAAGTTTATACCCACACTTGTGCTAGTGGGTACAAGACTGGGACTTGACAAGATCACCCCAGTGTATTGGGAGGCGTTAAAGGCAACTTTGCAGATGTCTCAATCCATTGGAATTGCAGGGTATGGTTGGAATTCTGTTCTTTTGGTCTGCAAGCTAATTTGATTACAGCGGTCGTCCGTCTTCCTCGCATTATTTCGTTGGTGTCCAGGGTTCATATCTCTTCTATTTGGATCCGCATCAAACCCGCCCAGCTCTACCCTTACCGGAAGATCCCGAGAAGTACTCACAGGAGGATATTGACTCGTGCCATACGCGAAAGCTGAAGCGGATACACGTGAGCGAGATGGACCCAAGTATGCTCATTGCCTTTTTAATTCGTGACGAGAGTGACTGGAAAGACTGGAGACGGGCTGTTCTGGAGGTTCAAGGGAAGACCGTGATTCACGTAGCCGACCAAGATCCCGCACTCCATGGCACTGCCGGGGAACGAGATGCGGCCATCGATGAAGTCGAGACTTTTGATGATGAGGATGACGATACCATGTGAAATGTTCTTATGAGTGGGTTGTACGGTGTTAGGCTTGGTTTCTCTTCTTCTGTTTTGCGGGGCGTTAGATAGGGATATGGAGGTTCGGATTTAGAGATAGGTTTGTATAACCTCTGTGGCCGCAATACCACGAGCCAAGAAGAATAATAACTTTCGGATCACACTTGTTGTGAGACGCCGACCCAATATCCGAGTCTTGGTGCTCTAATCTTTATTGTTGGTTGAGGGTGGACATCGGGCTGGAGGATTGTCGCTCACTGAAGTATTTTTCTGACCCGAAGCAGCCTGAATTCAAGAGGCTACATTTTCTTTTATTCTACTTTTAAGATTCGGTATATTTGGTTCCTAGAAGGGCAGGAGATATCAACTGGTCTATTGTTGCGAGTATTGATTCTGCCCTTCGTAATTTGTCTTCTGATGACGCTCACACCTTCTCTTTCGGACATGACACTATACTTTGCTCTACTGACTCGAATGTTGACTATTCCAATATTGGAGAATGCATGCCTGGGAGCTACCTGGAACTTACATTAAAGGTACATGATTACCTGGGCCATCAAAAACACAAGCTCTCTGTGAATTTGACTTGAATAATGAATGCATACTGACCCATACTAGGCTGGGCCGTCGGCTTTTAGATAGGGCAGTCAGAGTGGAACGTTGAATTTTCGTGTAGTAAATTTTTTTTAAAATTAGCTTGGTATTCTGCTTGGGAGAAGTGTGGAGGTCGTATTTATTTCTGTTGTGTGATTGAGGTACTGGTTTGTTTTATCTTGGTTACTTTCTTGTTGACGAGATATACCGGATTGAATAGAGATGGGCCATGAGAAGATCTAACCTATACCTAAAATGTGTAAATCTATGATTGGGAATTATATCTCAAATGTCTTAGGGATCTCGGAGTATATTGAGAAATGGTTAAAAAAACCAAAACCCCCCAAAAACAGACTTCTCGAAGCTTAACTACTTGATTCTTTTATACATGAAGTGAGTAAGGTCTCATCATTTACTTCAACTCCCTTGCTGGGAGTACCAGAGTATATGAGAAATCTTATTGGGTTAGCTACAGCATAAATTTCGGACAGGACGCTGATATTTTTAAACACCTGCATTTATTCCCTCGGTCGAGAGAGATACTGTATATCAAATATTAATACAATGAGAAACAACCTTTTTACCCATGTTAGATCAAGCAAGTGACTCGTCTGTCACTCTGAAAACACCTCAAGAACCTATCATGCTACTGTAGAATTTCCTAAACAATCGACTCAGCTGTCCTAAACTAGTTAAGGTTAATAAAGATAAATAAGTTCAGATTCTCCTAAATCGCTTGTATATATATATTTGAGTTATATGAGATTTTAGAATAAGAAATTTTGAATTTAAGAGGTGTCTAAAGCATTGTTCATTTCTCTTACGTAGGCATTGTAAATATTTTATTCTGGAATCCAAGCTTCCCAAATTCCTACAAAGCGAGAACAACTTCTTGCTGGAGTTGGGTATTATCAGGTAACTAAACTGGCAGGGTTAAATGCATGGTATAAATCCTCAATTGGGAGGTCGGCATACTAATTGTAATTGCGTAATCTTCCTGAATATGATAAATATATTAGAAATCAGAAGTAGATTTTATAAATAATACTAGGGTTACTAAGTTAAGTATAAGAGAAGTGGAACCTAGTAGTCGCTTCTATTATATATAAGTGTCCCCTTTCTGGACTCCTCTAATCTATATTTAAAGAAGAAGTATTCGTTCAATATAATATGGTCGGACCTGGACGGGTTCAAAGGCGACAAAGGATGACAAACAAACGCGAGGAACGAAGAGGGCGATGAGAAAAGTTCAATAAGTCAAAAGAAGGAGGAGAGGAAGATATTACGAAGTGGATGTCTCTTATTTTATCGTCGAACTCTTGAGATCACTCCAGCGGTAGATATATACGACAGAGTATACTAGACATGAATTTGTCATTCAACCAGGGAACAATATGAACCTCTACGAATTAAGGGTATGTATTTTACAGAATTATCGTTTTTTAGTGTTCTTCTTTTCCAATATAGCTAAGGAACTGGACTTGATTAATATCGACATTGAAATTACAGAGCTAGGATATAGTTATTCAGAAAACATTGAAAACGAGGGAAGCAATGTTACTAAAATTTTAAATCAGCGCCTCTAAAACTCATATGCTCTACCATATGAAGATAAAAGTCTCACATCTAGTAATAAAACAGCTGGCAATAAACATATACTTCTATTCACCCTCCACCTACATTCCAAGCGAATCCAAAGACTCTGATCCAAGTCTTAAAGCTCCAGAGACAAAAAATAGCAATTTTTACGTTCCTGTAGGATCAAAGTAAACCCAAATAAACTAAATAATTCAAGCCTAATTCTTCTAGTTAAACATAATGGTAAAGTCAAATTACTAAAGTTCCAAATTCATCGAGGTCCTTATTATGAGATGTCGTAGTATAGGTAATCAGAATACTCTGAACCAGCTAACTTGGAAAGATTGTTTAGAATGAGGTAATATAGGTTAAACCGACTTTCCTTATTTTTACTACAGTATCCAAGAGTATTTTAATCAACCGTTGACAGCTAGCTAGCTGGTCGCTATAAATCCTCCTACTATAAATCAAGGCCTGACCCCCTTTTACCCACAGCCAAGTCGCCTTGAAAACCCCATACACAAAACATAGAGTCGAGAATTTGGATGAGAATATAGTGATGGGTATAGTCATTTGTCGTAAGACTTTCTGCCCCGATTTTCAGCTTTTGCAATTTTCGCCATGCAAATGTATCAATTTTAAGAGCCATATTACAATTACGCTGAGAATTCTATACCCTACCAGCGAAAGACATGCTAACTAATGAGCTCCATACCTTGAAATGCTCAAAAAATCGAGAAGAAGTATTCCTTCGATATAAGCCTAGCTATCTCCATAATCGTTTCCACTTGAAAACCCCAGAGCAAAACCAAGACGAGGACTCTTTATAGCGAAAACTACTAATCGAAAGGAGTGATTTCAACCAAAAAGGCATAGCCAACAACGTTGAAATCCCAACATATGAAACGTCCCAAAAATAGCCTAATAAAAGCCTCAGGTCGACGATACTGTGCCTTTTAGGCGGCACAGCAAGATGGAGGGATCGCAGGCTCGGTGCACGATCCTCGCCATACGAGATGCAGTGGGGAGGGTAGTATTAGACCACTGCTGCCTACTACGCCGCTCTCACTTGAGAGGGAGTATATATCCTTTATTTCCCTCTCCATTTCGTTGAAACATTTTCCCAAATCAATATAAATCATCTCTCAAACTCACACTCCCAAAATGGTCCAACAAGCTCCTCCCTCCTCCTCTTCCCGCACTTGGAATGCCCTCCCCTCCCAAAAAGACCTGGCCTTCCGGCGCATCTCCTCCGTCTTTCTCATGGCCGGCCTCTTGACAGTCATTACTCCCTTCCGCCCAGTAACCTGGTTTCTGCCTATTTCCGGACCCGATATCCTCGATCAATTCATCGCACCGCCATTATTCCTCGGTGCCTTATTCGCGCAGTGGCGGATCGCAGGTGTGAGCGGGGCGTTGGTGATAGATGTCATGGATGTAGGATTCGTGTATCATTCTAGCATGTATTGGACTTGTGCGTTTGCTGAATTGTGTATTTGTTTGGGCGTTGGCATGGCGCGGAATGAGTATCTGAGGAGGGGTGCGAGTCTTGGACTTGTAGGGGGACTTTGGGCGGTGGGGTGGGGGTGTACGCCAGTTAGGTATAAGATGCAGGCTTGGGATATTTTGAAATGGGTTTGGTTAGTATTCTTTTTTTCTTTCACCCTTCTTTCTTTCTTTCTGGCCTGGCAAAAGTTTGGGATGTGAGAGAGGTTCACCAAGTAGTAAGCTGACTTTTGTAGGACTATGTTGGCCATTGATCATGCGAGAGCTAGTCTGGGTGGTGGAAGACGACGTTATTGAGGGGTTGGGGAATGTCGGTTATCGCGCGGGAAAGGTTGGGAGTTGGTTTGGGGTTTAAGGAATGAAGACTGGACGTGAAGAAAAATCGCGGCTGCACGACGTTACCAATGGGACGGTGTTTAGGTATCAAAATAGAAAGGAGGTCCTAAGGAGGACGGTATTTTGGTTGCGGTAATACGTAGGTATTTTCGTTCTCATATGAAAGTTGATTTCAATATCGAAAGTCATTACCAAAATGTCGAAAGGGGACTTGAGTACCTTTCGGACTTCTTACCGAAGTCCTCGGATTGTCCCTTTTGTGATCAGCTCAAGAGTATTTGCATACTAGGCAAGTCCCACCGACTACAAACATACAGAATGGACCAAGTAGTAACGACCGTCAAGTGGAGAAACGCCACGCGACAAACTCAAAGTTACTGGCAAGTTACTAGTTTCACACACCAGACGAAACGTGAAACAACTTCAAGAAATCGGTCCTACAATCCAAAGTCAGCTGAGTAAAACAACAGATTCCTGGTTGGGATCCCTTTGAACATCTTCTTCATATCAGCACACGTTTTCGAGAACCACAACCAGGTAAACCTCGTCAGTGGTCAATCAAAAAACATGCGGTACGGATCATGCAACCTTCCTAATACATACACTCCTCCGTGAACCAGACCTCCAAAGCTTCCCCGTCATAATAACTTTTCCACCCCACCTTACTGGCACCTCACATGGCATTCATTAACATTCGGCTAGCATATCCGAATCCGTAAGAGCATGTTGGCAATCCCGCGGGCCCCGTGGGGCCTCCTTTCATATCTAAAAATGCCATTCGCTGGACTTTTTTTTCTTTTTTCCTAGAAGAGTCAAACTCTAACATTTAAGATAATCCTTGGGGTTTTTTTCGCTATTAGAGTTTGATGGAGGTGAAGAGGTAAGCATATTTGAGGTAAGTCATCCGTTGGCGAGGCTTGGACTTTGGCTTGGATGTGTCTGTTTAGTTGCGGTACTTTGAATTCAAGGCTTGGAAGTTAGACGAGCCACCAGTAAGTGCCGATAGGTACGAAGCATTCTTGTTCTGATCACTTGAGGTGACGTTCCATGCTTGTATTATATTGATGAATGCCAACGACGCGGTTCTGGTGGCAACCAAACCAACCGCCACTGGCGGTCGAATGAGTTCGCTTCGGATTCTTCTAGAATGGCGAATGGAGACTGGAGTTGCATGCAGCTTCAGGGAGAGACGTGGGAAAAACGTGTGCTTGATTCTGCAGATGCAATGCACGAAATAATGGTGTCAAATTGAAGATAGCTGGTTGATGGATTCCCCATCTGGGTTCTTGTAGAGAAGATGATGATTCGTTGGTACAAACTCAGCCTCGCAAATACTCCAGCAATATGGCAAAAAGAGAAAGAGAATCTAAAGATAGAAAACAAATCCGATCAAAATGAAGACATTCCTGCAAACAAAATCATCTACGTCAAACCAAATTCAATAGAAATGAAACCACAAACACTGCCACCGCTTCCAGGTTTTCGAACTCGGCCAACCCGACTTCGTAGTGGCAAGGCCACCATCGGTAAGGCTGAGATGCCTCCATCACATCTCACACCAGGCAAGGCTAGAGAGGCAACCAGGTCAAGGCCCACGACTCATGGACCATGGGATCATGGACCCCTAAAATTTGGCGCTTGAGAGCGGACTGCGGCAATCAATAACCAAGGGAAAACCTTAATGCACGGCCCTCACCGGGAGGTTCTCCATCAGGGGTGGCTGGGGAATTTCGGTCCCCACTTCGCTAAGCGAAATCAAAAGCTTCAAGATTTCTTTTTTTCTTCTCTTGTTTCTAGCACCTTTACCGCGTAGCCTTGCTACGAATCAGTTGGCCGACGGGCATCGGATGTAATCGGATCACCAGTGCAGTGGTCAACATGAGCCATTGCCGTTTTCGTCCGAATCATGTTGAGCTTTGAAAAGCACGAGGTGACAGAACACGTTGAACACACGTTTTTTCTGTAAATTAAAAATTAAAAAACCACAACAACGTGCCACAGCTCCGACAGCTGCAAAGTAAGCTTTGATTTGAGAGATTTTGGGGGTTTGCCTCTGGATGTCCTGTTGCTTCTGCCTTCTAAAGCAAATCCAATCATATCTTTTGACACGCGGAATGATGCTTGCGCAGTTGCACACGTCGGGGTAACGGTAGACACGTGGATGATGGGGTGAAAAAGCAAGATGAGATGAATGGGATGGCGGTGTGGATGCAAAATGAGGACACTGGTACTCCGTAACAAGTTCTTGATTCTTCACTGCCAGGGAGAAAAACGCTGGACCGTCCTTTTCTGACTTGTACATCCGGTTCGCAGCCCATGGTAGAAAACAGACGAGAATTGGCATATCATATGTGGCAAAGCATCGATATACCGGAGGCACAAGAAGGCTCTGAAGTCTTGGTTCGAGTCAAGCCCGGGATATACTCTTCCTATCTCTCCTCGATAAACGGCTCCAGGTCGTCGAACCAGGCCTGCCCAAACATCAAAGCAGGGAATGGAAGAGAAAGGGGGGGAAAGACAGGCCTTGCGATGAACTCTGAGACGCAAAATTTCTCGTTCAAATGAAGTGGATGTTGGTTATGAAACGGATGCAGTGCTGAGTCCTGTTTGGTTCTCTCTCCCCATGACTCGGAGTCACCTTGCAAGCTGACAACGACCAAGCCTAAGCTGTCAAGCAGGCGAGCTTGCTGAACTCTAAATTTAGTCACCCCACTCCAATCCCCTAGGATGGGATAAGAAGTTATGACAGTGACATGCTTATGAGATGTAGAAGTGGATTTGAACGCGATTAGCGAGCGCGTCTACTTGTACAAAGCAAGATCACCCACCGTGGCAACGATCCTGACTGAAGAGCGGGTTCCTACTTCGAAGTATAAGTAACTCTGGAGTCGATTATTATGCTTTGAGAAGAAGCGAGAACCGCTGCCATGTTACTTCGAAGTACGATTTATGAACGTTATGTGGAACGTTTTTAGTCTTCGGATAGTAGATCAGTCCCTTGCCAAGACCCGTTAACCTCCACCAAGCTGCATCAGAGTGGGCTTTTGCCGTTCCATGCGATTAGTTGGGTTGGTGTGACGCTAATCTCTGGTTGACTGCAAAACGGCTTCATCTGATGTTGGATTTCGTAATAGCGTATGAAATATAGGTCGTATTTTGGAGTTGGTCCCGTGTTCTGTAAGTGAGGCTATTTAAATGCGTAAGCGCACAGGGAGCTGAACCGCTTACCAAAGACGCTACCCGTCTCCATATGAGGAAGAAAATGTCTTATTCTCCGTATGCCTCCGTTTTCGATTTCCTCACTCCGTAATCTCACAATTCTGATCACCATCGCGCGTCTGCCTCTCCAGCTTCAGGAAGTCTTGCGTCGGAGACGGGGATCGCCCACCCCTGGCTCACAAGAGGTCACCCTGCTGCTGGCCGATACAATCACATCAGGGGAGAAGACCATCGCGCACACCGGCATACCTGGCTCTAGAGGACGATCGTGAAAGTGGAGTGTATCGCGTTGTGAAAGGAAATAAGGCCGAATGTTGACTTGGGGGCCATTGCTATTCAGTCACAGACTCACAGTGGCAGACCTCGTGGAGTGATCCAAGATTTGAGATTTGGAGGGAGAGTCAGAAGAGACACGGCGCGGTCAAAGTGTCACCTGGAGACGATATACTTCGAAGTATACTGACCATTTGAGTGGATGATACTGGGTTCGGGGAGAGCGCTGTAAGGAGGATCAAGCGCATTAAGCTTGATGAAGGAGATCGGTCATAGCCACCAAATGTACGAAATACTTGGTACCCGTAGATGTACAAAGTACTCCGTACAGAAGGCTGCGGCGGCAGTGAGTGAGTGGGAATAGATTCCGACCAAGCGGAATGTGCAGGGAACTTTACCTGACACTGCAGTGTTTGCTTGTCCACCTTGACCTCGCCCTCGTCTTCGTTCCCAAGCTCCAGGGCGGCTCCAACATGATTGCAGCCCCGCTACGGAGCATGAGAGATGGGGCGTGGAGTATGCAGCATCATGGATCAAGTGAGGGAGAGGGAGAGTGAGTGTATGGGTACGTTACTACGGTTCGGGCAAGATATGGGCACAACATGGGTCGGTGTATGGATCAGCTACGCAGCACTTGTATCTCCCCCGCATTCACCTCCTGCACATCCAGATCCATCCTCTCCGTACCTCCTCCCTACGCAGTCGAGAGAGCGGAGACAGAGGAGACCACCAAGTAGAGAGCCTGGTCGTGGTCGTGGTCGCCCTGACCGGATAAGCGTGGTCTGTGGTATCTTAGTGTCTTAGTACCTGGCCTAAAAAGAACCACGAAGCTTCGACTGACTTAATATCCCGAGTTTACCCTCGAAAGTACTTGGAAGTACATTCACTTTGCTGCCGATTCTCGACTGCTGCTGCTCTACCGTTACCGCTCTACCGCTAGTGTGCTTGTGCTTGTACCTGCCCTGCCCTGCCCTGCCCTCACCGTCTAAAGTTTCCCGCCTTACTTCACTCTTACCTCATCACTTTCTGCCACTTTGCGCCTCCCGCCGCCCCAACACTTTCCACCTGCACCACCACCAAAAAGCTCTCCCGCTTCCCGCTTCCCGCCTCGCGCTTCCTCCCCTCCCTTCCCCCAAAACCACCACACAACCATAATCACGACGTTCTCCCGAGCTGTCGCCGACTTTCTTCCACACCCTCTCGCCCAATCTTCTGCCTTCGTCAACACCATCAACATTATTCCGCCGAGGTTCTATCAAAATATGTCCGCCTTTGAGCCGCCTGGCGGCAATGGCAATGGCAACGGCCATGCCAACACCTACTCACTGCCGCAAGGTCAACCACCACCGCAACAACACCAAGGCCATCAACATCCAGGTAGTCATGGTCCAGGCAATGATGGTATGTCCATGAATCACCCCGGCCATGTTCAGCAACCGCAATACATGTTCGACGGTCAACAACAACAGGGCTCTCCACACATTCAACACCTCCAACATCCACACCAGAACCCGTACAATGGCCACCCCAACGCGCACGATCTCGGCGACGGTCAACATGGAATGCAAGGCCCAGGTCCCGCGGCACCCACGCCAACCAGTGGTGGTGAAGGCCAGAAGGGCAACCGATTGAGAAAAGCTTGCGATTCCTGCAGCATCCGAAAGGTCAAGGTATGCGACGCGACCTCATTCACTACGCGCCATCCAAAATTCCATCCCGAGATCCCATGGATGCTAACCATCTCCCTGTAGTGCGATGAGTCGGGTCCGCCATGTCGCGCCTGCGCTGCCCTCGATATCCCATGTACACGAGAGAGACCAAGTCGCAGACGAGGTCCTCCCAATCGACACGCCGAAGCCATCAAGCGTCGTAGACTCGAATCGCCATCCGGTGCCGGCGGCAACTTTCCTAGTCCTACCTCCCCAAATAACATTGCGGCGACCTTGGTCTCCATCTCCTCCCACGCTGTCTTGAACGCGGAGTCCATCTGTCCATTCTCTACGCTGGAGCTCTTGGTCGATGATTTCTTCACTTACATTCACCCTCTGACACCTTTTCCACACGAGCCCTCCTTCCGAGCTGCCTTTAAGCATCGCGAAGACCTCAACAATCCTGCCTTCTTGGCTCTCTTGGCGTCGATGGTTGGAGCGCTCGTCGCGTCATTCCCTCGAAAGCCTAGGATCCACCTGAAGGCCGAACGCCGCGAGCACCTCTTCCCCAATTCAATCTCTTTGGTAGAGCGTTGCCACAAGGTTGCGGTCGAGGCTCGTGGCTCAGGTTACTTGGATAAAGATCTCACTGTCTATGATGCGGCAACCAGTTACTTTCTGGGGTTGTCAGCTGCGTATACCTTTAATTGGCGACAATGTAGACTTTACTTTGGTGAGACTTTGACTATGGTAAGAGTTCTTGGTGCGCACAAGGTAAAGGACCCTGGACTACTAGTGGTTGGTGATTTGCCTACTGTATTTGGTGAGACTGGTGGTGATAAGTTTGATGGTTCTCCTCAACCAATTGATTGTATCAGACAAGAAATCGGTCGCCGAATTTTCTGGTGCATGTTTGTTGGTATCAGGTATGGTAACTTTTCTTTTAAACCCTTCTCCTGAACCAATTGTGTCACAAGAATATCGGATCGCTTTTTAGCGATGGATTTGCGAAGAATCAGTTTCATCATTAAAACATCAAATCGGTTCAGTTTCGAACCTATTCCTCAGAACCTATTTTCGTCATTTTCACCACCAGCCGATCTCATATCTAACAAATTTTTCTAGATCAATGCAACAATTGGGCGCCAGCTTTGGAGAGCTTCTCATTCCACCCTCCACCCCCAACGATCCTTACCCACCAATGCCTTTGGAGGTGGATGATGAATACATTTTCGTGGACCATATCGCTGTTCAACCACATAATGTCCTCTCCAAGATCTCTGGCTTCAACGCAGGCATCAAGATCTACCTTACCGTATCTCCTTTGGCAACAATGGAAATGGCTTATGGCATTGACCAGGTCTTTGACTGGAATCGGCAGAAACGTGTTTTGGAGGAGTGTCTCAAGAATGTCAAGAAAATCTTGGATGGCATCGCACCTGAGCTTCATGTTGCCCCCCAGTCCAAGGCTCCTGAATTTGGTGCAAACAATACCTCGTACTTTCCGCCCGTTCCAGAATATATGGGTGCCCGAGCCAACGCTACGAATGGAGCTCAATGGCAACCCGAAGGTTCTATGGAAGCTCGAAGAAATCTTCAATTTGAGATTCAAAAGGCCAATATTTACGCCAGCCAACTTGGTACAAGATCTTACATCGTTGAGAAGTATTTGGGTCTTCAGGAGCTGCAAGAACAAAGAGATCAGAGTTCTGCATCACCATCTGTCATGAGTTCACCTGGTTTGATGGCTGCAGGATTAGATGGCATCATTCCCAAGAAATCACCAACCAGCAATTACGATGGCTATGAGAATGTTGTAGCAGAGAGAGAACTTATTGTCAAGGATTTGCTTGTGGTACTCAACAGTATCAACCAAGTCAACATGGAGCCAAATGGAGGCAGCTTTGTAAGTTCCTTGCTAATACCTCATGGGGTAATACTAATATTGTTCAGATCAACAAGATTCGACAAATCGCGTCAACTCTCATCAGCACCCCGGCACAACGCAAGGGACCTGTTGCACAAACTGCCGAGGCATACTTGAACAGATTTCTCGACATCTTGATGCGCCTCGAGCGTGTCAGTCCTGGTGTCAAGAGTGAGACTGGTGAGGTCACTGACGAAGAGGAATTGCGAGCATGGGCCGATATGAGAGAGAACCAGATGCGCTTTGCACAAGCTGGTGGGTTTCTCAGCGAGATGTGAAAATTGGGCTAGTCTTGCGGAATTTCGGACGGGTGTAACCGGGGTGCTTTTTCTTCTTTCTCCCCTGGGCTTTTCAAAAAGTCTGTGGGTTGCTAACTTTGACCACGGAGTTTGTCGGGGGGAACCAAAAAACTTGACTTGGGACGGGGGAACGATATCATACCAAAACGTTTGTGATTGCGATGAGGCTTTTTTTTTTCTTTCCACGCAAATGTTTCAATGTTGCTAGCTCATGAGCTTGCTCTCGATAGCGAGGGCTAATCAGCAACTAGTTCACTAGTTTATGAGGGATTGTAATTTTATTATAGCCTTAAATGTTTCTTGGTATCATTGAGTGATTCGCGTGATTTGTAGAGTATATTTGAATGGGGTAAGCCCTCTCTTCTGCCAAATCATGGTCATATGGATATTTCCCACAAGTACTAGATCTTCGAGTCCCAAAGTATTACTCTTATCTTAAACGACTGAATTTTTACCTAAATAATTAAAGACGACAGAACTACTTTATAATTCCTTTTGTTTTGTGACAGAACTACTTGTATTGTCGTAATATCTATATATTGTCGTAATATCTATATATTGTTTGTTCACGTGACCTAGTACTGATATGGATATGAGCGTTTATAGACTAGCTAGCTACCTCCTCTTCTCTAAATTAGACACCATCGAATAGGAACTGATTACTTCACTCCATTTAACGACTACTCTTTACGAGTACATCCTAGGTGAACCGACATGTATACCATTCGGTCTTCTAGTGTATATAGAACTACTATCTATAGATATAACTTTACCGGTGATGTTACTAGTAAAATAGTCAAGTGGTATTAGTAGTAGTTAGGTATAGAGTGGAATATTTAATTAGATATTCTGACTATTATTATGAGATAATCAGGTGGTAGTTACTCGTTTACCGTACTTTTATCCCAGAAATTCCTCCATCTTGCAAAACCTGTCTATCAAAAATTTCATCATCATCATTAGTCCTCCTGCCTCGATACACTTCCATTTCCAATCCCCCCTGCATCCTTGCAAGCCTGTTTGGAATCCCGCCAGTATTTTGAGATAACAGTGAACACAAAGCCAATTGCCAAAGCCGTCCCACCAAATAGCTGAGCATATAAATACTTTTCCTCACCCCTTTCCAACAAAGCCCCGGCAATCGGTGGCCCTGTCAGACATGCAAAACTCACAATCGTGAATACTTGTCCCATGCGTACCCCCGCCTTGCGCAGATCTGAGGTGAAGGATGATAATGTCGCGGGGAAGAGACCTTGGATCATGGAAGACGAAATTCCGTATAGGACTGCCCATGCGTACAGTGCCGCTCGGTCAGTCACTACTATCCAGAGGTAGAAGAGAAAGGTGGAAACGATGATGGGAGGGATGAGTGTGTTTAAGGGGCCGAAGTAGCGGTCTGCTAGGTAGTTGGGGAGGACGCGTCCTACGACCCCGACGGCGTTTAGGACGACGATGAGGTTGATGGATTCGGAGTATGGCAGTTGAATGATGTGGCGGGCGAAGGAACCGATGTAGTAGAATGCTACGTAGAGGCCCAAGAAAGTCTTTTGTTGGTAGGTTAGTCAATCATGTCTGGCTTTCAAGCGAAGGGAGGGGAAGGAAGGGGAGAAAGAACTCACGAAAAACATGCCCACAGCAAAAAGAACATACGGCCAATCTGTAAAGCTAGCCCTATCCACAAACACCCAGTTCTTCCTCGGTCTCGTCCGCGACCTCAGCCCCAGATTCGCCGCCCCTAGACATATGAATTGGATAAGTCCCAGTGCTCTAATCGTCCACGCGAATCCAACTTTCGGTAACAACTGTTGCACCATGAGGGGGAAGACGATAGCTCCTGTTGAGGAGCCGGCTGATGCGAGTCCAATGGCGAGGGAGCGCTTGGTAGAGAAGTAGGTTGAGAGCATGGACATGGTGGGCGTGAACATGAAGCCGTTTCCTATGCCGATGCAGACTCCTTGGGCGAGGAAGAGCTGGGTGTAGGATGTTGTGAGGGAGGTCATGAAGAGGCCCAGGAGGGAGAGAACTGGTGGGATTGTTAGCTTGGATATGTCTCCTTGGTTTGTGGACAGTTTTTAGGGAATGGTAATATGTTAAAAGTTGGAAGAGACAGCTAAATGTTACTTACCACTTCCAGCGAAGAAAACTGGACGGAAAAAACCAGCGTCTGTGAGGCGACCTGAAATCGTTCCTACGAAGAAAAGAAGGAATACTATTTGGGCAATTCGTTAGCACTCTCGCTCATCTAAACTATTGTATGCAGCAAAGAAGAGAAACTGGTATTCGAGTTCTTTCTTGCTTTCTGTTCCGCAGAGTTTATGGAAAGTTTGAGACTTGGGTAAGCGAACCTTGGATTGACCCCACCCATGAGATATCTGAAGGAGGACGATCTAATGCTGTCACATAATACGTTTGAAAGACACCAAATGAATTGACAAAACCCCTAATATGATATCAGTTTCCCTTCTGTATAAAGAGTGAGAGTAGAATTGGAAATTGCCTACCAGGTGTTCATAACCACTAGATGTGCAAAGAAAACTATACGTTAAAGTCAATTAGCATTCATACCTCCCTACATAGAAGCTGCAAAAGCAAACAAAAACTCTTTGTCTGATGATACACAAACAACACTTCCCTCCCATAGTGTACATCCGAGAAATCAAGTCTCACTCAGTCTGTGACCATTTTCGGCTCCACTTTCTCCTGAAGAAGAGAATATAAAACGACAACATGAATAAGCGAAGGGAAAAGAATTTCACGAACCTGTTGACCACGCCCTCGTTCCTCCATTAGGTTGAGGTTCATCTTGTATACTCGTAGCCGTTAAACTCGAAGGAGTAGTTTTCACCGACGCGCCATCAGATTTCTCGCCGTTGTGATTTTCCGTATTTCGAAGTACTTCAATCTCGTCATAACTCTGGTTTAAAGTTACAGACGAACTGCTGGACAGTATCGATTTTTCTTTCCACGACAATCCTGGCGAGGGTAATGGGGTTGGGTGTAACGTTTCGGACGACTTGCTGGACAATATGGATCTGCCTGTCACCGACAAACCTGGCGAGGGTAATGGGGTTGCGTGTAGGGTATCTGGGGATAGCATTTTTTCTTCTTCGATGTGCTGAATAGTTTTGGATTGAATTGCTGAGTATTATATACTCGGCGCGCGGTAACTGGTGTTGAGGAGGCATTGAAGATCGCTCTTCTTCCCTTTGGACGTTAAGGAAATCCAAGTGAACATCTCAATTTCCGGAATCGTGGAAGTTGGGTGTGCACCGTGTGGTGTATTTTTCGTGTGGGAGAACCCACATTTGCGCTAGGGAACTAGGAGACGACTAGGGAGCGGTGTCAGTAAAGCGAGGAGGACTAAGAGAAGATCTACAATAGAAGGCTGTGTTGGATCAAAAACCTTCGGATTACTTCTTTCATTCGAATTGTAACTCAGGACTCTTCCGCCGTTGACGACAATATTCTTCCCGTCAACCGGAAACACCCACCAAATTTCATGAAATCCTACCGGGAAATCCCAATGGGCGCGACAACAGTGAAAAAGTGTTTCAAGGGCATATCGGGAATAACCTCATCCCAGCATTCCAGAAGCGCTCTAGACTGGTTCTCTAGCCTTCATATCCTGGTACAAATCCGGCTTTATGGGTGGTGTAGACTTCTAGAAGTACTCCCATCACAAGCTCCATAGCGGCTCTGAAGTCCCGCATTGGCACTTTCTACATGGTCCATCTACTTCGTACAAACTCAAAAATTAAGCTTCATGGGAGCGTGTAAGGCTCCACGTCGATCATATAGTTTTCTAGCCTTAAAAATTCATTCTCTAGATTGAACGTTTATCGTTCACATACTGTGCGATGGAGCTGAGATGCCTCATGATCTAACGTGGGAGTTCTGAGGGGAAATTAGTCATTGGATAGTTAGGCTGATTCAGGGGTCTCGGTTAAGTCCCAAGGTGCCGTATTACCGGGTCGACTTAAGTGCCGATGCTGGCGTGATGATGAGTTGACTTGTCTACTTTGATAGACCATTTGCCTTCTCGGGTGGTCTTGGTCAAATGATATGATCTAAGTTTCAAGAGCTTCCATACCGTCACTTGCACACAGATGGATCTCTTGTAAAGTTTACGTAATTGACACGGAATTTCTACGTTTAAGACTAAGACAACCGCCTCTTAATACTCGGGTTCGGTTGTGTACTTATTATCTGAATTACACTTTCAGACCACGAACAAGTGGATTGTACTAATAGAGTATACTAAGGTATGTGCTTTATTCTCAGTGAATCTGTGCTCCCACCGAATTATTTCCTCTTTTACTTCCACTTTTCCTTATTCTATACCTTCTAATTGGATAGCTAGCCATGAACCCCTTGTTTTGCCAAGCTGGAAGTCTCAGAAGCACCCACTAAATAGACATAGATCATCTATGGGGGTTCTCCGTAATTCCGGATTTTTTTGATGACGTTGAGCTTAAAACCACTACGAGTACTCCTACGAGCTCTACGGCCTTGTACTCACATCCACTCCTATAGGCCTGAGACTGCAATACGAAGAATACAAAAACGAAACCGAGTTGCCAAGTAACAAGACCTTTTGTGATGCCATAAATTGTAGAAAATCACCCCGCAAATCACACCGCAAATCACACCGCAAACTACCTTGCAACATAGTAGTAGATCTCTTGCTACTTTTGTAAAGGCCCTGTCTTACATCTCTGACTCGCCATCTACTTCCTACACAATTTGACTGTTTGCTTCGTTAACCAATCCGTCTGTCCAGTAACAAACCAATTCTCACTTCCAACAGCAGTAGGAGCCCAAAACAAATCCCAAGGATCAACCGCTTTCTTGATCGCCAGTAGCCTCTTATAATTGACTCCCCAAAAGTTCTGCGCAAAATCCGGGTCCATAAGATCGCCCTCGTTGAGATACCCTCCCTGCCCCGGCGTAATCTCAATAAGACTTTTCATCCAATTCCTCGTTAATTTTTTATTCAAAGTCTCCAAGGCCTCTTCATCACCCTCGGGCCACAAATTCCCCAGTTGCAGAAACATCAATGTCTCTCTCCAAGCAGGATGTATAGCATTCGGAGGTGTTCCTTCGGGAGCCGCTCCATTGTAATTATACATCACATATCCACTCCCATCCTCCGCCAAACTCTTGATCGTCCCCATAGTCCTATTCAACAACCCGTCATCCTCCCAATTTCTCCTTGGCATCAGTCTCCCAGCCGTTCTCCAATTCGAGAGCGCCACTTGGCCAAATGGAAAATGATTCTTCCACCCCTCGTAGAAGTTATCATATTCGAAAAACTCCGGCTCAATAGAAAACCCAATCTCCTCCCATTCCTTAAATAGCGGTGCAACCAAGCCCTTGAAATCCTCTAGGTTCATCTCGGGAATTACCCAGGGACGCATAGTCCATTGGTACCCGGTTTTCGTGCTAGGTGCCAATTCTCGTGGGAACAAAAATGTGTACCCATAACTCCCCGCATCGGCAAACTCGGGAAACCTTCTCCAATACAGAAACATCGCTTCCCACAGTAATTCATCAGAGATTCCAGTATCGTTCCAGAAGTCACCATCCAAGTAGCACCCGAAACCGTTATTTTCGGATGTACTTTGACAGTCATACTAGTGACCACTCCCCAAGTAGCACCTCTCCCACCTCTAACCGCCCAAAAGAGATCCTGACGTTGAGCCTCATCCGCAGTAACGAAGCGCCCATCTGGAGTCACGAGATCGATACTCAGAACCTGATCAGCAGCCATCCCAAACTTCGAAATCAACGGATTATGTTCTCCCCCGGCTAAATACCCGCCCGTAACACCCACGCCTTTGCATTCCCCTCCTTGGGCCGTGACACCATACTTATCGGCTGTCTCATACATCTCTGCCACCGTGACACCCGGACCCATCCTGAAGACCGGTCCCTCATAGGAAGGCGTTTTGTAACTCTCTATATACTCGATGGACTTCAGATTATGCGTCCAGATCGATAACGAGCCCGCACCGGTAGACTTCCCTAGGAAATCATGACCAGTGTTCTTCACCACGAGACGGATCCCTGTGTTGCGCGCGAAGTTGACTGCGAGTTGGATCTGGAAGACGTTTGTGGCTTTGATGCTATAGGGGGGAAAGGAGCCGAGGGTGCAGGTGCTTTTGTTTCCGTTCTGGGGCTGACAAGTCTCGCCTTGGTTAAAGGGGGGACATTATGGATGTTGGGTCTTGTTCACTTCTTTTCTTCAGTTTCTATTTTCTGGATTCCTGAGTTTATGGCTTACTGTATTGCATCATCGTACCAATTCGCGAGGAGATTCGTACATGCTGTTGCGTTATATGCCGACTGGTTTGTGTAACACACTGCTCCAATGGGGACGGTTTCGATCAAGGCTCCTCCACTTAGGAGGTTGAGGGTCTCCCAGGTGGGCTTCGAAGGCCATGAGGTATCTCCGGGAAAGACTTTGCATTTTCTGGAATTGGTGTGATTCTGTCCAGTAGAGGATCCAGCGAATTGGAAAAGAGAGAGACCGCTAAGCGACGAGACTGTCAGGGTTTCCAAAACGGTTTCGGTGAGTTGGAGTTTCTCGGCCTCGGTTGTATTACCTTCTACGTATTCAGCAGCTAGGGAGATGATGGGTGAGTTATCAACTAGGTGCTTGTCAGTGTGATATCAGAGGAATACTCTTGGTATGGGCGTACCTAGTGTTTGACCTTCTCTGGTGTTGATATGGGCAGCGACCAGAGAAAAAGCACTCGCCAAATACACGAATCGAGAAAGAGAAGCCATATTTGCCAGTTTCATGACACAAGGAAGCAACCCTATAAAGAAGATCGAGCAGATCTATGAGAAGAGATATCCCACATCATAAGAGTACTCTGTGTAGGACAATTCGTTCGGTGAATCTGAGTAAGAATCAAATATCGCAGACATGCATATCTAGGCAGCATCATACTACCCCTCACCATAGCAGTAAGCTGCTTACAAGTTAAGAATACCAAGATGGGATCTCAAGCATGGCTACGCCCTTCCGCGCATTTTGCTTTATTTGAGAGAACAAGAAAGGAATGCAGCGTAGATCATTGGCGCGAGCTCTACCGTGTATGGAGCACAAAAATTTGGCACTTGCCATTGAAGCCGAAATATGGACAAGAAGAAGGAATCACCCGGCCTCATCATAACACATCAAGTCAGGTGACATCGTAGAATTGACATAGCCTAAAGCCATGCTGCCCATACTGCTAATACAAACACTACTGTTACAAAGTGCGCCTCAAAAATGCAACCAGATCCAACCCACGCACAGCACTATCGTCAGAGTCCCAAATTATCCACCTACAACAGCCAGTCCCTCGTAAATCTTGCTCTTGACCGCGTAAAAAGTACTCTCCTTCTGAGGAATAGCCATAATTCCGGAACTCTCAATCTCAATCCTCCCAGTACCAGTCTTCTTCACAATCACCGAGCCATCAATGAGTAATGTTCCCTCTCCTCGAAATTCCGCTGTGTGGCCAGAAGCTTGCATGATCTTTCTCAAATCTGCTAATCGCAGGTCACCAACGTGAAGTGGTTGTGCAATGGATCTTGTGGCGGATGCCATGCTTGATGGAAGGATGTCCAGTGTCGGAACTTCTACTTGGGTTGGTGCCGCTGGGGAACTTTCGCTCATTGGAGTGTCAACGCTTTCTTCCTCCCCCTTGATCAACTTCTGCCTCTTATTGCTTCCCTTGCCTTCAATTTCTGGAACTTCTTGCGTAGTGACTTCAAGTCGACCAGTAAGAGTAACGATCCCGAGTCCTTTCACGTTCTGCCATCTTAATTTTTTGACAAGAGCATCTGTAAGTTTGATAGACCAAGCATTAGTGTCGACACTAGCGTCAACCCAGTCGCCAACTTGTGGAGTGAAAATGTCAATGGACGCTTCATCGACACCACCAATTTTGGCTGCGAGAAGTTTCCGACAGTCCATGGCAAGAGCTGCTGTCTCCCCTTTCATTCCACCAACGAAAATTAATTTTCGAGGTTGGATAAGTGGTATTAACATTTGCAAGCTGCGCTTGTCATGCACACCACCAAAGTCGACGAAAGCTACACGGAGGTCAACAGTGAGGACCTCGGTTGTGATGACAGCTCTTGAAGGCCCAGTGATCTCTTCCACTTCCATCTCTAAATCATCTTTGGGATCTATAAGCATGTTCTGATCTCCATCCTCGGAATTATCTCGCGCTCCCTGATTTTGTTGGCGTTTGTTTCCACCAAATCCACGTGAGTCGTTAGGAACATCATCCCATTTCCGTTTCTTGCCCAACGTATCCTTGGTATCGTATTTTCCGGATTGCTGTGGTCCGTCCACTTCGTCGCGTTCCTCTTCCCTTTGGAAATCCTCTCTCCTAAGAATTTCTCCAAAATCATCATTTCTTTTTCGTCTGATGACCAGAGGAAACATCTTTTCTCGTCCTTTCTTTTCTCGAACGTCATAATCATGTACCCCCTTTTTACGAATCAGAATGTTGATTCCTAGATCTTCATCACTCAAACCGATCTTCTTGCGATTTGCCTGGCCCATAGTTGCTGAGATATTAAGAGCTTTTCCTTGCTGCTCAGTCTCGGAGCCTTCGTCGTCGGAAGAGGAGTCTGATGAAGCATCATCAATTACATCTGCAGATGTTTCCAAAGTGGTCGCTCCTCCAGCCTGTGTTGTTTGCAATTGGTGTCTAGTTGCCAACCATTGCTGATATACACCAAGGTCATTTCCCTCGAGTGCTACTCGTTTTGCCTCCCGCAAAGTGAGTTCTTGGCCCCCAGCGTAGACTTGCTCTAAGTTTTCGCCACTGCTTCCGGGCTCAGTAGCAACTCCGTGCTTGCGCTCCTCCCACCAACACCACAATGTTCTTGCCATACCAAGATTTGGTGTCTCCAGTGATGGCACGCCTAGTTTTTCTGTAAGGATGACGAGATTTCGTCTATCATCGCAAATCTTTCGTAGGACTTCTTTGGAGAACCCCCATTCTAGAGATGTATCGCTGGCCAAAATGACCTTTCCAATAGATCTCCCAAGGCTATCGGTTTCGTTTAACACTCGATCAATTTGACCTTTTCGCTCCAAAAGGCGCAAGTGTTTGAACTCGAATGGACCCCCTGAAGGCAATTTCGAATCCCCATCTCCAGCCTGCTTATTCTGGTTGCCACCAGCGACTGCTTCAAACTCCCGGACAATACCTTCGTCCATCCATTCCAACATACTTCTTGCATATCGCATGGTAGCCTGGATATTTTTGCTTGCCAAATACGGTTTTGCCGAAAGGAGGGGGCTGTCTTCATTAGTGCTCTCGGTTCGCCAAGCGTGCTCCAGAAGATAAGCCAGCTCCAGTACACGAGCGCTTGAATCAGTTGGAATAAGTACGATTCCTCCCTTTGATACTGAGGACTTGATCATGTCAAGCAAAAGCTCGTCTCGTTTTCTTTTCCCCCCTGACAGAGCGGCTCTTTCTCCGCCTTTACTACTACAAATCAAGGCTGTTGGTTTTCTTAGCTGCTCAATCACCTCAGCACCACCCCCACCGGCTCCTCCCAACCAGGCAGCACCAGCCAAGACATTCTCACGAGATTGATTCCAGTCTACTGCATATACAATTGACTCTAGCCCATGCTGAATATGCCAAATTGTTCCTCCCAACGTATGACCAGCGTTGTAGGCGGTAATCGTAAGGCCGTTGAGAGGAGGGGACCATGGCGATGGAAGTGGTTGATGGGGTTGAGAGTATTTCAATGGATGGACAAGCGCAAAATACGAAGCTATCTCTTGACCAGTAGGCGGCTGTAGAAGAATATTACGCTCGTCTTCTGAAGAAGATGATTGGGGATATGAATATGAGGTTTCGGTCAAGGATTCGGGGGGGATTATGGTAGAAGCGAGAGGCGTGGAGCTATAGAGATCTTGAAGGAGTGTTCTTCCAAGAGCTATAACTGGCGTTGTCGCATAAATAGGTATTCGGGTAAACAGAGGGAAATGTTTACAACAGTGTGCAAAGGCTGCAATATGTGCTGTGGTCGCATGGGTAAGGAGCACCACTGAAAGGGTCGGAACAACTCTGTGTGAGGTGTCAGCATGGGCACAAAGAAAGACCGCTGCGATGGACGTCAGAGGCTTCAATATTTGGGTGATCAAGAGAGAATGCAGGCCACAGATGAGGTTGGATCAAGTTGAATGATGTTGATTGATGTCTGCTATACATGGCTCTTCCTCTCTCGCAAATCCAGCCACCGCCTCTCCCCATCGCCATAGCATAAACAGCCTGCAAAAGAAATCTCAACCTACTTCTCAAGCTCCTTTAGTTTGCCTACGTCAAAGGTCTCGTCCCATCCGACATCAATCAAGACCTTGACTCCTCCGTCAAGCTCAAGAAGCGATTGCGATGCCGCTGATTCGGATTGCGCGCCCAGCAATGAGCAGAAAGTGAACATCTTGAACGTGATTTCAGCCCTAGTCTACTCCTCTGCCTCTGCCTTAGCATCAACGCCTCTAATCTGCTTGTTATATGGTGTTTCGCATAGTTGGGCGATTGTGTTATCACTGTGTCCCAGTGTCTTGCGGATGGTGGTGGTGTTGATTTGGTGTTGATTTCTTGGTGTTGACTGTCGCAAGTTTGGAAATGTTCGCTATGAGCCGATGGCGATGGGCAGGAGATGGCGATGGGCAGGAGAAAGCGCGTCAAGGTTTCTTTGCCAGGGGTCCCGTACTGAAGTACAGCTCAAGGTCCCACAAGCACATGCAAGACACGTATAAAGCGGCGCTTGCTAGAATTGACATTGGTGAAACATTCAGTGAGATCTGGCACTGTGTCACTCCAAGCTTAGGTTGCCGCTTTTCTACCAGTTTCCCCAGTTCTCCCAGTTCTTGGTGACTTCCTATCAAGGATCCAGTTCTGCCAGTTCTGCCAATTCTGGCCTGAAGGGAATTCTCCACGGTGTCAACACCACCATATCGACAAATTTCGCAACCACCATCACCACCACAGCCACCATCGACTTTCACTATTTACCAATCAGCAGAAACCGAAACGCCTTCATGAAATGACTCAAATCTCATGATCTCTTGATTTTTCATACAAACCATCTACGTGAGCTATCCGCCTAGCTTCGCCAGCTCTGTAATTGCTTTGGGGATAATACACCATGTCCGACTACCAACAGTACCACTCGCTGGCCCAAGGCGACCCCAATGACCCAAGAAACCAAAATCCACAGGTGGCACCCCCTCAGTTCAACCCCGCAGTTGCCCCCTCGCCATATGATCCCCCATCTGGCGCAAACTATACCCCCCAAGGACAACCCCCACACCAATATGGTGCTCCGCAGATGGGCACACCTTCGCCCTATCCAGGTCCTCAAGACTCCGGATACTTTCCAAACCAAGCTGGGCAGCCACAAGATGGAGGATTAGCAGCGCAGATGGGCGGGTTGGGACTGGGCGAAGTGGCATCACACGGGCGGAAGAAGAAGAAGGATAGACACGCATACCATAACGTGGAAGCGCCGGCTGGTTCTTCTCAAGCTTTCAATGGAATTCCTCAAGGAAATGTACAATCGTCGCAATTTCTGAACTCGGACTCTTCAGCAGGCCAGTTTTTGAATCAGCAGATTACCCCTCAAATGTCTCAATTCCCAGCGCCAGTCAATGCACCATTTAATCCAGCAAATGCTGCTTCGCCTGTCGAGTTTGCTTCAAGAAATGGTACAGCACCAGACAGTTTTGCAGCAAATGTTCAAGCTTCAGCCCAGGGTCAGGTTGATCCAGACCAGATCCCAAGTGTACCTAGTTCCAGAGACGCCCTCTCACAATACTACCTCAGCAATGTCTACCCTACCTTTGAGCACCATATACCCCCTCCAGCTTCCGTTTCCTTCGTTGCTTTTGATCAAGGCAATGCTTCTCCGAAATTCACACGTCTATCCATGAATAATATCCCATCTACTTCGGAAGCCCTGTCTTCTACTGGACTACCCCTCGGATTACTTTTACAACCTCTTGCTCCTTTGCAGGCTGGAGAGTTGGAAATTCCGGTCTTGGACTTTGGCGAGATTGGCCCTCCCAGATGTCACCGTTGTCGAGCCTATATTAATCCTTTTATGGTTTTCCGATCAGGAGGAAACAAGTTTGTGTGCAACATGTGTAATTATGCAAATGATTGTCCTCCGGAATATTTCTGCGCGACTAGCCCTCAGGGGGCACGCGTTGATCGAGAGTCAAGACCAGAATTGATGCGAGGAACTGTGGAGTTCTTGGTTCCAAAAGAATATTGGAATAAGGAGCCTGTTGGATTGAGATGGCTCTTTTTAATTGATGTTGGCCAAGAGGCTTTCAATAAGGGTTTTCTGGAGTCATTCTGTGAGGGTATTATGATCGCTCTTTACGGGAGTGATTCTGATTCCGAGGGGCGCAAGATTCCTGAGGGTTCAAAGGTTGGATTTGTTACTTTCGACAAAGATATACACTTCTACAACATGAATGTAAGTTTCCTACTCAATTTCTGAAAAGTTTCAGTGACTAACAGTTTTAGCCTGCATTGGAGCAAGCACAAATGTTGATAATGCCAGACATTGAAGATCCTTTCTTACCTTTAAGCGAAGGTCTCTTTGTAGATCCTCTTGAAGCCAAGTAAGTTCCTCGAATCTCAGAACGATATGAGTCACTAATTTCCTACAGATCTAACATCACCTCCTTCCTGAGCCAGCTTCCTGCTCTATTCTCGCAAATAAAAAATCCAGAACCTGCCTTGCTACCAACTCTGACAGCCGCATTGGCAGCGCTCGAGAAGACAGGTGGCAAGATTGTGTGCTCGTTATCAGCTCTACCAACTTGGGGACCAGGTCGCCTATTTCTACGGGATGATGGTAAACAGCAAGGTGATGCCGAAAAGAAGCTCTTTACAACAGAGCACCCCGGCTGGAGAAAGATGGCCGACAAAATGGTCACTGCTGGAGTTGGTGTTGATTTCTTCCTGGCTGCTCCAGGTGGCGGTTATCTTGACATTGCCACCATTGGTCATGTCTCGTCCTCCACTGGCGGAGAAACATTTTATTACCCCAACTTTGTCTCACCACGTGATTCCGCAAAGTTGGCGCAGGAGATCATGCACACTGTTGGACGAGAGACTGGATATCAAGCGCTGATGAAAGTCCGATGCTCGAACGGTCTGCAGGTTTCGTCGTATCACGGAAACTTTGTACAGCATACCTTTGGAGGTGACGTTGAGTTTGGAGTTGTGGATGCCGATAAGGCAATTGGAGTCATGTTTAGCTACGACGGCAAACTCGATGCCAAACTTGACGCTCATTTCCAAAGTGCTCTGTTGTATACGACTGCCAGCGGTGAACGAAGGGTCAGATGCTCCAACGTCATTGCAAGCGTCAGCGATAGTGCCAAGGATTGCATGAAGTTTGTTGACCAAGATGCTGTCTATGCTCTGATTGCAAAGGAGGCTGCCACCAAGATGACTTCAGCTTCATTGAAGGAGATTAGAGGCGCCTTGATGGAGAAAACGGTCGATATCTTAGCCGGTTACCGCAAGAACTTCTCAGGCTCACATCCTCCCGGACAACTTGTCCTTCCCGAAAACCTAAAGGAGTTTAGTATGTATATCTTGGGGCTGGTAAAGTCTCGTGCTTTCAAAGGCGGACAGGAACCAACAGACCGGAGGGTGCACGACATGCGAATCATCAAAGGTATGGGAGCTCTCGAACTCTCCCTCTACCTTTACCCTCGTATGATCCCCATCCACAACCTCCAGCCAGAAGACGGATTCCCAAATCCAGAGTCTGGGCATCTACGCATGCCTCCCTCAATACGCTGTTCTTTCTCGCGTGTTGAGGACGGTGGCGTGTATCTCATTGATAATGGGCAAAACTGCTATCTCTGGATGCATTCCCAGACTTCGCCAAACTTAATCATTGATTTGTTCGGTGAAGACAAAGACTCTCTTAAGGCCTTGGACCCCTATAGTTCCTCTCTCCCTGTTCTTCAGACACATCTGAGTGCGCAAGTACGAAACATCCTGGAGTATCTGAAGACTATGCGTGGTTCAAAGGCCTTGACCATTCAACTTGCTCGACAAGGGCTTGATGGTGCGGAATATGAATTCGCAAGATTATTGGTTGAAGATCGAAATAATGAGGCGCAGAGTTACGTGGATTGGCTGGTGCATATTCACCGTCATGTACAACTGGAGGTAAGTTGCCAATGATACCTCGTCATTTAGATTTTCGCTAACAACAATCTAGTTGACGGGCCAAAGAAAGAAAGATGAGAGTGGTGATAACTCTATAGCATCGAATTTTGCGGGGCTGAGACCTCCTTACTGGTAGAAAGGGAATGATGGATGATGGGATGATGATGAGCAGGCATGATGATACCTAAGATAAATGAAGAGGTGCGTAGTGAAGAAAGGAGGTGCGACGACTTGTGACTTGTGAGTACATTTAGCGTGCATAGAAAAGTCTTTGGTTCTCTGATCTGTAACTTTTGGTTTTATGGAATGCAATGCAACCTGTAAGTTCTTGTGCTCTCTCTAGTGTACTGTAAACATGCTACGGAGAGGTTATTTCCAATGGCTCTAAGTGGGGGACTGTTTATAGGTTCTTGAGTCATTGGAATGCTATCGTTGGAATGTTACTCGAGAAAAAAGGAAAAACATAGGTTATCCGACTTGTTTCTTCATCTCCTGCTCTACTTCTCTCTTCAACTTTCGTTTTTGTATATTTTGTTTGGTTTCTTTTGCTTGATTTGTTCTTCGCCAGTATCTTGGCTCGTGAGGCATATACCGCAAAATCTTTCTCATTGTCTGCCACATTTGACACAGGATATTCTTCTATTTTTCCTCTGTGGCAGAATTGAGTCTGTTTTGGGGACTCAGGCGCGCTCGAGGTATAGAGTCCATCACTTGCCAAGGATTCTGAGGACCCCCTTCCACCAATCTTCCCCCTGCCGGTCGCCACAAGCAATAGAAGGTCATGGGAAGCAACTCGTGCATGAACTTCTTCCATTGATAACCGGATTCTTCTTTTCCGGACAGATTTCAATCTTCATCAGATTTATCATCCCAAACTTATAATACAAAGGCTTGCCAGCCTCACTTGCCTCGATGAACACTTCGAGTCCAAGCTTGTCTGCTTGGTCGATGCCCCATTGCATCAAACTAGTCCCAATACCCCTCGATCTGTGATTGGGATGAACTGAAGTTTGATTCACAGCTGCATCGATATTAGTCCCATGTCCAACGATGATGGGATGCTTGCGTACCCAAGTGCGGCCTATTCATCCAATGAATCCTCGGCGCATATGTTTGATTTATGATTTGTGAAGCAAGTTCCCTCCCTTCCCCTTCAGGCCACCAAGTGGCCTCAAAACCCGGAATGCCTGCCAGTGAAAATAAGCCATTGTACGGCCCCCATGAACTCATCTGTTGCTGGATCGACGACTACAATCCAGTGACTGGCTGGATTGTTTGAGTGCGAACTCCAGGCTCGCTCTTTGTCTGCTTGGAAACCTGCAGCGACGTCTGCCTCCGTGGCACCAAAGACTGGGTGGAAAAGTTGGAAGGAGGGGAGGTATGGTTCGTGCCATGCCTTCCATGCTAGATCTACGATTTGGTTGGGCTCGGTTTGTGTGGTGGCTTCTTTGAGGATGTAGTTGGACATATTGGATGAACGACAATTTAATGGTTCGAACTTCGAAAATACGTTTTCTTAGATCTTTAATTTAGAAGCCTTTTAGGGACACTAGCAAGGATGGTGGTAAATATAATTCATAACTCGTGCCAGCAAAAGAACTGTGCCCAATTTTGATAATTAGCGATCAAGTGTTGGAAGGTTGTTTGTGAAACGGCAAATCCAAGCTTGCTCTGTTCCGATTGGATCTTCCGAGGAAAAGAAATCGTGGTATTTACCGGGGGTTTACTCGTTGGAGTTGCTTAGCCATGGAGCTGCATGATGCAGTTGGCTTGCACCAGATCCCCAACCTTTGGTTGACCAAGGTGGCATGAAGGATACAGATCTCAAGGTTACTGGAACATCAGACTCTTTTGAAAAACCGGTGGATCCACGAATGTTACTAGAGTGGAGGTCGCGGACTTTGATAGAACGTCTGGGTCGTTCTCCGCAGAAAACTGGTCTGATCTCGCTGTTTGAGGCAAGGTCTTTTCTCATATTTTGCTGAAGAATGAAGTCTTGCAGTCGAAGCGTCGTTGTTGCTGGAAGTTCATCTAGATCTTGGATTCATGAGGATGGGTGGATGTCTTCAAACTTCCAGCAACTTCATTGATATTAGGGGACTCCAAGAAATCATGAGAGGCAATGGAGACTCTATGGAAGCAAGTAGATTATATCGTTGTTCTCAGTTGTATCTTCCTTGTAATTGTTGGGAGAACATGCTTCTTGGAAATGTATGGCGTGGCATGCTATGCTAGGGAGGGTAAGAAGTATGTCTTCAGTGTTTCGCGAGGTGGAGGCTGGATAGTTAGTCGTTGTGGGAGGGAAGGTTTGGGTGTATTCGAAAACTTTGACGTAGAAAATTAATGCTATTCATTTTTTTCTTCCTTATTGAAGCTGTGATGTACACGAATGTGAGTGATAATTGTTGTTTTTCTACTTTCGCTTAATGACGTACGGGGTCAAAAGCCAAGTGGGTGGGTGAAATAAGGGGGTTACCTCACAGTATACTTTTGGCTCCCAATATAGTCGGTGAAATGTTTATGGAATTATATTGCACTCCGTACAATACATACTCGTATTTTAATTAGTAGTTTGGATTAACCACCACATATTTCTAATAATAGAGTATACTGTAATCTCTCCTACTTCGCACCTCCCCTAGGCTTTCATTCACCGCTTTCTCTTCCACTGGCTCCCAAGAGTCAATTTCGCCGTTCCTCCGTTCCGTCTATAGTGAATCTAACTCTACCATCACGCCTTACCTATCAAGGAAGGATCCTAGTTTTGTTGCACATCGCACCTTGCCTTGCACCTCAAAAAATCGACACTTGACAACCTCAGGAGCTGCAAATGGCATTTGCAACCCCAGCGTCACGTGGATGAAGGATCCAGACAGAGCCATTGAGTGAGTCAACCATCAAAACTAGTTCTACAACCTTCAAGTGGATTGTAAGCTTTTCCCTTCTCCCGCAGCAAGTTATACAGCCCCATAATTTTGCATTATCTCGTAGCTGCACTTATGGCTTCCAAACAATCCTCCAAACCCATCTCTCTTACAAACCACACCGGAGACATCTTCGCCGCTCCAGAAAACACAGTCCTAATCCACGCATGCAACACTCAAGGTAGCTGGGGCGGCGGAATCGCCGTCCCCTTCAAAAATATTTATCCCAAAGCTTTTGAAACCTACCACCGGCACTGTATCTCCAATAAATCACCTGTAAAAACCGGCACGTGTCTACTTATAGAACCCGATGAGACGGGAACATCATCTAGACACTGGATTGCATGTTTATTTACGAGTAAGAGATATGGGAGAGGGAAAGATAGACCTGATGAGATTCTTGAGAATTCTGGGAGAGCGGTGAGGGATTTGCTGGAGCAGCTGAAAGAGGCTGAGGAAGAAGGGAGATTGCTTGGGGGATTGAGGATGTGTAGGATTAATTCGGGGAGGTTTGGGGTTGAGTGGGGGAGAACGGAGGAGGTTTTAGAGGACATAAAGGTGGAAGAGAGATGGAGGGGGGATATTGAGGTATGGGGGAGGGAAGAGGATTTGCTGTGAGGATACTTGACGTATTTGGTATTGTGAATTTCCTCTTTACTTTACTTGTGGCTGGTTGCTGTGCAACTTAACCGAGGTTAAAGATTGGAGAGGTGAAGAAACACTTTTATTGGCTGATTTATCTCTTCTCTCACTTCGTTGGCACGCCCCAGTCACAAGTCCGCATCGGGGACTCACATTGTAGCATCACACGTGGCACAAGGTTAGATCCGTTGATAATAGATAAGTCCATCCTTGAATTCATTATCAAAAATAATATATCTAGGCTTCTGTACTGTAAGATCTTTTAAATATTCCTCCCTTCATCCCAACTTCCTTCCATGAGCAGGCAAATATTTCCATATTTCGAAAATCATCCATATTCCCCGAATATCCTGGGCTTAGAGTTCCCAACAGATTTGTGCGTATCGCTGTACACAAACCAAAAACAGTCTCGGCTCGCCCATCGATTCATCCGCTATATACCTTTTCTATACCCGTAAGCAAGTACATTCCAAGCCTAGACTTCTTTCAATATTGTGGCGTTCCGAGTATGGGTGACTGGGTAATTGGCGCGCTCAATCTTTGGTCATATAAAGCCATACCACTGGAGGTGCACCCGGTTTCCCAGTTCGCTTCTCATTCCAACCCCAATCGCTGATTGATTTCTTGACTTTGTCTGCTTCATCACCCTGTGAAAATGTGAGTTAGTATTTCATTTGCAGTAGAAATCTATGAGAGATTCTGGGAGAGGGTTGGGGGGAGAGGATACGGGCAACGGTCAACACGACGATATGAATTATGGTATGTGTACTTACACCAATCTCTAAGCCTTTCTTCCACCGTCCGGCCCCATCCTCGGTTACCTCATATACACGGTTCTTCTTTGCATCGGGGTTGTTGCATCCACAATTCTATTATCCTGTTAGTACATAGCTCCCCTTCTTATCAAATCTATAGAATCAGAGAAACTCACAGCCATCAAGTCCTTCACACTAATGGAGGTAGGAACAAGAATCTTATTGAAGTTCAGTTGTGGTCCATGTTCTATGAGATGCAGCGGTTCGGTATACTCCCAGGGCTTGGTCGCCGTCTTGATAAGATGTATCGGGCAGTACTGCCCTGGAAACATGATGGAATAATCAGAGGGGGCACCTTGTTCTCCAAAAGGGTTTCTTAGCACCGTTCCTGGCAGATCTGGTATTGGGTTTTCGACGGGAGGCTGGGTACTTTGGGGTGGACCCGAAGCTGGAGGATAGGGGGGAAATGGAGGATGGGCAGGAAAGGAGTGAAAGTGTTGCACGATTGGAGAAGGCCGAGGAGGCTGCCCCCAGAAAGGTGGTGGCATAGGTGATGGTTGTACTGGCGCCCAATTGTTCAAGTAACCTCCAAATTGAACTGCTGGGGGTTGATGAGGACGCGGTCCAAATCTTGGTGGGGGTGGACCACTATCAAAACCGTGGAAAGGGTTATAGCCTCTGTGTTCTTGAGGCATTTTGGTTCTTGGTTCGAGTTTCGGATTTCGTCTCCGATTTGGATGTTTGATTTAGAAGTTGCTCGCTACTGGATTTGGAGAAAAGGCAGGAGGGGGTGGACCAGGATCTCGACCGTGTGTTGAAGACCAGCCGGATGAGGGATCAGAGATGGCGCTTAAGTGTTGCCAGTAAGCGAGGATCTCGTTGTTGAATGAGTAAACCGTCAGAGTGTAGAGAGAGACTTGTTGGATGACGGGACCAAGTGGTGTTATAAGTGTGTGGCAGGTGACAGTGACGTGAGAAACTTCGTGGATTTCAAAGGGTAAAGCGTTCGAAGTGTTGTTTGTATTGCTTGAGTGAGAGGAGCCAGCTGTAAAGCCAGATGAAGAGTTGGGGATGGAAGGGGAAGACGCGGATGTCTCTTGGGGAAAGAAAAACGAAGCCAGGATGGGCAATCTTCTTCCTTTAAATATTAGCTGTTGTGTTGAAGCGATGAATGTTTTTCGGACTTCTCTTATTGGTAGTAAAGGTTGGATGAATGTTGTTGTGCTGTCTTGTCTGAGTAACAATATTGAGGTTTGCTGAAGTTGTGCGGATGAAATTTGTGAAGGAAGGAATAGATCCAGAATCCGAAAGCTCAGAGCTAAATAGTATTTGGACACTCAAAGTTGTGATTAATCTGCTCTAGCAGGTAGTCATCGGATTCAGAGATGTGAGTATACAAAACATACTGTTGCTGAGGTGACTGGGTGCTCAAACCTATTGTTCTGATGCATGGGACGCCATTGGCGAGTCCAATGAATAAGATATGATGCAGTTTTGATTAGTGAGTAGTGAATGTAAATCCAAGTGAATGATAATTACAGTGGGATTGAAGGCACTTGGTATTGAAACAGATTTCTCGCTTGGTTATTGAGCCTCCCAATCAGGTAGAAAGCATACTGTATCCGTATGGATTGAACTCATCCAAGTTTCTCTACCCCAAAGCCTCCTCCAAAGCCTCCATTGTTGAATCATGACGAGCTCAGTACTCATGGAGCCCAATAAGAACTAATGCGCAATTCTGCGGAGGGAAGTTCAATTCATAGTAGATGAATCACAATAATACAAGTTTTCAAGATACTTGTGAATCAAAAATTGAGCCAGATTTAATGAATCATTCAAGGGCTTGTGAGTGATGAAACCACCAAAACTGGGTTGTGGACGTAAGTGAATCAAGAGAACTAGACTTGAGTAACGAGGTAGTCCAACACGCAGGAAAGATAAAAAAGCCCAAAAAAGAAAGATATTAAGATATAAAAGCTCTGTTGCGTTCTTGTTGCAGAGCATATTGTAGAAGCCCCTTTATTGCTGTTCTTGTGAGATATTTGGTAGCGAAATTACGCGAGCCAATCCCTATTGCTCCAGCTTTGGGGCTGAGATGCCGTCAACTATCGCTACCTCTCCCCGAAAGGTATACTGTGCAGTCGGAGAAATCAAAGTTTGAGGCTCTGTGTTGCCCGTGAGCGTAGATAATTTTGACCCTGTAAATTTACGTCAAGTCACCAAATCAGTCAGTACGATTACGTCTCTTCATATCCCACCTTTCCGACAGGTGCCTAATAAAGCCTATTGAGTGAAACTGATAATTTGACTCTCGTAATTTTTCAACACAGAAAGTTCAGAATATGGGTGAGATATAACGTTGAAATCAGAAGTTGGAGGGGGCGTAGTATAAGCAAGAGTGTGTCAAGTGACTCAACAAGGGATCTCAAGGAGGTAGGACAATCCACCTACTTGTGAATCCGAAAGTCATGGGCGCTCTTCTGATACACATGACTTCTGCTGGTTAAACCCATTCAGAACACCACAATCACATAATTCAAGAGGAAGAAAAGCATACCCTTAAAAAGGACCCCCTCGTCAATAAGAACGCAAGCCAGCTGAGTCCAAACATCAAAATAATGCGCATAGAGTGAGAGTCATTTCTGCATAACCTTGAGCTTGTACTAGCGACGAATTTACCCAATACACAGATACCCCTCGTAAATCAGAGACATATCCAGCATGTCTGTTATATATCCAAGAAAAAACCAACATCAGAGCGCGCGCCAAGAGCTAAACGATCCTAATAACCATGACTGTACACAAAGACTCTGCTATACGCTCAGAAGCGCAGAAAATTTGCTATACCAAAGGTTGTCCGTAAATCAGTGAAATTGATGCGATCATGACTCCCAGCTATGAGGAGGCTCTGTGCTAAGTGACACAACCTCACAACTTACTTTCAATACAACAAACCTTTCCATTCTCCCCCACCACAGCCTCCCCAACTTCTTGATGATGTTCCACACTAGCAAGTGTACTCTTATTGAAACTCTGTACGCTTGGTGGAACGTCCGAAGCAGGATTCTTATCAAAGAAATTTACTGGCTTGAGAGAAACCTTTATAATCTCCACTGGCATCACTGGGAAGTCTTCAATGCGTGGGATATGGTTGATACCAAATTGCACCCAAACAACCACATCATCATCAAGAACCTTATCATTCCTTGCAGCCCAACTTCGCACACCTGTTCCACCACGTGATTGATTCGTGTATTTGCCGCCCGAATAGAGCTCATCATCACGATGGGAGGTAACGTAAATGTTGTGATCACCAAATTCGGCTCGTTTGTGGTGGAAACTATCCTTATCTGCGAGAATCTTCTGGAAAGGGGGGGCGTGGATTTTATAGGCTACTGGTTTGCCATTGACGGGATTCTTGATAGACGAGTTTTGGATCTTGAAAGTTCTGTTTGTATCGAAATCGAGATCGAAACCTCCGGATGTAGTGATTGGTGTCTCAATTACTGTATAACCTACACCGTGGGGGTTGAAGTCGGAACGTGGCATAGGGTGCGCTTCGTCATAGACCACGCGATTGATAGGACCATCGATCATGGGATCTACACGAAGGGAGAAGATGTGTTGATGATGAGCAGCAAGAACTCCCGGATGTATCACTGTTCCGAATGGGACCGAAATGCCTTCGTCGATTGGTTGGGTTGAGAGAATACCGGTTGCTCGAACTTCGTACATAACCTCTCCAGCCTGGTTAAAAATGAAGGCTAAAATGTATTCGTAGTTAGAAACAGTGATGATGGATTGTAGAACCAATTCTCTGTTTCGAGCGATTGCCGCACGTCCTGTACGATAGTTTGTGTGTTTCCATGCGATCCCGTTATCTTGTTCATGGATGCAAACCACATTGGGCATATGTAGAGGATCTCCCTTATCATCACTGAGTACTGCTGAGAGGTAATGGATAGAACCGAGGCAATCACAACCTAACTGCAAATTGTTGGCCATGATACCCGCTCCAGCATCGCCAAGATCAAATGCTGCCTTCTTATGGTATGGGTGACGAGGATCAGCGTAAGGGATACTCATGTCTGAAAGGGAAAGTCTATAAAAGAGAGGACGGCCGGCATAATGCACATCATATAAGACCATTCCTTCACGTTGGTTGAAACCAACCTTGAATGCCCATTTTTGCCATTCAACCGTGCGCCCTTGCTCGCTAAAGTTGGAAACTTTGAACGAGGCACCTTCTGGCTGGATGACATTGAGCGGCTTCAAATCATTTCGAAGATTCTGAGCTTCAGGAATGTATTCGTTTGGTGGTTGAACTTTATATGGTTTTGGCTCGCTGATGGTGTTATCGGCCCCTGTTGGTAGGTAATCAATTCGTGTAACCTTTAAAGTATCAGCACTGACGACTGGCGAGATACTGAGTGGCATGGCGTAATGATTGCTGTCCACCTCCGATGGGTTGTTTGGGTCTCGAAGATAAAGGAAGCATTGAAACATCCTCTTCTCGTCCGAAAAAAGTCCCTCGTTGACGCCATCAGATCCTGTCATTTGTCAGTAATAGAACAAGTAAGATGGTCCCATATGTGAGGTTAAAATTTACCATAGATCCAAGGATCACTGATAACTACAGCGCCTTCTGGCAATTGGAGCTTGGCAATTGCGGTCTTCACTCCCTCATCTTGTAACGCAGCTTGCTCGACCTTGACAATCTCATCTCCGTCTGCATTACTGTGCACATTCGGACCCAAACGCAAGTTGCTCTCAACTTTACCTGCACTTAGATTTATGACTGCCTCGTGAAGTTTGTCCTTGAGAATGTTTAGCAAGCTGATCCTTCAATGAATTCCGAAGATAATCTCGCAGGACTTACAGTGTTGCGAAGATAGTATACAACAAAACTTCGTCTGTCGATAGTGGGGGTCGACTGGCCACTACTGTGCTCGGCTTTCAAGTACAGAGACAGTTCCGCCTTTCTTGGTTCTTGCAAAGTTATGCCTTTGAACTGAAGCGCTGTGTCTTCTGGCCAGAGGCTTTTGATCAAGCGTGAACTTTCAGTTATTTCTGAGACAGTTAATGGGCCCAGAGGATGCTGTGTTGGTGCCTTTCCTCCCATAATCGGGAGCGAGGTGGCAATTTGTTCGACAGACATGACGGCGGGAAGATAAGGGGAAAGGTTACTGGAATAAATTGCGAGATGTTATGACAGAAAGAACGAGAATAATGATAGAACTTCAGTATGCAAGAAGGAATGGTGCTTTAAATACAAACTCGAAACCAGAGCTCCAATTTACGTCTTTGTATGCATCTGCTTATCACCCAACGGCATACACAAACTGGTTATGTCCTGCCATTCACCCCGCTTTGCCGCCTGAATCCCGGTTCCATATAAGTTGAGTCTCGGGTAGACCAAGCTGACTACATTGAAAGCTGATTCGTTGACGAAGTCCTGGTGTACCAGTAGCTGGTGAACTAGCATCGCATCACTAACAAAGTGATAACCTTACTCGTATCATGGATGCTGCTGAGTATCGTGAGCGTGAACCCGACTGGTTACTTCACCCGTGTCCGGACCGTATTATCGGTTAGCGGAACAGGGACGAATCGGATCATGGAAGTACATCTGAGACAGTCGTGGCGAGTGCGATCATGGCCCGAAGTATGCCGAGAGACCACAGGATTTCATGCTTCCCTCATTCTCAACTCGAAGACAATTTTTACCATCCATAAATATACCACGATATGCGAGCCATGGCTACTGCAATCTGCAACCCAGTTGTCTGGGGCACCGCAGCTTACGAAGCCCAGTCCCCATTATGTAAGCTCGGTAACATAAATTCATTTGAAGATAGCGATCGAATCGAAGAAAATGCGGCATTAGAGATTTGACTGTATCGTTAGACCGAGGAAGTTGAACACGACTGATTCATACTGTGCCAAGAATAGCTTGGGTTGGGGTTGTGGGAATTAGATATTGGCAGAGCCCTGACTTTGGAAGAGGTTGAAGAACGAATTGCTACAAGTCCTGGATAAAATCTTGCCATTACAGTATGATAGTATCTTGTCATCTGGTGAGCACACAGAGGTTCAGTGGGAGGATGTAGTGGCCCTGGCTGTAATCTTGCCCTCGCAATGGTGCTGGGTAACTTACATGAAATTGGAAGCGTTCTTTTCACACTGTGAGTCTAAATTCTTCTTCTTTTGTGGGAGTCTTTTCTATGTCTCTTCAGTTTCTCAGCTTTGTCATTTCTGATATATTCTACTTACTCGCACAAACTGGCTTAGTATTCTGGCCAGGAATGCTAGCCAGCCAACCTCGTAATAAAAATCTACCCATGGATTTGATATAACAGAGGTTTGACTTCTGCAGGAGAAAAGATGTGATTCACAATTGGCCTGAGATCTTATGATTCATAGTCAACTTATCTCAGTCACAACGCTCTCCTTCATAATACTTTCATAGCAATTCTATACTCCCCCAAACTTTGCTAAACATACTACTCCAAGCTCTGAACTTAATCCAGGTCATTGTCTTACAACAAATACACTTACGCTTGCAGACAGGAAACTCACGGCCCTGCCAGTCGTCGGATCTCATCCCAAATTTAGAGGCCTAGATCTCACCATGTTTTTTATTATTGCTCCGCTTCTTGTGGAGACTGTTGTTTTCATTCTGACAGCCCTGTGCATTACTGCAGGTCAACCCAACAACATCACGCCGAGTTTACTTTCTGATTACTACCTTGTGTCCGTTGATACTACTAACCTCCAAGCAATCAACGCGAGTGAGAATCACGATGGTCTACCAATTCATGATTACTACAAAATGTACCTGACGACTCAATGCTCCTCCAATCACGACAAAAGTTCAAAGCATTACTTTAATGCGACTTGTTCCAAGCCTTCCAACAATGGTATGTTTCGTTCATTAAGCTCTGACCGTACCTCCTCACACGATTATGTATTGATCTTTCTACAGCCAAATTTAACCTCAGAAAACTGATATCCAATGATCTTGAGAATGATCATGACCATCCAAACTTCACAAAGCCCGACTTGACCGCTATCATCCCCAAGGGCCTACAACTAGATTTTGAGTCTCACAACGAACACATCCACGTCGCTTATGGATTTTACATGGCAGCAGTAGTTTGGGCTGGGCTTGGAATACTTACCAGGTGTCTGACTCTCTGCGATGGTACTTCGGATAAAACTTTGTTCTTATTTCATTACCTCGTAGGTCTTCTACACATACCTCTATGCAAATTTCGACGCCAGAGTGCTGACATTGAGGGAGACTTTGGGCACATTTGTCTTTATTTCCTCAGTCATTGTGACAGTCGTTGCAAGGGAGGGCCCGCAGTCAATCGAGAGATACAGCGACTTTCTCACGGCAAATGGCGGAGACAAAATTTTGGCTTTGACTTGGACTGCCTATGCATTTTGTATCGTCAACACGCTATTGTGCATTACCGGTTCCTTCCTTGGCTATGTCGGATAGCTAGCGTTACTAGCCTTGCTACAAACGACTTTTCCACTGCCGGCCGGGGAATTAAAATTACATTGTTCGGTTTCTTCGTCTTTTTATTCGCGGGCATAGCTCGCTGCATGTTTCTCTTTGCGACTTGAAGGCAAGCAAAATATTGCTCTTTTTCTTTATTGCTTGTAAATAGTCCTTCTGGCAAATGAATAGTGCAATGCCATGTCACATACCGGGTATGCTAAATGTCTTTTTGAGGGATGAATCAATGGACAGATTCCGATAACGCCAAGCGAAAAATTTCAATCTATACCAGTTGATGCAAGTACGACCAATTTTCATGAATGAAAATTCTAGTTTAGAGCGCAGGAGCTGGAAAGCCGCGTTGCTTTCCCCATAGCACCTTCCACGTAAGAATTCTTGCGGGGTTGGGAAGGTGCAGTTCTATAAGCTCGCGCCTCCCTTCAAGTCCTGCCTGTGTCTTGCTCCGTCGGGACGTTCTTCTTCCTCTCTCGACAACTTCTTTCTCTCCACAACACATTCTTTTCCACCCCAAGGTATCATTCGTTCATCATTGCCTCACATTCGTTATACTCTATTCAACTACAAACCCCACAAAAAGAACCGTCGCAAAACAACCATGGTAGACCTATCGCAAGTAGGGAGCACATTCAATGCGTGGCACATGCTCTCAATCCCCCTATTTTCCTTTGCACTTGATACTGGGGCTTTGTTTCTAACGTGAGCGATATGATTCCCCAATCTCCCCTTATCTTTATCTCTTTTCTTTTGAGATGGAAAGGAACTAACATCCCTCTTTTTCAGATTCATCGCTGGAGCTACTGTTCCCATACTGACTGTCAATACCGAGAAATTGAAGCTCAATCACTGGCACAACACACAAACCAACTTTCCACTTCACGATGTCTACAAACTCTACCATTTATCGTATGGAGCATACAACTACATCGACGACGCTCGCGCCAAATTACACACACCTCATGATAATCCAGAATTTCATGGTACGCTCTGCTCGCTGCCAAAGTGTTGTGGATCAACTGACACTTTTGACAGAAGGGAAAAGGCTAGACGGGGAACTCACACCCGTCAGCATTTTCAGTAAGTTTTTCTTCTTCCGTTCACAAGGGTCAAATCTAAATTCGATAACAGCCAAGTTCGACATGAGCAGAATTATCTCCGACAACTCCGCCAAGGCCAATTTCCAGAACTCTGCAGCTGATGGATTCAAAATTCCCATTGACATCCAGAACCACTTTACAAGAAACCATCATTTTGCTAAGAATGCTGGACTGCTATTGATGCTCGTCTGGTTTCTTTGTGTTGTTTCAAATTGGGTTGCATATTCCATGTGGCGCAAGAACAATCCACCCCCAAAATGGCATTGGCGTCGGATGATTTGTTTTTCAATTGTAAGAACCTTGGAGTTACGACTCTCTTCCTTAACATACCCAAACCATATGTTTTCCTTCCAAAACCAAGAGTAATTTCATTTGGACGACCTTGTTCTTTCGATCGGTAGACGACGAATTGCCATATCACCCCACTCTCGTTTTGTAAGATTTATACTAACTGAATTTGTAGGGAAGTTTCGCCTGCAGTCTCAGCATCGCAGCCATATTATCAACTCTAGTGGATCAAGGAGAGGCAGTTTTCAACAAGCATCAGAGCACCGGTATCTACGCAAAGGGAGACGGTCTTTCCTTGGCCTTGTTTTGGATGTCTTTTCTCCTCACAGTCATGTCCATGACTTTGTGGTTTTTGTCATGGAAGGCGTACCACGATGCCAAAGAAGAGATACGAGACAGTGTTCAACCACAACCACATGATAACGTCAATCATGTGGACGACGACAGAATGAGAAATAATGGTCGTATACCCTTTCTACATGTCAATGGTGGGGGTATAGAATTGCATGAAATGCCACCAATTCCCGAAGAAAGCGAATCGATCAATTCAGCATCGAATGAGGCCGTATCACCACCATCTGTGACTGTGCTCTCAACCTCGAGCGAGAGTTCCAAGGATAGCCAGACTAAAGGGGATAAAGCGAACGTGCCGCAACCGTCCGTGACTGTACGTCCAACCTCGAGCAAGAGTTCCAAGGACGGCAGCACTGTAGCAAGTGACAAGTCAAAGGATGATTCCGAACCCGGAGGTGTCCTCATATAGACTTTTAGAGGTATTAATGGCATGTACGCGTGGGCATGGGTTAGATTAGGAGCGCCCGGTTCTTGAAGCTTTTTGTGTAGACTTTGAAAAGACACAGGGGTTATTTGGTTGATATGGACATGGTGTAACAATCCAAGCGATAGTCTTTTTATAGAGCGAAGAAAAATGATTTTATTTGCTACTGATTTTCCTTTGTGATTCGTCATACTGTGGTCTTCCTCCTTGTGCTTTCTTGAAGGATGTTGGAACAGCTTGTGCGCTTATCTGGTACGTACAAGCACTAGGATAATTGTAATGATGTTTGTAAAAGGAATTTGAAAGATTTGTAAACTGTGCCACTGGTTAGGTTACGTCAGAGATCTAGAAGCTTATAGACTCTTGCTTAATTCCTTACCATAGGATCTTTCTTGATTGTGATAATGGAGATTCGTGGAGGGGGAAACGGGGCACTTTGTTGGAGTGGAAACATTTGCGGGAGTGATAATTTACGAAAGAATGCACTATTTCTGGATAAGAAATAATTTGCACATACCTATGGCTTTCTCTCTACTCTCTTTGTGTGAGTGGGGATTATCTTCAACTCCGATAATGAATGGGAAGTAGGAGTATTTGAGTATGATGGAGAATTGCAATTTTTGGTCTAGGGACAATTGGTAATGAGAGTAGGCCAGTTATGGTATTGTTGTTGAAATTTGTGTTTTGGAATTAAGCGGGAGAGAATCAGTGGATTAGTATATGGTTTTTTTAGTGTTGAGATGTGGGATTTGAAGCCTGATGTCGGCGGAAATTGGGTTATTGGATTACTTCAACCCCAGGCGAGGGTTGTCAAGTAGCATTGTCGCTGTGTTGCTTTAATCAATAGAACTGGTGTATAGAAAGTGTTTTCGTCTTGTTTAGGCATGAGTCTCAACGCCCTTTTAGCTCGCTTATTTGTTTGTTGACATTTTGAAGAAAGGGATCTGTCTACAGGGAGAGCATAGTCCTTGTAAATGGGTGCTAGCTCCAGGATGCAAGCTCTCCTGCACTCTACGTTGAGCTGAAATCTCACTAGTTGTATGTATGAATGAACTTTAACCATGGCTCATTTCACCAATAGTATCAGAGTACTCTTTTAGTAGCACTTTCCATCGTAAGTTGTCCAATGACAAGAGACATATTAGCAGTAAAGATTAAACTAGCACTTGACTGACTATTAGTTTTTCAGTAGCAACTCAAGCGAACAAAGCTATCTTTCTGTAGCAGGTCTTGAGAAATAACACCACCTTTGAGCGAATGGAATACGTAGAATCCTATTAAACTCTCACAAGGCTTGACTATCAATTGTTTACTAGTACTCTGAAAGCACCCAAAGATTAAGATCGTCAGAAAAGAAGAAAGACCTGGCAACGTTGATATGAGTTGTTTATGGAAGCTTGAGTTGATTCATGTGCTACTAGGACCCTGCCTAGCTTAAGGATATATACATATGTAGATAACAATGTATACTAAGAATTATCATAATAAATATTAGAGTACTCGTCTGAAACTCCGACAGAGTAGTTGAAGATCTATCTGTATAGATGGATCGCATCAAAAATCTGTTGAATTTATTAGCGAGGTAGTATCTTGGTGAGAGACTTCACTTACGAAATTGGGGTTGAGGAATCCACTTCCACTAGACCCAGAAATAACACTGATTGTAATTGTATTGCTACCGGATACTAATCCACCTGCGGCAACAGGGAAATCATAAATATTTCCATACCCACGGTAGCCACCTCTCGTGAGTCCTCTCGAGTCGATTGCTGTAGGCGCAACAGGGTTGACGCCTGCTTTGCCATTGATAGTAACACCAGGCCGTCCCCCAGCGAAGCTTAGAGTGGTGCCAACTCTGAGATTTGCATCCCCGGAAGCTTGTGCCTCCGTGAGAGTAAACTTTATGGTGACCGGGTCATTGACCCCTTTGACTGCAGCCATAGGGAAACCATCGAGGGAGGAAGATCCTACAGTGTAGGTGAGTGGACCCCAAGAAGACATGCGAGTATCTGTAGGGTGCATGCGAAGCTGCTTATCAGCATTTCGGAATCCAGTCGGTTGGCCATCCCATTCGCCGATTTGAAAGAGTGTTGTCCCTGGAGCAGAAAATTCGCTTGCAATATTTTGAGTTTTTGTTGAGCCAGCTGTCAGTTGAACACCGGTAGTAGTGGCCACTTTGAGTTCTCCCTGGTAGAGAACCATAGTATATGTTCCTGGCTTCATGGCTGGTGATGTATAACTGCCACTTGATGCAGCTGCTGTTGCCCAATATTGAGCAGCCGAATTGTACCAGTGGACTACGATAGGGAAGTTCGCTCCCGCAATGCCGCTAGCTTTTCCGCTAACGTGCCCGCGGCCGCTAGCAGGAACGTATCCATCAACGGACATTCCAGCCCAAAAGGAAAAGTCAGCATCACCAGATGGCGTCCCTGAGCGTGAAAACTGGCAGGCGTATGGACCGAAGAGCCCAGTTCGGAAATCCTCTGTCTTGATGTGTCCTGAATTCATATACCAGTATAGTCCAGTGTAGGATCCGACTGGATTGGTATTGATGTCTCTCATGAATGGTCCTCCAGAAGACGTCTCATACGCAGTGCCTGGAATTACCATGCAAGCTTTCATTGTATCACCGGAAACGCAGTGGACTTGATCCTCGATAAATCTCTTGCTAGAGTAGAATTTGCTTCTCGTCTGTCCGTTGACAATGAAAACATCTTCGCCCTGTAGTATATTAGTATCTTGTGTTCTTGCTGAATTAAAAGCCGAGAGGCACCGAGAAGAATGCTACTGCCTCGACCACTAATGATGGGAGCCAGAAAACGAGAACAAAAGGAAAGTTTTTACATACTTCGACCGTGCTGGAGGAGCCCCCAATGGCAGAGGCCTGGTTGAAATCGTCATTTGGGAGAAGAGTTGGGTTAAACCTTCCGATCCAGCGAAGTTCACCGACAGCAGGTTCTGGTGGTACATTAATTACTGCTTTTGAAAATAGGAAGGACCACTTACCCGCGGTCGTGTACGTTGACATGTGGATCGTGCTATCGCCATCACGGAAGACATAGTAATGTTTCAATGTTGAGGTCACGCAAGTGACTTTGACATACTTCACACCATCGTCTATGTAGCGAGTTAAAGTGTGTAGCTTGAATGCAGGAAACTGTCCATTGCAAAAAGTATATTGAAGAAATACAATTCTCCTTGACCCAAGCTCATAGTTCAGATGAGAAAGTACAGATGATCTCAAACTTACAAGTAATTGATATCGCACTGACGGTCGCAGTTCCCAAACCAGATGAAATGTGTGATCCTTGGCTTGCGTATTGAACCTCGTCACCCCTATATTTGATTGAACTGATATCACAATTGCTTCTTTTAATGGAGACAGCAAATGGATTTGATGCTTGGGTATCAATGGTATAAGCTGAGTCAGATGTAGAGAGTGTAATTGCATCAACACGCGAGGCTAAAAGTCCCACAAGGGTAGCGAAAGTGAAAGAAACCTTCATTGTGAAAAAGACAAGAGGTCGACCGGAGGGTATAAACTAGAGGAATCGAATGACGAGGAACGGCACCAAAAACTAGGAAGGCTGGGATATATAAAAACTTGAAGAGGCTAAGATTGACGGACAAATACGTCTGATTTCATCCCGGTCACCAAGGGCCTGGTCGCTTAACGACTCGCGAGACACCACCCGACAAAGTTTCGTCCGGGCACATAACTCTTTCCTTGTTAATATCACCCGCCTTCCCCGATGAAGAAAACAAGATTGGCATTCGTGACGGAAAACACAGAAAAGATTTACTCGGCAAGCTTCTGTATGGTGTTCTTTACCTGAATTTACGACTCCATTGTGTGATACGGTAGCGAGGTTTGCATTCAAGATTCTCGTCGCTTACTCCAAAAATCATCAAGCTGTGGTTGAAGGTAAACAGAAGTCTCTCGTACCGAGGACTCCGGCACTGAATTAATTCGTAATGTGGCTCTAATACTCCGTAAACGCAGATCAGCGGCGGATTAATTAGAATCTGGGGGTGGAATGCGGGGAAATCCCAGGCAGTACGGTTGGTGGGGGGTACGAGTGGACTTCGATGTGACCAGTTTCAGCCAAGCAAAGATGCTCTGAAATTATCCGAGAGGCTCCAATAGCTGGAAACACCAGAAATAGCAGTACGTATCTGAGGATAAAACAGTACTTCAGATAATTGAAACTTAGCGTAGACGTTCGAAAAGAGATTTTCCAGATCGACTACCTAGCTGCTTGAGATTGAGCGAACCACAAATGTGGAAATATAAACCGGGGATCTGGTTCAAAGTCATACTTGTTTCTTACGGGTGGAAAAGATTGAATCTGGGTGTATTTCCCGAAAGGACTGCTCAAGCTTTCTCCCGCTACCCCTCAGAAAACGTGTTATTAGCTGATTAGGCTGAAATGGTTGTCGTCTGAACTCAGCAATTGTTCTCTGACGTATTTCTGAATCTCAAAAAGTAAGATGTATTTTCATCAGCAGAAAAATTGGCTTTGAGACCTGGACTTTCGCTTCCGTTCATAATGAAGGGGCGTAATTAAGGTTACAAAATTGCTAACGTGTGACACTTACAGACTTCGGATGATACTTTCTTTTTCACATCCAATCTCACTGCATAATCTTGTTCTTCTACTTTGTTCGTTAACAATAGTGAGTTTGGATGGAGACCAAGATACGGGATAGACAAATACGAGTCTCACACGAAGTATGTGAACCACATCAGGAACGCAGTCGCGTTAAGACGCCACAATTACAAATGGTAGTAAGAAAAGAGTACTTGACATTCGCGGTCTAGAATCAAAACCAGGTAAGCGACTTCTGAGGGTGGAGATTATTGATAGGGTAAGTCATGATCGAGTGATCAAGGATCTTACCAGGTCTATGGAACTAATTGCGTCCAGGGGTCTCAGGGACTTATCAAGGGCCAGCAAACGAACCCATTCTTTCAAATCTCGAAGGAAGACCCGGAAAGCAAGCTAGTGGTACGATAGGAGATCGGATCCCTTTCTTGGTATTTTTGTTTTTCATCTGAGGAAATTGCGATATACTTTATTACAATCAAGAATATCCAACTTCTACCCCGGCAACGGAACTTTCCGGTATCAGGAATATTGCATATGGGTGGTTTTCTTTAATACAGTACTGTAACCAACTAGGACACGGACGAACCCAAAAACCAGATTGGTTACTAGAGATCAATTTAATACCAAATCTAGTTTAAACCTCCAAATAAGCTTATTTGGACCATGTGTATAGAAAGAGTTTAATTATGAAATGTGATTTGATTATCTATTATATTAAGTGTCCCGAAGGACGCCTGCAAATTACTTATTTCTAACATATATACGCCTTCTGCGTCTGAGGTTTATACTCCTACTACTCCCTTAGAGTAAGATAAGCCCTCGCAAATCTCCTAAACCACTATTCCTTCTCTCCCATGCTATATCCGATTCATATGTAGAATAGTGTACCCGTTTCCTAATACAAACTTACGCTCCGGCAAGCTACCTTGTATTACGTACTTAAAAGTCTAGTGTCTAAGGGTTTGAGCCCCGTAGAGTTACTAAAGTTTAGAATTACTACCACCGCTCCTTCCTTCCTAATTAGAGTGTATAAATGTCAGACGATTATGCCAAGAATAACCTCGTCTTCTAAAACCATAGAAATCAAAATAAGAACTCCGAAGACCCGATTAATTGAATTGAATTAAATTGTTAATTAATTGAACAACTAAAAGGTCGAAAGTTAAATATATAGATTTGCGTAAAATAATGGATGCCTCCCTACGTATATCACTAGAAAGAGTTTGATTGTGAAATATAATTTGATTATCTATTATACCAAGTGTCTTGAAGGATGTCTGCAAACTGCTTATTCCTGATATACATAAATCTTCTAAGTCTGGGGTTAATACTCCCACTTGTATAGTTGACGGGCCAAGCCCTTTAGGAGCTCAGTGGTTCGCTGTCGAGAACTTCATCCATTCCGAGGTTCGGGGTGATTCACGTGATTTGCCTTGCCTTGGAGGAGTCTTTACATATGTTCGTAATAGAATAAAATTCACTGTGTAGCAGACTACTATAGAAGGAAGTCTCAGTATTCCCTGTTAGTTATCTACAACAATTCACTTTTGAAAGGTGGTTTGACCTTTACCTGTTTAGGTAATTAGGGAGGTGTATCCTTTACGATGTCTTTGTCCATTTTATTCTTTTTTGTAATTTTTGCTTAGTTTTTCTCCTCTCCTCCCCTTCAAATCTTCTCCCACTCTCTTCTAGTTCCCTTCTTAAGAGAATCCACGTCTAATATACATCCATCTTCAAAGGGCATGTTTCCTAAGCGAGCGAGGCCCTATTTCTCAACCAGTGCCTCTTCCACCACAACCTTCTTAACCCCTGAACTTTCGTCTACCAAAATCAAAGTCATTTCTTCGATCTCAAGAACTGGCTCTGTTACAGCATGTCCAGTATTCATCCGTGCATCCCTCGCAACAAATCACTTAATTACCAAAGCCGTAACCATCATAGCAAAAGACAAAACAGCAATGGTAATGAAACCTTTCCTATAGTTCGGCGCTGCAACCTGTTCCCAGACTAGTAGTGGAAGCCATAATTGCACAACATAGGCCATTTCGTTCATGCTGCCGATTACTATTGCGCGTTCCTCAGAGTCTGCTGTGCAGATTTCGTGTGCCCATCTACAAATCTGTTAGTTGATGACCAAGAGAAAAGAGCGAGCTGTGTGGAAACATCTTACGCCATGCATAGACCCGAGAGGCCAGAACTTGCGCTTGCGATTTAGTAGTTGAACCAACGCCATCCTTCTGGAATTTCACAGATTGCAAGGGATACTCCGACACAAATTTTCGTGAGCTATGATGAAATTATTAATACTTTGATCGAGATCGGAGAGAGTGCAGATTCATTCAGAGAAAAAGAGGAAATACTAACACCACCAATCATAATTGGCTCCCATCGAGACCCATTTAGTACATTGTCCGACAGCCAAGCGTGGAGAAAGGTTGTAACAATTTGAACTGCTCTTGCTCCAGTAGGGTAATAATTGATGTCTTCAACACTGTACTTCTCCTTTTTGAGATATTGTGCAAATACTGGTTGACTGTTGATACCGCTGTTGTTGAAACACCTGTTCAGCGGGCGATTTAGCTTTGTTCCTCGACAATATTAACTTAAGGAGAGTAAAAACATACACATATAACAAAGTGAGCAACCAAATACGCCAAGAGGTCAAAATTCTAATTATCTTAGATCTTGTATATGGCGCTCGTTCCTTCCGTCCTTCCAACTCCATTCTTTTCTTGGCGAAAACGAGTTCCTGCTTATATTAGCACCCATTTTCAGTACTTGCTCTTCGAAAAACTTACCTCGGCAGAAAAATAGAATGTTTTACAGATCTCCGGTACATCAGGCAATATGAAGTACCCAGCGATACAAATCGGAAGACCAATAGCGCGGTCAATGAGGAAAAGCCATTGCCAACCAGCTAAACCGTGGAGTCCATCCAGTTGAATCATTCCTGTCATGAGGTAGCCCGAAAGCATCGCAGCTAGGGCTGAGCTGACGTGAAATAGACAGGAGCGTTTGGCGAGCTCATCTTTTCGGTCTGAAGATTGGGGACTTAGATTTGTTCTTCAAAGGGATTGGATTTACTCACACCAGCTTCCGATGATGTACTGCATTCCAGCCAAACCTGCAGAAATTGTTAGTGGGGTGGGGAGTTATGAGGACATACAACTTACGGATAAAGAACCTCACAGCATATATTTGTTTCGCAGTGGTACGTCGAGCGAGGGAAAAAGTGAGAACAGTCCAGATCAACTACACGATGGTAAGCTCGGAAGCACATGAAGAAAGGGGAAAATACTTCGCAACAAGGAATCCAAACCGATGGTCGAACTCTTGTAAGTACGAGGTTGGAAGGAATTTCTCCAATTACACATCCTATCGTCCAGCATGTTTGCATGTAATTGAATTCATTCTCATACAGATTCAAATCCTCTTTCCTGAAATCATCAGTATTGAAAATTACCATAAGCAGCTATTAACTTACATCCCGGAGACAAAAGCATTATTGATATTCGTCTGATGGAGATTCTTGATGAAATATCCTGCGGAAGATCAACAGGATTGTCTCAAGATACCTTTGATGGAATATTTACCAAGAGATGCCATCGTCAAAAGCGCGAAATCAAGCTTAAACATGAAATGACGCTCCTCGGGTGATTTATCGAATGTGTCCCATATATAACTTTGCCATCTCTTCTTCACATTTTTCTGGATAATTTCAAGTGAAGTATTATTCTCTTCGGAGCTTTTAACTGCTGTCGTCACAGCTAGGCAATCTTTAGTGACGCTCATCGTCGTGGACATTTTCATGGAAAGACAAATTTAATACTGCATTTCTTTTTTGACAGAGAAGAAGTCATTATATGGTTCAGCTGTGCCTTCCTGAGTAATTATCGAGGATCCTCGCCTATAGAAAGACTTGGCGTTCGTTAAATATGCGTTCGAATAGCAGTTGAGATTGTTGTGATTCTCATTCGTTCTATGCTTTATCTGCGCTCATAGAACCTTGCTATTGCGTGCTAATTAGAGGGGTTCCTTTCGTTGCGATATCAAGGTTATTTCCCAAGAGTGGAGGTCAAGATGGCTGAATCAGAGAGGTAATGAAGTCCTTCCAAATATGTTGAAGATCCGGGTACTTATCAATGGATACCTTTCTGCAGAAATGTCTCATATCTTGATATTGCTTGCTTAGAAAAAATCCCTACTCAGCTTTAAGTCCGATATCAAGGACATATACGACTTGTGCCATGGTCCATATGGAATACTCTGTGAACAGTATTCAAGCAAGTAAAGAGTATGTGAGTAGTGAGACAGACTTGCCATACCCTTATATACACCTATCATAAGCAATCCAATAGAATACCGCTCGTTTATCTAACCGACTCTCCAACTCACCATACATAAACACCTATGTGATAAAAATGTGGGGTACAAACTGGGTTGAGCGGGTAGCAATATGTATGCAATATTGCGTGCTTACCATATGAGGGGTGTCCCAACTTTAACGTCGCAACATTGTATTTTAGCCTCCCATGAAATCCCATTCTCCAGCCACAGAATTGGGTTGTGACGCCATAACTAAAAGTATCCTGATTGGTCGCTTACACAGCACGATCGACTGAAACACCGGATTTTGACTTTCGCGTCCACATAAACATGTGAGAGTAGTCCCTTTGAGGTACAAGCCGGAAGATGTTTGCCGGTGTGTGTGACTAGTAGATAAAAGAAAGACATCTCTTAGAAATATTCTGTATATACTGCGGAACAGTCATATTTACTGCACCTCATTTCTCGAAGATCCAAAGATCCAAACACAAAAAATGCCTTCCTCAACCCTCTCCCCATATAAACAAATCCCCGAAACCAAAGAAGACTGTACGTCCAACCTCCTCCCTCCCCAAACCTCACACTAAAATTACGCAGTGGACTGGGCCGAACTAGTAACCCTGGATCTCAGCCTCTGGGACAAACCAGGCGGCAAAGAAAAACTCGCAGCCCAGCTCGAACACGCTTCTCAACACGTCGGTATGTACATTTGTTTCATTTAGGTAATAATTACCTTACTTACTAATAGACTTTAGGTTTAAACCTTAGTCTGTTCTCGCTTATTCTAGAACGTTCGATCACGTGAACCGAAACATTCTAGTATCCCTTTCTATTTATAAGCACTTCTATTCTATTTATAATCTATAGAACCTCCTAGAATCTATATAAGGAGTATATATAGACCTTTACTGTCCTTATAGTTAGAAAAATCAAGTCATTTTCACAAGTCAAATTCTTACTCTTTTGATTCCCGATGTATCTAACAGTCATCTGACCATCCTACTTCCACTGTCTTATATACACTCTGTATATAACCGATACCTCTTACAACATTAAAATCTAGAAGCCTTTTAAAGAACGAGAAGCTTACATCCCCACAGGATTCTTCTACGTCACCAACTTCGGAATCTCGCAAGAAGAAGTGGATAGACAATTTGCTCTTGGCCGGGAATTTTATAAACTTCCTTTGGATGAGAAACTCAAGTTTTATAGTCAGGAAGACTTGGATAATGGGGAGTACAATGGGTCTTGACCTGCTGGTTTGCGTCAGTGAGTACAATCTTAATATGTCGAGATAAGTGAAGTGTGAAGGAAGGCTAACAGTAATAGATTGGGAGAGGGGATTGTGGATAATATCGAAGTGTATAACATTCCAAAATTCGACGGGTTCCATGCAAAAGCACACAAGCAACCAGCTGTGTTAAAAGAACATCTCGATGAGATTGAAAAATTCAGTCGTGCAAGTCTCTACCCCCTAAATAAAACCACAATAAGGCTAATGCAAGGTCAGGATATCCACGAAAAGGTCGTTTTGAAACTCCTCCGCGTCCTCGCCACAGTCCTCGAGCTGCCTGAAGACCAGCTCCTTCAAGATCACGCATACAACGATAACGGTGAAGACCATCTCCGCTACATGCACTACGCAGCTCGTTCTGCCGAGAAAAACAAAAAGATTGGCGGTCTCTATTCTCCAGGACATACAGATCTAGGTACCATTACAATATTATTCCGTCAACCAGTTGCCGGGTTGCAAATCCTCAATAACAAGGAGGAGTGGAAATGGGCGAAGCCCATGGATGGAACGATCACTGTGAATATCTGTGGTGCATTGTCTGCACTTACAGGAGGCTACTTTAAGAGTAGTGTGCATAGAGTTCATGTTCCACCACAGGATCAGGCACATATTGATAGATTGGGAGTTTTGTATTTTGCTCGGCAAGTACCCCTCCCCTTCCCCTTTTTACATATACTAACCTTTTCAGACCAAACAACCACGTCTACCTCCACCCCATAACCAACTCACCTGTCCTCCAACGGACTGAGAAAACCTCCAACCCTTTCACAACACTGGGAAAACGCATGACGGTCGAGGAATGGGTCAAAGTGCGTCAAACGCAACAGCAAAGAAGGAAGGTCCCTGTGAAGATTACCGAGGATGGGAAGTATACCTATCATAAGAAGGACATCGAGATCTTGCCGGGGTTGACTGCTATGGTTTATAACTGAGCACACAATATGAGAAGCTCTGAAGGGGTTTGCAATTGGAAGCTAGGTTTCTGGCCTCGAAGATCTTTTTGAAGAAATGAGAGGAGCTTTTCGTGTTCGGGTAAGCTGTAGCCTTGTCAATATTGAGATTTTTTCAGATCACGCTATTCGACGTGCATCAAGTGGCTATAGCCATCGTACTTTGCTCAGCTTTGAGGTGATGTTTCGTATTCAGGTTCTTTATTTATCCCTCGACGATCCAATTAGAAATGTGGGTTTGAGCTTTCCGACCGACTGTGGAGATAGTTATCATGTAAACTTGAGGTCAATTATGTAGGCGTCAATAAAATGAAGGGACTTCAAAATGGCAATGAAATAACAAGCACAAGACTTGCTTCGCAATCCAGTAAAGTACAATAACTCTCCCCCTCATAAGCGAAATATCAGCCCCACCAATATTTCCACTATCAATTGTTAGCAATTCACTCCCATCCCGCTAAAAGCGCAAATAAGAAACCGACTCCCACGAACATGGCTATTCTTATAGTACAGGTAGCCTGGTGGTCAGACACAAGTGTTCCAGCTAAACAAATCAGGTCGCCTGGTTTACCTGGTGCTCCTTCCCTCGATGGGTGGGAGTTAGATGTTTTGCTGTTTTTCCATACCACGTGAGTTTCCTCCTAAGAGAGCTGCTGTGGTTTGTCGTGCTGAGCTTTTCCACCCATTTCCGTATGGTCAATCGGTTCTTGCGAAGTGTCAGCTGCTGGAGATGTAGTAGACGGGACAGCTTGTCATATTGACGATCATCTTGCTGTCCGCATTCCCTCAACATAGTCATTTTGTCCATTAGCAGCCCGAGGTTGTGCACTTCTTTTTTGTGCTGTATTCTCCCATCTTCCATCAGGACCTCTGCATCCCGAAGTTTTCGATTGAACAAGGCGGTTCTCACAGCCAAATTGTACATTTCAACATTGGGTTGGATATTGTAAGGATCTGAAACCATGGTTCTGAATCATACCACGTGAGTTTCCTCCTAAGAGAGCTGCTGTGGTTTGTCGTGCTGAGCTTTTCCACCCATTTCCGTATGGTCAATCGGTTCTTGCGAAGTGTCAGCTGCTGGAGATGTAGTAGACGGGACAGCTTGTCATATTGACGATCATCTTGCTGTCCGCATTCCCTCAACATAGTCATTTTGTCCATTAGCAGCCCGAGGTTGTGCACTTCTTTTTTGTGCTGTATTCTCCCATCTTCCATCAGGACCTCTGCATCCCGAAGTTTTCGATTGAACAAGGCGGTTCTCACAGCCAAATTGTACATTTCAACATTGGGTTGGATATTGTAAGGATCTGAAACCATGGTTCTGAACAAATTTAAGACGGCGTCTGAAGGGATGGGATTTCCTATGGAAGCTGTATCCCATTTGTAGGATGAACGCAGAGGACGTGAAGAGGGTTTTTTGATTTGTTTGGGAGAGAAAGGGAGATAGGAGAGTCTTTTGGTATTCAGGAGGGGTTTAGGGAGGTGGGATGAATTCAGGAGGAGGTTGAGTGTTGGAATGGGCTGATGGTCTTCTATGTTGATGAGTTCAACTAACCTATACTATTCTAACAGTATCCTAATTTCAATTTGATTCCAAATTGGATATAAACTTCACAATTCCATCTCTTAATCCCTCAGGACTTGGTTTTTCCGCACAAACATCCGGCTCGAAACCAAAGCTATCCCTCAAGAAATCGCGGGTCGTAGGACCGATTGTAATGACATAAGTCTTAGACCTCCCGCTCTTCGTATCACCTTCAACTTTCACTCTTCCCGTATTCTGGTCCAGCAACCCCAGAACCCTCAGCATAGCCTCACACCCAGTAGGAGAAAAAACCACCACCCACCTCATATCACTCCCTTCTGTATCGCCCAAAACCCGTTTAAAGTCCTCCGCGAACGATTCCATTACTCCGGTTCCGTAGACGACAAGTTCATCGACCTGTATACGTCTCTCATTGGGTAATTCGGGATCCATAAGTGTCTTTGGTATTATATCCCTTCTCTGTTCTCCCACTAGGAATAGCAATGGTGGCTTGACAGTTCTATCTTTATACCATTCCCCATAGTGATCGAGCATGTAATGCGCCAATGCCTCACCATTCCCAGTTTCTGACCCGAAGATTTTCAGAGGTGGGGTTTGAGGGATGGATCGTAGAGCTCGGGAGGTTGCTGGACCGACGGTGTAGGTTGGGATATCTTGTAGATGGGGCCATGATTCTTCACCTATTCAGACAGAGTTAATTGTGCCCTATATTTCGTAGAAATGGATCTTGGGCTCCTACCTACCTTTCCCTTCCTCAATCAATTTCGCAAATGCCTCTACAGCACGTTGAGACGTAAATATCATCCCACCATACTTTGCACCCTCCTCTTTGCTAATTGACTTCTTCTGAAGCAAACCCCGTACTACACTCATCCCATCTTCCAGAAGTTGGTGTTCCAGCACAGGCACGAAAATAGGATCAAATTGCAAATCATCTTTTGAGGAGGAGAAATGTTCTTGGTATCCATCATTGGGTATGGATTTCGTTTTCAACAAAAGAATTGGAATTTTGTTGCTCATGGTGGAAGGATGGATGAGGGGAGTGAAGGATGCCGACGCCCGTGCCTATGACGACGTATGCAAGGCTGACTTGAACCCCTGTCAATAATTTCTGGGGTTCCGCCGCGCCACGAGGAGAGTGGGTTCTTACAAAGCCTCGTCTTCTATTGATTTACAACCTCACAATCTCAATAATATTGGGCAAATAGTACATCAATTGATCTATAAAAATGGCAGACGACACTCGAGAAAACGAGACAAAAAGTACAGCTGCGCCAGCTGTTTTTCCTTCCGGAAAACCAACAAGAAATGCCCAGGGAGTAATACTAGGTAAAGACGGTAAACCGTAAGCTCCCCTCCTCTCCCATCCACAACCACCATCTAACAATATCCAGTTGCCGCTCCTGCAACTCCTTCGCCTCATTCACATCCCAAACCAAAAAGATCACCAAATCCGATCCACAATGTCCCCCAGACGTCGAGCAACTCGGCCGCTCAACCTGGACCTTCCTGCACACACTCACAGCCTCCTACCCAGCGAATCCCACGCCCTCCGAGCAGTCCAATGTACAGCAATTCATGGGTCTATTCGGGAAACTGTATCCATGTTGGGTTTGTGCGGAGGACTTTCAAGACTGGATGGCGAAGAATAAGGTTAGGACGGAGAGTAGAGATGAGTTTGGTCGCTGGATGTGTGAGGCGCATAATGAGGTTAATCGGAAGTTGGGGAAGCGGGAGTTTGATTGTGGGAAGTGGGAGGAGAGGTGGAGGACTGGTTGGAAAAATGGAAGCTGTGACTGAATGTAATGAGTTATGAGGAGTAGAAGGGCGTATGGGCTGTATTATATAGGAGTTATGGATTGGATAGAGGATCTTGGATACATTAGTTGGTGTTAGGCGTTTCTCTGGCCTGGGTTCCAGGTTGGTTTGTAGATATCCCCGCTCAGTAACTGTATATCTATCTTCAGATATTTCTACTGTATCAACTGTCTTATTGTTTCCCTATCTTTTTATACATATAGCTATTCTAATGTACATTCTAACGTATAACCAACATTACAGAGAGAACTTCGAACAGAGCTCATCCTCAGCAAGGGTCACACACTCACTTAGATTCTTATTTCCTCTACAAGCCATCTCATATCTGTCGTCCTGGGCTACCGCCAATTCTCCTCCCTCTTATCCTGCATCTTTCCATCCCATATCGCTCCACAAAAAACATCGCTTCATATTGTTACCGTCGAATCTCATCCTACTGTCGAATCCTCAATCCTCCTTCACTCACACAAACTAAGCCTCCTCATCTATCCACTAGTCCCTCCAAATCAGAAATGCAGTGTGAATCTTTTCTGGACATACTGCCGATCTGTGAAAGGAAATAAGTGCTGGAACTCGACTCAAGAGAAGTGATAGAGGTGTGTAGGGGGGGGGGAGAGCCAGTTCATCTTCTTGCTTCGTGCCCTCTGTCTATTTATGATGTTTAACTCGCTTGCTCGGAATCAGATTGAGATTCGAATGTTTTGATAGTTTGGTAATTACTTTGAAAGGGAAGTTCGTCGAATTGTGGTTATTGAGTAGGCTGTCGTGCCGTTTCGAGGATTTGAAGGTTTTCCTTTAGTCTTGGAGTGTACTTTGCTGTGACAAGACAGAAGGCTCAAGTTATTTATGCTATCCTTCTAAATCCTAATCCTGTTTTGACCGACATGTCCATGTTGAATAGTTGTTCACTATAAATAGAGAGACCCTAGCAAAACTCTAGCCAATATCAGCCAATCGGATCTATGGGAGAAACAATCATCTCTCTTATCTATACCTCAGGTGAGACTTAGAATCAAGAGGAGAGACTGTGAATAAAGTCCAGCCAAACACTGAATCGAGGATAAATGTCGCCCAAAGTTTGATTCTTTCGATCGCCAAATCCCTCCGCCGAAAACTTCCATGATTCCGACGCGGAAGTGCCAACGGCAACTATTGTATTCTCCGACATGCCTGCGACAAGATTGTCTCCACGGAATGCTAGTCAACAATTTGAGCCGGAGGTTCAATAGACGGATGAAGTGGAATCTGAGTAAGTATTTATGATAGAACAACACAATGTTGTTCTCGAGGGTTGTCTTGCTGTCGAATGTACTTCATTCGTTCTGCGCGGGTTGATTTGAGGGGTGTCTCTGCCGAGTGTGTAGGTCTTTGCTTCTGTCATTCAGCTGGTAAGCGTTCTATCCGTGGATTTAATCTTGGGCTGCTGAATTGCAGCAAGTAGGCCTGCGGCTAGGATTCGCGAAAGGAGAATTGATGGTTATGCTAGCTCGTTGGCCTTTTAGGTGATCTTCCTAGGTATCCTGCATTGCAGCTTCGTTGAGATAACTACAATCTTACAAAGACTATAAGTTAGGCGTTGAGAGTTTGTTCATCTGTATACGGAGAAGACACTTTCCCGTAGCATGGGTTGAAGAGGTATTTTGAAGAAGATATCCAGAAACTTAGGGATCAAGTACCGAAAATCATAATACTGATTTCCCTCGAGTCCTATTTCGATCCAATTAGCTTTATGAGTCTCACAACAGACTTACAGTAACCAGATTCAAAACCCATACCTCCTTCCAAAAACCACCTCCAAAATACAGACCCCAATTCCAGAAGTAATCGCGCCCACCAGCAAAAACCCCTTTAACCACTCTTTCCAATGCTCCTGCTCTTCCTACTCCTCCTGCTCCTCCCAGTCTTTCCAGTCCTCAGTTCATTTACTACACCTTCCATCTTCCACCTCGGCACCCCAGCACTCTCAAGAAACTCCCCCACCGTATTGACATGCATGTTCATATCAACGTCCACATGTTTCAACAAATCCTCTTGGCCCAATGGATTGGCATTTTCCGGACCGTACCGAATTTCGGGTTCAGGCGGTAGCATAGGGCTAGGAGGGGCTCTGATAGCAGACCAGGCCATGGTGAGAGGGAGAAATAGGGCGGGGAGGAGGTATTTTGGATGCATTTTTGGTTGTGGTGATGTTGTGTGCTATCGTGAAGTTGGAGGGTGTGGTGGGTATGGCGGGGATGTGTGAGTTTGAGGCAGATATAGTTGGGATTTGGTGTAGGAGGGAGGTGAATATTGAATCTATAAGTATCTATTGTAGTGAAGTTAAGGTTGGTTTAAGGGATTTCACAAGTTTAAGGGATTTCACAATTCGACATCATCACATCGTTTTCTGGCTTAGGAGAGGAGCCAACGTAGCTAGATTCATGAAATACATGCCTAGGCAGTAACGATCTGAGGCTAGGTAATCAGACTATACTGACGCTAGAGTCGCGGAAGTTACGAACACCTATAATTTTAGGATATTTTGTTGAGATGACATCACAAAAAAGATTAGCCATCTTCAACGAAAATGCCTAATTTAGTGCCAGTATAGTTTTGTAAATGACATCTTCATGAATTCATCACCTCATCCAGATGCACCGTTGGTGAACACTCATATGTGCAGAGTGGACACTGAGAGAATCTGAAAATCTCTAAATCTCTCTTCATCAGAAACAACCCGCCCTAACTGACAAGCTTAGAATATTACGAGAAGACCATGCTGTAGAACCGTATCTTAAGATTGAAAAGCACAAATTTCAACGGCCAGAATAGTTTCAAGTGGTTTCGTTGCTTTCGATAATCATAATGTCATCAATTTGTTCTATCTGAAGCAGTACCAAAAGTCCGAACGTTATTGCATGATCAAAACTATGAAATTCGTCTCAAAGAGTGTTGTGTACTGAAGATGCTTTGGCTCCTTCGTCGTCACTGATCGCATCTAATGTTCCCGTAAAATTCTTCGCCTAAAACGCACTGACAAAAAGGAGTAGCGAAAACATAATAAGCGAACACACTTGTCGATCTAATAAGCAAAACATTGAGCTTGAAAAAGAAAAGTACATGAATTTAAATGATAGTGATGATAGACTCCACCCAGCCAGTCTTTCTGTCAATGGCGTTGGTCCCATTCTCTCGTTCTTCCTCACTTTCCCTCTCGCGTAATTCCCTTGCATCGGCTGCCTGTTTTGCCAATATGCTTTCGTCCAAGTTGCCGTCTGTACCCATTTCGGAAAGATTTTCTGAAACTGGAGCAGAATTTCTACCATCCGTCGGGTATTCTGAGGTTACAGGGTAAGTCGCTCGGTTGAAATATCCGAAGTCTTTCTCATACTCAGATACTTCAAAAGCTCCAACTCTCCGATATTCCATCCTTTGATTCTTGATATTTTTGGTTGGCTGAAGTAATAAACCCCAGACATCTTTCTGATACACAGTCTGCGAATGTATAGGAAGACAGAAACATTCAATCAACTCTGACGTGAACTCATCAGGGGTATCCAAGTACAACCGCATGCCAAAGGGAAAATAATGATAACGGCTCACTATTTCTGCGCGGTGAAGCGTTATTCGTTGCAGCCAACCTCTCAGGCAGATGTAACCCCCAGATACTTGACCCATCGGATTCGTGGTTACCAATTCAGTGACCGCTTCCAATATTTGTATCATATATCGTCGGTCTTGGCTAAATTCGTTTCTGTATTCAACTCTCCAATTTAAAGACGCCCAAGACCAACTTGGTGCACAATAACCTTTTGCTTTCTCAGCAGTCGAGTCATTCACAAACCCTACTGTCCATACTAGTTGAATGGGAAGAAAACGAGACCAGAGACCAGCAAGATAGTCGGCCTCGGGTCCGAATTTTTGAACCAGTGGCGACCTTAGCCAGTCCAGAGATAGCAATGGGCTTATCTGATTCTTTGTTATAGACCTGTTCGTGTAATTATCCACCAAATCGTTCCATAAACCAACCCCACGAAACAAGGAATCAGCTTTGTCTTCTGATTTCTCTTTTTGAAGTATCCTATCCACACCGTAAACTTCTTCAGGAAAGGGCAAATTAGAGAACCTTGAAACAAGGCCTAGGTACTGATCCTCCCAAGGAATGCCAGTAGGATATTGTTCAAATGCTTTCTACATGATTTTAGTACAGGGTCCAATGTAACTTTCGGGAGAATATTTGCTTACAAGCTCTGCACACTCCCAAAGAAGCTGAGACCGAGTACAATGGATGACCCGGCGAGATAGATATTGTTCTTGCATAACTCATGCACGTTTATTTAGTGGTGCATCTATCACAACATCTTTCCCCTCATCATTTTTTAGTTCGAGTTCGTATACTCCCTCAAAATCCGAAGTATTGATACGCATCCTACAAGCTTTGGCCAACGCAGGGTTTCGCTTAACAAAACAGCCCTTTTCGCCATTTTCTGCTGCTGTTGCAGCGATATTACACACTGCATTCTTGTAAACGCTCTCCATCCGAGCAGACTCTTGCTCCCAATCTTCTGTCGAGTCTTGGATAATACACAGCGAGTCAATCCATAGAAACTGAATTTCAAGTCTACGCGTGAGCTCTATGGCATCTTGAAAGGTCTTTGGAAGCTCGTCGACGGATATCCCCTTGATCATGGAAATCAAATCATCGTCAAGGAGCTTTTTGATCTTTTTACTACTCCAGCAATGGCTAAGTGTTGCGTAAGATTGTTCTGCTTGAAGTGAATTTGCGTCGTTAACATGAAGTCGGAGTTTGGGGGCCCCCTTTGAACCGACACTCAAAAGCCTTGTAGGATGTGGTTCCTTTGAACTTGGTTTGTGGCACTTTTGATGGTTCTGCAGGCACTCTTGGAACCAGTGAGAAGCAAGTTCTTGACAAGCAATAACGCTGGTACAATCCTCATGGTAGTTGTGCTCAATCTGTGTAGTACTAGTTGTGCCTTAGCGAAAACTTTAGTTTATATACTTTAATCATGACAAAAGTTAGAGTAATTCACAAGTGGGGATTTGATGATTAAAAGCTTACTATTTATAGGACAAAACCAGTACCTTGTGAGGGAGAGGTATCTCTTATTAAAGTAAACATAGAACAAACCAGTAATAGAAGCTTTTGAAAACACGTCTCGCTTCCATTTCAATTCAAAGCTTTCTTCATTTTCGGTGCCAAAATCATCCAGGTCTTTATCATAGAAGAAACCATCCAATAAACGGGCACAAATCGGGCACCCATCTTCAGCTGAACTTTTCAAAGCCTGAAAACTAGAATGATGACGTATCCTCTCGTGAGGAAGAACTTTTGGTAGCTTGGCGATAAAGTGAGAGCAGCAACTGCACAAAAGATGGTTCAACTCCATAATTATCGTGATGGTGATTCGATTGAAAAACGAGAAACCAAAAGCGGGGTTAGACATCAGCCGCCCCCAAGTACTACAGTATACCAAGGTGTCTCGCATACGTATTGCTTATTAAGCTATCTGTATACAGCCTTACATTTCCTCACGTTACCCCTTGTTAGGCTAATTATAAACGGTCACCGAATTCCACTAAAAGTTTCCCTGGTAAGATAACTGGTCATTGCTCGGTACACACGGTATAGAAAGTTGCTTAATACTAATTTTCTAGTATTACTAATAAATAAAATGATGGTATTATTCCCATCTAATTATTACACATAGGCTACTGTAAGTTAAAGTAAGCAGTAGGTTAATCAATTTAGTTATAGAACTATTCAAGTTATACGACGCTTTTAGATTAATTGCATTTTAAGAAAGTTGTATATAGAGTAATACCCAAATCTCTTACCCTTGAATCAATAAAAATAACTGGACGCACTAAATAATAAAGAAATGAATGGATTTCCTCTATTAAAAAGCTATTTACTATTGTTTTTCTTCTCTGCTAGGAGACAGCTACCTCCAACTCCCTCATCTGGCTTATCACTCACTCCTAACTACCCAAAAAAAGACAAACTTACCCACTTAATCCGGCAAAGGTGAAAAGAAAGAGCACTTCCTACCATACAAGCTATTTCCCCCTCCTCCTAAACCTCTCAAGACCTAATATAGTAGCTTAATCCATCCCGCGATATTCTGCATACCTAAAACAAACCGGATAATCACGATATCTCATTCACAGCACCACAAACGGTATCCCTTCCCCCTCTTCAGAAGCTCCAACCAACTACACCAAATCAACATCCAAAAAAGTCACCAGCTCAAAAAAACCACACACACACCAAGAATCCAATTTAGGAAGGAAAAGATGACTTACTGACTCCCAAAAGCGACAACATGCTGAGACCTTCTTATGCAAGAACCAGCAAACCAAGTAATGAAAGACAGTCATCCATCGGATCCAGAAATGTGAACGAAGGTTGTAGGTGGATAGATCAAGCTACCTGTAAATTTCGCAGCAAACAAGTAAGTGTAAGAGTAAGAGTAAGATTGATTCTTTTTGACAAATCTAAGTACAGTACAGGTATTCCTCTCGTCATCGTCCCACATCCAACTCGTATTCCATACCCAATGACTATCTTGAACCAAGGCGAAAGACTAAGACGAGACCGAGTTACCCAAAGAGAACAGAATTACAACGTCATCAAGCAAAAGCGATCCAGACTGGGAAATCCCAAAAACGCCCCGAGAACCGAAGATACCGACTCCCCATCGTAAAGAGGCGTCCGCGTGCAACACACCTACACCGGGTGAAACAACGCGGCTGACACACTGTGATACCACCAAAACGTGGTTCTCATCAAGGAAGAATGAAGGCAGAGGACAAATGACCAACCGATCGGTTTGTGTATAGTGACGAAAAACTGAAAGGGGCAACGGCAGTTGGAGTGGCTTGCGTGTATAAATGTGGCTTTGTTTTGTGTTGCGTCGTTTTTTGGGGTGGGGGAGAGGCGGTGGGAGGCTGTTTGCACCTTGAGATGGGAATGTACAAGGTAGGTATGGAAAAGTGGTGTGGAGGGGTGAGAGTGAGAAACGTGGGGTACAGTAGTTGATACGACCCTATCTTAGAGTAACATGGGAACTTGGACATTCACATGTAGTGCAGGGAATGGAGGATTTTGTCAGATGATCGTTCGCCACCGTTTGATTTCTCGTAGGTGGGTTTGGAACCTAAATAGCATGGCAAAGAGAAAGATTTGGCTTAGATGGAGGTAGGTTACTCAAGTACTACTGGTACCATACCTTCTTGGTAGATCTGACATTTAAGGTTATCCTGAAGGATCGGTCCTCTTCCCAGCCGTAGTTCCAGAGGGGAAAGCTGGTACGCATATTTTGACAACCGCGCTAAACGACGACGAGCGGTGAAATGTTCGGGACCATCTGGTTTGCATTAATCAGATTGTCTTGATAGCAATACTGGTTTTCGGAATTCTACCTCGGAATTTGGAAATCCGAAGAGGCCGTGATGGTCCTTATCGGGTGATGGATGTCCTCAATATCTGGAATCCAGAACGGCCCAAACAAGACACCTCCCTTGAGAAAGAAAGGGGACCTCGAAGCCAGCTTCCACACCCCCACTTCTTGACGAGCTCATCGGATGCGAGTCGTGCGTGACCAACTGCGTGTCATGCTTACAGAATGTTTCTCTTTCCATGAGGAGGGATGATAAGAGGGAGTTCAGCACACAGAGCAAGTGCTGGAAATCGCTTGAAAGCTACACTCATCTGCATGCCATGGTATGTTCGTATCGATGTATCTTTCCAAGGTGCGGGTGATTCGTTGAATCACTTTCCGCATCACGAGGCATTGTGTCTCTTCGGTCAGTCAGAACTGCTGTTGCCCTTGCTTCGAGGCGTTGTGGGGAAGCGTGGGTGGGTGATCCAGCTTGGATACTCGAGTCGTCCGTATCTTGAAGGAAAAAGACCAACTTTCAACAATCCAACGTCCGAGTTGTATCGTCACAATCTCTTCTTTCTATCTGATCCGGGTCCCCGGTTTGCATACCCTAAACGCGAGAAGCGCGTAAGTTGATCGTGGATTGGCCAAATTGCCGCAATTCTGCAAGTTGGTGCTGGCAGTGTCGCTGGTGGTTGCACTTGCGCCGGCTCTTCAGGCTTGTGGTCCCCTAATCCAGTAGAAGAATCGCTCTCGGCAGGGTTGCGCCATTGTGTATGAAGCTCTCGCCCATCAGACTGGCTGTGTCGACACCGCTCGCAGTCAGACACCGGTGAACGGTATCGTGAGGATATACTTGAATATACTTTCGCAACCAAGTAGCGCTGTGAGCAAATCTAGCGAAGTTGGTCACAGAGTAGTCGTTTGAGTGGTGGTGGTGGTGGTCGGCCTTTGGTGTGAATTTTTGCGGTGGACGCTGAAGACCTGAAGACCAATCACTAGCGCCGACCCACTAGCGTGCTCAGCCTGCCCTCACCCAACTGGGCAGCCACGGCAGCTCCAGGCGAGGCCGCCTCGAGAGCTCGGCCTATTCTTGTCTACAGTAGCTCCTCTAAACTTTGCAACCATCACCACATACACCTCCTCCAACAACCTCCTACAAGTGCATCTTTGGCACAAAGGATCCTTCGCTCTCCCCAACATTGGTTACCTCTACCTCTTCACCCTCTCCACATCCTCTTGCCATCGACCGCCGACTCCATTCGCACCACCAATCCTACAAGCGACAAGATCAGTCGTCCCCCACTTCGAGGCGGGGTCGGTCGCGATACTCGAGCACTGCACCGCTACTACCAAACCTAACGACCTAACGTTGCTTTGATTTGCACTACACCTTGGAGCTGTCTGAGGTCATTCGCAGATTATGCTCGGTCAAGGCCCGCCGATGCCTTCAGAGTATCGCCATATGAGCAGCGGTTCTTTGAATATTCCTCCGCCAACTCCGATTAACAGCAGCAGCAACGCAGGACCCCCACCACCAGTCGGCGGTATGGGAAGATTTGAGGGCCCAACGAGTCCACCAGGACGACAAAGTCAGTCGGACCCATGCCATAGCTCTCACCAGATCATATGTAAGAGCCTCATGCTAACCATTGACCGATTGCAGATACTTCGCATGTTCCATGCAAATTCTTTCGTCAAGGCATGTGCCAGGCTGGTTCTGCTTGTCCATTCAGCCACGACCTCGCAAGTACTAACGATAACGTATGCAAATATTTTGCAAAGGTGAGTTCCGTACCTAAACCCAATTCCAACCAGTCACGTCATCCAGCCAAGCTTGATTAACTTTCTGCTTTAGGGCAACTGTAAATTCGGTCCGAAATGCGCCAATGTACATGTTCTCCCTGATGGCCGCCGAGTCAACTACAAACCAGGAGGCCCTATGGGCGCAGGGCATTTAAATTTGGGAGGACGTCTAAACACCGACTTATACCATCCGCAAAACTCTGGATCAGCTCTCACAAACTCGTTCAATCGTGCCAATAATAACGCCATCCATCCACCTCCATTTGCTCAACAATATTCACCATTGACATTCACAAATCAAGAAGAGAATTTTCCACCACCAGGAGGTCGTCAGCAAAGCATTGATATCAACGTCCCAACCATTGATACCACCTACACTTCTCACCCAACCTCTAATTATGGTTCCCCCAGAGACGAAGACATTTCACGTTTTGGACATGGGCTATCTCCAGTAGCCGCTGCTAAAGGCCTCAGTGTTTTGGATGCGCCTCTTCCAGCTTCCTTTGATAGTAATGGCGTATCGTGGATTGCCAGACATGGACCAATTGCATCTTCAGTCCCAGCTAAGTTTGGTATTGATTCTCCACCATCATCAGTTGGAGCGGCCAAGGATGGAAGAACCTCTGATGCATTAAAGAGCTTGCATAGTTCCGCTTTTGGAGAGGATACCAAAGACCGATTCAATGGAATGGCAGCGTCCCCACCCGCTCCTATTGGAGATGAATACTTTGGAAAGAGATTGATGCATTCGCAAAGATTTTCAAAGCCAAAAGTCATGTCTTCAAGTTTGCCAAAGGCTGTGGACCAGGATTGGGAATCTTCTTTCACATTTGAGGAGGATTATCTACCAGAAACTTTGAGAGATCTCATGACACCTCAAGAAAAGGCTCGTAGAGGATCTCGTTGCAACACAGATGATGATGGTCGACCAATTATCAGTGGAACTGGAACCCCAAACAATGATACCCCATCAAAGTTTGGCTCTCCATCTAACGCTAGTCCATCCAGATGGGGACCTCTATTTCAACGCCAACAGAAAGAAGAGGAGGAACGTGCAGCAGCTTCCCGTGCATCTGCCTTTGGACATGTTGGTTCTCCACTGCGAAACTCAACACTTCACCCTGATGCAAGCCCCCGCCTGCGACCACTGGGAAGAGCACCTTCTTCGAGCGATACATTTTCTTCTCTTGCTTCCCCACCTCGCCAAAGTCCCATGTCTTTGATCTCACGAGGTCTTCAACGAACTCGCCTATCGAGAGCCGAATCGACCGGTAGCGAAACAGGTCTTCATCCTCGTGTTGCCAGCATTCCTATGGGATCTGCCTCGAGAGCTGGCCTGACTAGTGAGAGACAACTCAGTTCTGGTAGCATTGGCAATGGAGGAAGTGGTAGATTTACGACCCCAATTGATGAGGAGCAAAGTGACTTTGTTTTTAGCATGGACGGCATGGAAGACGTTGATGAAAAGAGGGGCGAGAAGAGAAACAGTGGTGGTTGGACCTATGCCAACAGTACCAAGAGCCCACATCTTGGAGCGATCGGAGCAACAGCTCGAAATGGTAACTCGACAAATGGTGGTGGTGGATTGGATGCTATGTTTGGTACTCGATGAGCCTGACACCATTAGCACTACCTGCTCCTACTCAAACCCAAGAACATGGCAAATTTGACAAATTGAGAGCTGTCCAGTAACACAGGCAACAGCATTACCGATTTCACCAGATGCACGCCACAACTTTCGAAACAACCGCTTTCCGATATTTGTAAAAACACAACCGCTCCACGATTAGCCCCATAATCAAGGACAACCTCTCTCAATTCTCAGGTTCTCATTTCAATAGTTTATTCCACGCCAAGACTTTTATGAACACCACTACCATTCGGGTATTCGAGGGCCAACGATCAACGCTCCATCTCTTTCCGATACTTGCACCACCCTTTGTAAAATAGACCGAAATACCCCGATACATTTCAACCCGGATCATCCATAAAACCAGGCTGCAGAACATAACCTTGGCGAAATATACTTAGGTTGGATCTGGGATTCAGCTTTTGATCTTCTCTTCTTGTTACTAAAAGAACTATCTTTTACCGGCGTTTTGATGGGAAAGATGCGAAATATGGGATGGATGGGCTGAAGATCTTGATTTTCTTTTTGACTTGGCGTTTTTCTCTACTTTTCTTGTCTTTCATTTGTTTTCTTTTTCTTCTTTTTCTTTCCTTCTATCTTCCTTCTGAACAAAGCGAAATGGAATTGGCATAATAGGACCTCTATTTGAGAGACATTGCATAAAGTCAAAGATACGCATATCGTTTGGTTTTGGGATGAGGTTGCATGATAGTACACGAAATGGACCCGATCGTCAATGGATAATGACAAGCATCTTGAGTATGGGAGATGAATGCATGATGCATGGGGTGGAGTGGGAGGAGATGTGTAGGTAGGTAGATAGTCAGATGAGGATAATGAGAATGCATATAGTGAATTGTATGGCATTTGATACCAGTATATGACGTGATTCGTGAGGTGTGGATTGTTGTGGGAAATCCCGGGGGTTGTGGGTTCTTTCTTTGCGGAGTTTTTACTCAGTACAACATCTTCTGGGTATTAGTATTCACTATCTGTGCATTTGAAGATGAGTTGTTGGGCTTTGATTTGATGGTGATGGGATTTATTGTTAGAACATCGAGATTTGATTTTTCTTGTTTGAAGTTGTGGAGTCGTGGGGTGAGGGACGGGATGGGAATATCCCTCGTTAATCACTTGTTCCGTAAGCTACTCACCTTTGTCTTCCTTTCTTCGTCTAAAGAAGGAACTGTTTATAAATTTATAGTAAATTATTACTACTCGTCTCGGAAACCTTTGTATGTGGGAATTTTCGTGGTTGTTTTTTGCTTGGTTGCCGGGATGGTTTAAGGAGAGATATAGAAGGGCTCTTTGTTTCTGTGAGGTGGTGGTTGGATGATATTGTATTGGGAATTTCCACTGCTTACTTGTAATGCGAAGTTTCTTGTGTAGATGAGTACATTGTAGGTTGGCGGTCTTGAGCTGGCGGTACTATTAAGAATATAAGACCACTTCCTAATATAACTCAGGGGTAAGTAATCGGACTTACAATAGCGAAATCAAATTCACGTCCACGTACTCTTATCTGCTATCTTTTCTACTTTATAAGCTGTCGAGATCTCTAGGGAACTAAGATAGCAGTAGTTAAGCAAACTTGGGCTTAGCCTAGATTGTTTTAGATATTAGCTATAGGTAGGAAACTCACGTAATTTCTACCGTCGAAGAGAGTCTTACTATCGAATCTTTTAATTTCGTTCTTAGAACCGGAATAATATTTCTTATTCGAGTAGAACTCGTACTATTAGAAGACGAGCGTATAATATAGAATAAATAAGCTACCGCATTAATTGGAATATAAGATAACATCTGTGAATAAGATAAATGGTTATATAAAAGGTTCAAATCTCTTAAAATATTAATATCTTATAAGTCTAGCTCATTAGATAGCTAGGATCTAAATCTCTTTATTTTATATTAGTTTTCGAGTACTTATTCTACTACTACTATATGCTCTAATGTCACGAATCACGTGTAGCAATGCATGTGACAAAGGAAGACCAGGCGGCGTCCTGACAGGTTAAGCACATCCATGGACTTATAGCAAAAAGGGATCAATTAGACTAGCTAAGCGATCCAGGGATTTCTTCTGGTTAGGAAAATCACGTGATCTAGTCGCCTGAGTCGCCTGAGTCGCCTGTCTACTGAAGCAATCAGGGCGAGCGACTAGAGCGATCAATCAGAGAACGAAGGTTCTATATAAGACTGGCACTTCTGCCATTAGATAGGAGCTTCGTGCTCAACTTAGTTATCAATCTTATCATATTAGTTTGACATCTTTTTTAAGCACATCCATGGACTTATAGCAAAAAGGGATCAATTAGACTAGCTAAGCGATCCAGGGATTTCTTCTGGTTAGGAAAATCACGTGATCTAGTCGCCTGAGTCGCCTGAGTCGCCTGTCTACTGAAGCAATCAGGGCGAGCGACTAGAGCGATCAATCAGAGAACGAAGGTTCTATATAAGACTGGCACTTCTGCCATTAGATAGGAGCTTCGTGCTCAACTTAGTTATCAATCTTATCATATTAGTTTGACATCTTTGATACAAGTAACGAGTTCACTTCCAAGTGAACAACCCGATAGTCTTCTTCTTATCATACCATACCAACCAGCGAACACCCAGCCAAGTTTAGTTAGCCAGTTTGAGTATTCGTTACAATTAGTACCTAATCTTAGTATATAAGGAATAAATCTATATTAAGATAAAAGTATTATACTAGATTAATTAGTATCTACGTTTAAGATTCTTTAGTAAAATATTTATTTATATATAAGTTAATTCTTATATAAGTTAATAGTAATTATTATACTCAAGAATTTTAAACTCTAAAAGTATTTTATATATATAAAATAACTTTCTAATAAAGCTTTTAGTTATATTAAAACTTAGTTAGCTTACTAAAACTAGAAATAACCTATTTATACTTTATATTAAAGTAAGTTAGTTCTTATATAATACTAGTTAGTATATTAAAGAGTTTTAAACTCTTTTTTGGAGTTAAAAACTCTAAAAATACTATATATATAATATACTTTTAATAAGATTTATTACTATATTAAGACTTTAGTAGCTTACTAAGCCTATAAATAACTTATATATACTTTATATTTAAATAATTCGTATATAATATTATTTATAATATTAAAGAGTTTTAAATTCTGTAAAGAATATATATATAAATAAATTATATTTCTAATAAAAGTTATATTACTAGGAGTATAAAAAACTTAAATTACTAAAAAGGTTATATTTAAATAACTAGGAAACTAAGTATATAAGTAAGAGTCTAGCTTATTTAACTCTAGTATATATTTCTTCTTTAAATTTTATTTTATATATAACTTATAAGTTTTATATAATAGAAATTTTTATTTAAGTAAAATATAAGATTTTTCTAACTAAACTATTATATTATTACTTTTATTTCTATATATTTAATTACAATATAAAACTATAATAATAAAACTAGTAATATAAAAAGAAAAAAAGAAAAAAAAGAAAAAGTAAATAATAATATATAAAAGCTAATAATAAGTAAAATACTTATAAATACTTTTTTATATAACTTTATATAAAGTAATAAATCCTTATATCTCTTAGGGTAATAGTTAATATAGCTCCTTTAATATAAAAATCTATATACTTATAAGAGATTTATTTATAATTAAAATCTTATAATTAAAAGTTTAGTAATTTTATATCTAGTTTACTTATATTTATTCTGTATTATAATTACTCCAAGATAAAATAAATAAAGAACCTATAAGTATACATACCGAAAATAAATTAATAAGAAGAATTCTTTTAATAGTAAACCTCTATTTCTAAATCCCTCTATCTTCTTACCTTCGCTATCTAAAAACCCCGTTACCTTCTATCCTCGCCTACCTAAACCCCGAAATATCTCCACCTATCTACCCTACCCCACCTTCCATTCCCACAAACCCCACTCTCTACCCCACTCCCTATTAATCCCAATCCCCACCTTTCTATCCGTTCTGTCTCAAAATAAGGCTGTCAAACACATCCGAAAAAAACAAAAAAGCTTCTGTGGTCCAATGGTTAGGATTCCACCCTTCCATGTTCTTCTCTTCACAGAAGAGCAAAGTAAGGTGGAGGTTCGTGTTCGATTCACGGCAGTTGCAAATGTTGTAATACTATTCTTTTTTTCATTTTTGGTGTTTTGCTCTATTTTTCGGGGGGTGGGGGGGGGTTTAGGGGCGAGGGAGTCGGAGGAGGGATTAGGGGATTGGGGGGCTAGGTAGGGGGAATTATTTTGGAGTGTAGGTACGTACCCAGGGTTCTACTTAAGTAAGACCCAAAGTAGGTATAGAAGGAGGGTTAGAGAGTCTTGATTTCCTACCTAGGTAGTCTTTGAATCTAGATATACTATAGAAGGAAGCGCGAAAGTACCTAGGTAGATACCTAGATAGTACTCTAAGAGTATAATTTTCAAGGTACCGAAAACTATACTAAGCTATTTATTATTTACTACCTATAGAAATACTTACCCTTACTCCCTAGACCTTTACCCCTGAAAGATCTTATAGGAAGTGGAAAAGTTAGGAAGGGGGCTTACTTTCTTATTTAGAGAGGGATAGCAAGGGAATCTTAGTATAGTTTAGTATAGTATAGTTTATTATAGGAGATAGGGATAGTAGATAAGAATAGTTAAGACTTAAGAGACGTAGTCGTAACTCTGTACCTCTCTCTCCTAGAATAAAAAGCATCCTAAAAACATCGTATAACTAAAATACCTATCTAAATAGTTTAAATAATTATAAACGCTTACTTTTTATTTCCCTATATATTTTAAGATAATTATCTTGCTTGTATTATATGTTTAGTATAATGGAGTTTTATATAGTATATATAGAATATCGATGAGGTATCTTATGAATTAATTGTTAGGATGAGAAATGTAGTGGAGTCTGTGGATGTATTCTTGCTACGAGAGGAAAATGGGGATAACTCTCTACCTCTTTACACATCAAGTAACACTAACGTAGATGTTTTGTTATCTCCCTTCAGCCATGTAAGTAAATTGTCTACCATCTATCACTTATCCCATGAACTAACATAGCCAAAGCAAAGCCAACCTCCCTTAATCTCCCCCCTCCACCTTCTTCCTCGCCCCTACTATTACATATCACTCACGAAAGGAAAACCCCCTACTTCAACCACAACTCATCCCCCTCACCAACCTCAATCCCCACCCGCTCCCACAGCTCCTCCCTCCCCATCCCCTCAAGAAGCTGTCCCTCAACCTCTTTCCAGCACCTCTTCCGTCGACCGAGGGCATCTTTCCAGTATTTCCATTCTTTTTCAATTTTCTCTGCTTCTTCTTTTTTGACTGCTTTCTTTGCTTTTTCTTTTCCCCCACCCCCACCACTCTTTCCCTCACACTGACCCGAGGCCTTATCCAGACTCGGTTCCTCACCCTCACCCTTCAAGTCCTGTAGACGCATACTCTTCTCAGCGATACCGGTGCGAAGTTCCTCAACCAAGATAGCGAGAGCGGGTGTCGATGGTGTGGAGAGGATGGTGGAGAGTGTTGCGGTGAGGGTTTTCAAGGTGTATTTTAGAGGGGGGATGGTGGTTGTGGTTAGGGTTTGGATGGTGGATTCGTAGGCGGCTAGTTCGGAGGGGGAGGCGGTTGAGGAGGGGTCCTGGGTGGTACTTAACACAGAATCTTGTGTTGTCTCGTGAAAGAGAGAAGGGTGGATGGAGTGAGGGTAGGAGGTTGATGGATGGGAGTATGGGGAAAGAAAGAATGATGGGAGGAATACAAACCTGGGGATACCAAAAGACCCATTGACTCCCCTTCTTATCACCGTTTGTGGCTTTCGCTTGTAGTTGGCCATTCTGCTCCATTTCCTTGAGGAGTTTATCGGCGAGTGTTTTGGTGACCTGTTCGCGTTAGCTCACCAATTGCACTTCCCATCCCCAACATCACTCCCACAATCCCCCAAGACCCAAATTAACAACCAAAACAAAAGACAAGAGAGAATAAAAACCCACCTTCCCATGCAAATTGGCCGAAATCTCCGTCGCAGAATACGGTCGATTCTGCTCCTTCAAATACTGCAAAATCAACTTCTCAGCTTCCTCCCCACTAACCTTCTCAACTTTCTCTTTACCCTTTTCCGCCTTCTCTTTGCCCTTCTCAACCTTCTCCTTACTACCACCAGCGACGTCCTTCTTCTCCTTCCCTGCTTTAACAACCTTCGCTTTCTCCGAAGCAGCAAGACCCTTCTCAAGTTTCGCCTTAGCGACCTTCGCTTTCTCAGATGCTGGCTTGGATTTTTTGATTTTGGCGTCTTCGGTTTTGGGTTTGAGGATGTCTGTTGCTGTTGCTGTTCCAGTTCCTTCTTTCATACCCTCACCACCTCCATTTCCATTTCCACCTTCCAAACCCTGCATCTCCTCGTCATCCTCCCGGTCCTCCCCCACAACAGCGCTAACACCTTTCTCACCCTTCTCACCCTTCCCCTTCCCCCTCTTCTCCCCAGCCCCAACCCTAGACTTCTTCACCTTAGCCTCCTCACTCCTAGCCTTCAATGGGGAAGACGTAACATCTTTTCCAGCCTCCGCAACAGAAGAAAGCGGCGTGTTGGACGCGACGGATAGGACCGAGGGACTGCGCGCTGGTGTTGCTTCTTTCTCTTTCTCTTTCTCTTTCTTCGAAGGGGCGCGAGGGGCCATGGTCGCTGAATTGGGGATGGACGGATGGAGTGGATGAGAGAGTATGATGGTTGATGGTAGTTGATGACGACGAGGTGTCCAAGTGATGAAGTGATGATTAGCGACGCGTTTTGACTTCCTCCAGTTCACACAATTCGACCCTTCAGAACTTCAGAACAACAAACGCAGCATAACAGATGACGTACGGAAACGCCAGACCTTCCCTGAGTAACAACAACGCGTCGGCTCAATGGCGAACTGCGAATGTGAAAACGAGAACTGTATCGTGACAGACTATCGCTTTCAACCAGTAGGTACCGCGAGGTCTCGTTGAGACGAGACGAGAACAACCAGTTTCGAATACACCAGATCAGAAAATGAGAAACGACAATACGTACCTCCCTTCCTGTAGGCAGGTCGCGTCTTTCCCGCTTTGCACTCAAGGACGTAGAAGTGTGGAGTGTGAAGAGTGAAGTGAAGTACGAGTCACTCCGCGGAAAGGAGGAGTATGCCAAGGAAAAAACCACCTACTGAAGACAAGAGACAGCACCGCAACGGAACACCAAAATACAAGTTAACCATCAGAGAAACCCACCACATTTTAAAAATACTTACTTCATCATTCTACTTACGCGACCTCCTCAAAATATATACAAATATTACAAAAACCCTCCCCATGGATTATTAAGAAATGCGCATCCAGATTAACCATAAACGTGATCACCAAACATGAATGACCTCCATTTCAGAATGTGTAAAAAGGATTGAATAAAAACCAACGCCCATGTATGCTCGCTCAAAGCAAAGAACAAAATTATGCACCACCATTACCCGAGAGATCCCAATGCATATCCATATCCCAGATGATATATTTTTGCAGCGCTAAAGAAAAAAACAACACACCACAGACCGATTACATGACAACCTATCAAAATTAGCTCGGATTCCATTACCCAAAAAGTATTCGAGACTTACACATTCGTTGTCTTGCTTAGTAACAGGAATACCCATTTCCTCAAAAGTAGCAGGTCCAGCTTTGGCAGGCTTCTTCGACGCTGTCGAGGAAGCAGTAGATGGCGTAACTGATGGAGCTGCCGAACCTGGTCTAGAGTTCGGTCCACCATGTATCGAGCCAGTATGTGAAGAATCAGGACGTTGCTGGTGGGAAGACATGGCATGTTGAGGGGGTGGTCGATTCGAGGCTCGACTTGAATTATTTGCATGCGGGTTTCCATATCCAGGAGTTTGTGGAGGACTCATCATAGGTGGAGGACCTGGACGAGCAGGGAAATTTTGCTGACCTCTTGGATCAGGAGAGTATCCCTGTTGACCTCTGGGGTCGGGAGAATATCCTTGACCTGGGGGTGGTGGCCGTTGAGGTTTGTTTGGATTCAAAGGCGCTGGTTTTTGACCTTGTCTTGTTTGGTCAAATGGACGACCAATATCGACCGGTGGTAAAAATCCTCCTTGCTGTTGCGGAGGAGGCATTCTGCCTTGTCCTTGAGGATCCCAGCCTGTCGATACAATAGCGGCCCTCCCAGGCGCATTGTGACCTCTTCCAGCAGGAACCTGCATATTCCCCATGCTACTTGATGCCCGCATCCCGTCATGCCCTCTACCAGGACCTTGATCGTAACCCGGTCCTCCAAGAGGTTTGATTCCAAATGCAGAAGATGCTTGATCTGACATTGGTCCACCACCTGGGCTCCGAAGCGCTTGACCATTAAAGACAGGAGCAACATCATTTTCAGGATATGGGGCTGACATGCTGTCTGCGATTGAAGGCATTGGGTTATTTCGTTGCTTGAATCGTTCTGGTCGCCCTCCACGTTGAGAACCATGTTGCGACTTGATCCGATTTATGGCAACTTGTTCGTGATCCTTCTTTGACAGTGTACTATTCTTGCGGATGCTGTCGATTCTTCCCAGAGCATCCTTATTCCCATGATCCGCAGCTTTTGCGTACCACATGGCTGATTCTTCCAAATCTACTGGAACGTACATTCCGATTTCGTAAAAGTAGCCCATGGCAAATTCCGCCGTTGCCATTTTGGTTCCTGCGGCTCGTTTCGCGTACGTAAAAGCCAATTCCTCGTTCTTTTCAAATACTCCTTCATACCCGCACAAAAACCACTTGCTGATCGCCATGTCGGCCTCTGACTCTCCTTGGCGAGCTGCCAAAGAATTGTAGTGTAAAGAGAGAGCCGGCTCAAATTCACACCCCAATTGACATAATTCGTATGCTTGCGCCATCTTTAACTGGGCTTTGGCGAATCCAAGATATGCTGCCTTTTCAATGAACAATTTGGCATCGTTCAAATCAAAGGGCAAAAATTGCTCTGGAACCGAAATGTTGGGCAATTCTCGAGAAAGAAGCATTCCATAAACATAAGCTCCTTGGGGTGCATTCTCGTCTGCGGTTTCTGCAGAATAGCGAACCAAATCCACACCACGACGGAAATCTTGTGGCATACCATGCTGTCCCAATAATGTCATCATGCCCAATCTGTAGTGTGCTGCCGAGTCGCCCATCTCCACACCTCTACTATAATGATCGATGGCCTTGACCGAGTTGTTGGAGCTTTCGAATTGCATACCCATTCGATATTCCGCACGAGCAAATCCTCTCTCGGCAGCCCTTTTATAACCCAGAAATGCTTCCTTTTTGTCCACCGGATGATTGAACTTTCCAAATTCATACCACATACTGCGCATAAACTCTGCCTTTGGATGATGTTGATCTGCGAGAAAGCCAACAATACTCAACGCATCTATCCTCAACGAGTGCTCGGTCTTTGGTGTCACAGATCTTGCTGGATGTCCTTCGGCCTGCAGCCGACCTGCACACTGCTGAGCTACCTCCACCCAAGAGAGAGCATCCTGAGCCCAAGCTAACTGCATTTCTGGATCGGTGGACTTGAGAACCAACGTTCTCGCCCTTTCCAATACCTCCTCTTTATCCTCGTCCGACAAGGGAACATTGGGACCAGCATCCCGAGGTTTTGGAAAAGGTGTGAATCTCGGTGAATCTGGATCTGGTCGTCCTCCCCCGTATTGCACATTGTCTCGATCGATATTCTGGTAGGCGGAAGCATTTGTATGTTCGTAGCTGGCAGTAAAGCCAGGCCCTCGTTCATGTTGGCTGGAGGGATAATTATTCTGTATCCTATGTTGATCAAGAAAGGGAGGAGACTGCATTCCGGACATTGATGAAGCGTTACTCAGTCGATGTGTTGGTGGAGGAGGATGTTGTTCAAGATGTGTAAGTTGCTCTTGCATATTTGAGGGTACTTCGGGCATTATCCTATATTAGGTCAGGTTAGCCCCTTTCTCTCTTACCGGGAGAGGGTTGGTAGTTTGGTGTCCTGTGTCCTACCTTTGGGGTGCAGGGGAGACAATCTCTGGGACGAAAAAATCATCATCGTGCCCTGGAATGAAGGTTGCACTTAGACGCGGGGCGTGGTTAGAATATTGGTCAGACATGCCGCCCTCGATGGATCCGGACTGTGGTTGGATGATTCGTGAGGGCCGATGATCTGCAGGTAGAGGCGGTCGGGGATTAGTGGGTGAAGCTAGGGTTAGGAGGTGGATGTTGGTCGAGGTAATTTGTGCGGGATAGGAGTGTATACAAGTGGTTCGGAGTGATTGTATTGTGTTGGGTTGGGTGTAGGTGTAGGATGTGGATGTAGGGGATTCCAGGTTGTGCAGCAGTGCAGTGAAGCACCGTTGAAGGTTGATATAAGCGGGGCTACAACGACAGAGAAGGTCTCTTTTAGGAACCAGACCCGCTGCCAAACTGGCTTGCGAGCTTGCCACCGTCTCTGCGGAGTTCCAGGTTATGCAGGTACCGTAGTAGCAGTACGGAGTACAGGTATTCTGCACCGTACCAGAATCTTCCGGCGTACTCGAGTAGAGTACCGGTAGTGCAAGGGAATGTGGTTAGGGAGAGAAAGCGTGAATACCAACAGCAACGCAACGGAACGGAAATTTGGGGGAGCTTTGGGTGCAAGGAATTATATGAAGGGAATGCGTAAGAGGGGAAATTGGACATGTGCAAATTCCGGAGAGTTTGCTATCAAAAGGAAGTAGCTATCAAAAGGAAGTACGTACACTCGGCTTGACGCGCCACTCTTCCAGCTGGCGACTCTTGCGGTGGTTGCGATGTTATTGGCTTGCGCGGGACTACTGAGCCCCCGGTAGTGTTGGAAGGCATGTTGAGCGTCATAGGCAGCCCAGAATCAAGAGTGAATTGGAAGAGAGGTGGACTCAAAAATCAGTGAATGAGAGAGTATATATGAAACGATACGAATTTGACGACAAGAAAATGAGAGTGAGAGTGGAAAGTTGGAGAAGGTGCAAGTGGCATGTGGTGCAAGTGGCATGTGGTGCAAGTGAGAAGTGCCTGGGCGTGTACGAAGTAGCACAAATATACAGTAGATCATCAACCCAAAATCGGATGTCCCCTACCCCTTCCCCAGCTGTTTCTAGTCGCCTGCAAAACATGGCCATCCTCCTCTCCATCCACTCCCCGTCTCACACACCCACTGCACATCCTGCCACGATCATGTCCAAAAACAGTCTCGCCCAGCCCAAACGGTTCGGCCATCATGGCCATGCTAGAAATACTAGCCCATTCGGTCAGAACATCGCAGACTCAAGACCTTGCCACTTGCAAGGAGACCTGAGAGGTGCCTGTTGGGCAGGGCTAAGCCATATGCGATGCTTCGCTCAGAGTGATGCCAAGGCTCTCTCCATGACTCCAGGTCTTTCTTCATTTCTTGTGATACATGCTCTTGGCTTGCTTGCGAGCTGGCTCGTCTACTCATCGTGGGTCCAGCGTCGACTACCCCATAGAACACGCGTCCCCTAAACACAATTCGCCATATGAGACAAGATCTCTGGTAAGGAACCCCTTTTTCGGGATTGAACTTTCCAATGCTATCCTCACGGAATCTCACCATAATCATTCTCAACGGTGCAACATGAACTTCTGAGAAGCTTCAACGCCAAGTTCGCATGCACATGGCACTTGCCCAAAAAAGTATATCCGACGTCCCAGGATGAACCACGTGAAGTTCCATTTGACAGGTGCTTTCCATGCATCCCATGCTTTCCATGCGTAGTGACTCGTCCGAATTAGATGTGGAAACAACGAAATGGAAATGATTCAATGATGCAGCTCATCTGCATAGAACACCTCCCTTACTTCCATCTATCTTTCCATCCCCATCTGTCCTTTTCCATCTGCACGCTCCTGACCATCACGAAAGAAAAAATTACCCGATGAAGATCATCCACTCCCTGCCCCCGAAAAGGCAAATAGGGGAGGTAAGGAACCATTGGTTGCGGAGAAAGATTTGGGCTTTCTAGCCTAGAAACGCTGGTACTGTAGGGAACAAGGGAGCTCCCGAAATTTGATGGGCGGTGCAGCTGCAGCTGCAAAAGAGTCTGTGAGGCTGATTTCTCCGGTATTTCGAAGTACTACGCACCTCTGTGGCTTTGCTTGAGGAACTTCTTAAAGGTTACTCAGCCTCTTTGACACCCAAGACTTTTTCGTCACTTCGGTTTTACGGCTTGGGTTTTCTTCGCTATGGAACTTGTTGAAATATTGCAAAGTGGACCGGACGGGATGAGCGAGGAAATGTCTGGTTTTTGCAGAGTACTTGACTCGCAAGACATTCACACTACATCTTGGAAAACAACGAGGACAAGAAATAGGATGAGAATTAACTATTTTCAAAGCCCTAGCTAACATATTTACAATGTTCTAGGCTTAAAATTTTGCTTCGCACCTATAAATGTCCATTGAAGTACGAGAGTAAAAAGCGCATTCGCTAACTTGGGTACTCTTTGGGCATGTAAAAAACGTGTTTGTTTAGTCTACGTACACTCACCAATATACTATAAGTATCTATAGGAGATAATCGCAGCAGTATGATAAAGTAAGTGAAGACAGGTCAGAGTCACTACATCTATTCACTCTCCCTCGCCCAGTCCACATTTCAACAGCACCTTAGTAGATCGATTCTCAACGTACACACTAAATAATCATCCCCAAAAAACCCCCCCAAAAAGATCCCTAAAAAAAAAAAGAGGCAAAAAACAAGCCCCGTTGGCTCGGAATAACTCTGCATCCCTACATCTCTTTGAGTTTCTTTGAGCTCGGGAAGTTGGTTTATCTCGCAATTCAGTGGCCCCACGACTTGACCATTTCTACTGATTTGCTGGGAGGAAGAGCGGTATTTGTCGATATACAGATAAAACTCTGTGCGGTTGGCTTGGCAGGTGGCTGGCTTATATTCGTATGGACTGTACAAGTACATATTTTGATTGGTTGAAGTAGAGATTTCAAGGAATTGAGAGCATCTATGTAAGGTAACAAATACTCGTCTTGTCTCCGTAGTAGAAGTACTTGGTCGATAAAGCGGTTCCTTACCAACCAATAGGCACCGTACACATTTTTCTGACTAGATACTTCAAGACGGAATTAGCAATCTGATAACTTTGTGATCCCTCACGCAATAATATCCTGATTCGGTAGGTGAAGTGTCAACGGCTGCAAAGCTCTCTCATTGAGATACCTGGTACTGCACCACCCCCGTACACCAGCCACACTGTGGCTCAGCATTTTCCCTCCAAACGTCCCTCTGCCTCCAAATACACTTCTTCAAACACCGCCACGACGCGTTCCTACAACCAGTCGTCTCCCGTCTCCAGGATATCTCCGTGTAAATCCACAGCATTGTGATATCCGAAAATGACGCAAGAAGCTGAACCCGAACGTCGCGACTTCCATCATCCATACACCCCCTATGATATCCAGGAGACTTTCATGAGTACCGTCTACCAGGTGCTTGAGGAGGGCAAGGTGGGCATTTTGGAGAGTCCTACTGGTACTGTATGTGATGTCTCCATTTTTAAATTTTTTTCTTTTGTGTGGATTCTGAGTTTTGAGTTTTGTGGTGGTGATGGTCTTCATTATGTGTATTTTTGATTTGAGGGGGGAGGTTGTTGGTGAGATGTAGGGAAATGATGGGGTTTTTGAGTATAAGGGTGTTAATGAAGCTGTAGGGAAAATCATTGAGTCTGATTTGTGGATCTTTAACCTGGTTACGCGACCAAAAAAGGAGGACTTTTGAGGGGGGTCTGGATTGGGGTCCGAATGGTAAATCTCACATCCATCACACATTTCATCCCCCATGCACATGACAAGAAAGTCCTAAAACTCAATGCTTCTAGTCTCCGACGAACCAGAATGGATCATCACTCAAGCCAAAGCGCGAAAACGTCGTGAGATGCTCCGTCACCGCGAAGAAATGGAAGAACGACTCTCCAAAATCCGCGCCCAGGAGAAAGCGCTGAAGGTTAAGTATATTGAAGGAGATCAGTCTTTTAAAAAGAGGAAAACTGGGGTTGATGACGCTAAGGAGGGAGAAGATGAGGAGCAGTTTGTGTTGGAGGATTATGATAGTGGTGATGAATATGGTGGGGGGAAGAAGGGGGATGGGATGTATTCTGCGGCTACGTTGGAGCTGATGGAGAAACTTGGTATGGGACCCAATATGCTGAAACAGGAGGATGAAGAGGTGGAGGATGAGGTTAAGGTATGTTTTTCTATGGTTTAAGGGGGCCGTGCTGATTTTGAAGATTTTCTATTGCTCGAGGACGCATTCTCAGTTGACGCAGTTCATCAATGAGTTACGACGTATCAAATTACCTGCTGCGATTGCAAGTAATGAAGCAGACCAAGGTGTTCAGATTGAAGATTTGAAGCATTTGACCCTTGGATCACGGAAGAATCTTTGTATAAATCCAAAAGTCAACAAGCTTAATTCAGTAACCGCTATCAATGATCGATGCGCAGAATTACAAAAGTCTGGAACTTCTCAGGAACAAAAATGCCAGTTTCTCCCGAATAAAGAGAATAGACCTCTCGTCAATGACTTCCGCGATCACGCTCTTGCCAGTCTTCGAGATATTGAAGATATGGCTTCTCTCGGTAAAACAATTAATATTTGTCCTTACTACGCATCAAGAGCAGCCATTCGACCAGCGGAGATTTTGACATTACCTTATCCACTTTTACTTCAAAAAAGTGCTAGAGAAGCTTTGGGAATCAGTCTGAAAGGTCACGTTATCATTATTGATGAGGCTCACAATTTGATGGATGCTATTGCTAGTATTCATGGCATCGAAGTCAGTCTGAGACAATTGAAGACTGCGAGAGCACAGCTGGGGATTTACTTGCAGAAGTTTCGAAATCGGTTGAAAGGGAAGAATCGGATTTATGTTACGCAGGTTGTGAGGGTTATTGGTTCTTTGGTGGGGTATTTGGAGAGCAGGATTCCACTTCAGGTAATAATTATCTTTCTTTATAACGCAATTGAAACAGGCTGATATTGTGTCTAGCAAGCAGATGGTGTCGTCTCAGATAAAGAGTTACTAGCAGGCAAAAATGTTGACCAAATCAACTTATTCAAACTACTCCGATACCTCCAAGAAAGCAAAATAGCCCGCAAAGTCGAAGGCTATCTCATCCACAAAGAGACCTCCGAATTCCTCGCCCTCGCTTCCAAATCTAAAAACCAAAAACCCTCACAACCAAAACCCGCATCGTCAACACCCGTCCTCCACCACATCGCATCCCTCCTCTCAGCCCTCACCAACCCCTCGGCAGAAGGTCGTCTCTTCTTCGCCAAACCCCAACCCCCCTCAGAACCTGACCTCATCACCCTAAAATACATGCTCCTCGACCCCTCTGCTCACTTTCAAGAAATCGTCTCCCAAGCAAAAGCCGTGGTCTTAGCGGGTGGAACGATGTCTCCTTTCTCGGACTACACATCCCATCTCTTTCCCTACCTACCTTCCCCATCTATCACCACGTTGTCTTGTGGCCATGTGATCCCACCTTCCAACTTGATCGCGTGGAACTTATCGCGTGGACCGACGGGGAAGGAATTCGAGTTTACGTTCCGACACCGAGGGAATACGGGGATGGTCGATGAATTAGGTCTTGCGTTGTTAAACATATGTTCCATCGTGGCCGACGGGGTAGTGGTTTTCTTCCCTAGCTACAACCACATCTCCTCCATCGTCGCACAATGGTCTTCCCCTCCTGTTTCCAACAATTCAAATCCAAATCCAAATGCAGCTACAGCTACAAACACGATCTACCACCGCCTCGCAGCCAAAAAACCCATCTTCACCGAGAAAAAAGACCTCTCCTCCGACGCCGTCCTAGCCGAATACGCCCATGCAATCGACACCCACAAAGGCGGTCTCCTCCTCTCCGTCGTAGGCGGGAAAATGAGTGAAGGAATCAACTTCTCAGATGCCCTCGGTCGGTGCGTATTAATCGTCGGGTTGCCATTCCCCAACATCAACACGGCAGAATGGAAAGCGAAACTCGAATACATTGAGAATTCTACTATTACTCGTCTCTCCGCCTCATCCCAATGCCAATCCTCACCACCATCCCCATCCTCATCACTCCCCAAGCAACCCATGACCCCAGAAGAAATCAAACACAAAGCCAAGGCAGAAGCTAGAGCCTACTACGAGAACGCCTGTATGCGTGCTGTGAACCAGAGTATCGGGCGTGCGATCCGGCATAAAGGGGATTATGCGGCGATTGTCATGGTGGATCTCAGGTACCAGAAGGAGAATATTAGGAATAAGTTGCCCGGGTGGATTCAGGGAGGTTTGGTGGAGGGGAGTGGGGAGAGGAAGTTTGGGGCGCTTATGGGGGGGTTGGGGGCGTTTTTTAGGGGGAGGGTCTGAGGATTCGGTGGGGGGTGTTGATGTTGGATGTTGAGGGGGGTTGGAAGGGAAAGGGGGAGAGGGGGAGAGGGAGTTGTAGTGATAATGTATCTTTGTGATTTATGTATATTTACGGAATCTCGTCAAGCGTGGTATTTTACTTCGCTTTCTCAAACAACAGTACTCTCCTACTTAACTCACCAAATCCACCCACCCTCTCTCTCAAAACTAATTCCCCCCTTCCTCCCCAGCGGATAGTGCGCTTACAACCAACCCAACCTCTTTCCCGTTATATAAACAACACCTCCCGTGGATCCTAAATCCTCCAACCCGACGAAGAAAATTACACGAGACTGGCTTGATATGGGAACCACTCAGGTCTCTTGTCATCCAAAAGCTGAACAGGAAAGGAAAGACGAAGTGTGTGATTAAGTTACCTCCATCCCCTATCTTATCTTGTATCCTTCATTCCACAGACTAAAGTAAATCACTACCTAGAACGTGCGAACAAACGGGGGGATAACTTACTGTCGAATAGGTAAGTGTTGTCGATTCTTAATCCCCGTTCCGTTTGCTTCACTTCATTCTATAAACCCTTGGAGAGCTTTTAGATTTTGTAGGTTCATGATGTCAGTTGTTTGTGGGATTGTAGATGGAGGGGGTGGATTGGTAGAGCTCTATCCAGTCTCCCTTAGGAGATGGCGTATCTCATTTGGGTGCTCCTTTTTTGTGATAATAGGAATGATGGCTTTTTTATAGTTAGGGAGAGGGGAAGGTTGTGAATTTTTGTGATATGGTAGGGGTAGGGGAGTAAGATGTTTGAGGGTGGGTTTAAGGATGTAGAGGTGATGGAGATGATGTCCGAGTTTTGTACTATTAGAGGGAGAGATGAGTTGTAAAATGGTATTATCTCTTTGTTTTGTGTTGGTGTACTTCAATTTGTGAAAGTTCGATTAAGATGGATATAGTTTCTTCTTATTGAATGTTCTTATCTTATTGCTAAGGAAGGAAGAGCTAGAGAAGTGGATAGGTTTCTTAGAGCCTGTAGAGTATGGAAGAAGTGTTAAAAGGAAAACTTGTCCGTACTAGGAAGGCGGACATAAGTAGTTCTGTTGATATTAGGCGATTAGTTACCAGCGAGAGATATAAGAAGAACATTATTCGACAATACAACTTTTTCGGTAGTAAGCATCTATTTTTCTCCCCGGAGATCTTTTACTCCTTGAACCTTTATGTAAAAAGAGCTTGAATTATTCGATTTATTATTAGCTTACATTATCTATACTAATTACGTGACTCTGATACTATAAACACCATACGCTTTTTACACGGGTTTATACAGTTATCTTTCCAATTGTGTGCCTTGTGCTCTATTTTCCTTTGATCTTTATTGGAATATTTTATCTAATACTATGTAAATTAATAGCCCGACGAGCTCGGTAGTACAGTGTTTGCATGTTCGATAGAACCCGCGAACTCTATGATAATAAAAGTAGCTAGCTTTATGGAGATATAAACCTAATACACTAGAATAGAAACAGGACCCCTAGAGAGAAGCCGCTTATTGTGACATCCTACGTATAAAGAGAAGGACTTCTAGCGAGTAGGAGTATCTAGTTTGCACTTTTACGTACTTTTCCGTACTCCACCCTTACACCAGGGGTCGTCAGAATTAAAGACGTAGTCCCAGATTTTAGCCGAAAACACACCAAAAACACCCGACTTTAATAAATTATAATAAATCGAATAATATTTCAAAGTGCCTACAATTAAGGGTATAGGCATAGACGTATAGCAACTTAAACTTGTACTCTTTAGAATTTTAATATATGTTACTATTCTATTATACTATAAGACTAGTAAATTTAGTAGGGGGAAACTTTCAACTAGAGTATCTCTTAAAATATTAGGTTTTAATAAAAGCTCTCGCGTATACACTTGATCTATATATACTAGAGAGTTAATATATAAGATATTACGTATAGTTCTAATATAATTTCGTAGAATTATAGGGTTGTAAAAACGTGGTTTTTGGTGTGTTTTCGGCGAAAATCCGGGACTGCGTCTTGAATTCTGACACCCCCTGGTGCTCATACCGTAGCATTTCCCTTAAGGACGATTTACCACGTTACCAATAGGAAAAAGGGTACTGCTCAAAAGCCGGTACTTCCGGGTTCTTGCCAATTCTAACTCGTGGTTGGTCGATCATCCATCTATGTTATAGTATGGTGTAAGCTCCTGCAGGTAGTTTCCCAGTAAATTCTTCCCGTGCCGGCCTAACTTAAGCGAGTCTTTACTTGCAATTGCCTATTATCTCAGGACTATTGTTAGCCCAATATCTGATTCCAATTGACATGAAAGAGAAGTGTACTCATAAACTCACTGCCATACCGCCTGGTAACGAACTGTGTACGTATAGTCGTACTGTACATGTGGTAGAAGAAGAAGTGGAGGGGGGAGGCTATCACCGAACGTCAATCCAAACATCTTGTACGTGTAAAACTTATTATATTCAAGGACTTTGCCTCGTCCAATGCTAATTCAACGTCAGCAGGCACCAAATTTTATACCGCTACATAAACATGTTATTTAATTACCTTTTTCCAGTAAGCAAATTGTGCTCATTGGGTACGGGCCTACTCAAAGCCCCTTGCACCCCGAACCCCGCTAGACCCTGTCATTTACCTTTAAATTCATCAAGTAACCTCTTCATATCCCCTCTATTGCAAAATCTTCTGGTATTTTTTTCCCTCACAGACTGTACACAATGAAACTGCTCTCGTTTTTCCTCTCTGCAATAGCAGTTTCAGCCGAAAGCACCGAATTCCTCCCAACTCCAAGAGATTTCTGGCCATGGACCAACAAAACGATCCCCGCACAATTAGCAACAGGAAATATAGAGGCCAACTTCGTATCCACAAAGTTTGGAATTGACGCCCCTCAACTATCTGCTGTGAACAGTACCTCGTTCGAGTTGTGGTATTTCGATGCCATCTCCGATGATTCTCTGAGCTCTGTGACGGTTATCTTCTTTGCGAGTACTGAAACTGCATTTCCGTTGCTATCATCGCCAACTATTACGACTTCTATTGTGCTCAATTACCTGTTTCCTAATGGGACGAGAGGATATCATGAATTGTACGCGGAGGAGGCGGTTGTTGAGACTGTTGGTTCCGGATCGTCTGGAAACTGGTGAGCTTATTTGGTTGGGTTATCTTATTTTGATTGCTTTTGAGAGTCGTGGATATAATCGCTTCATGATTATATGGGTTATGAAAGCCCTTCTTAATGTGTTTCTTCTCTGTCCTCTTTAATACTGTCGTTATTTAGTTGATACTTAGCATGATCATGAAACGAAATGATTCAAAAATAGAGTAGGAACTGGCATATCATGGAAAGGAAGCCCAGATCTCTCATCATATAACATCACAATCGACAACCCAACCATCGGTATCAAAGGGACAATTAATCTAATAACACAATCACCTGCACATTACCCATGCAGTCCTGATGAAGCAGACCAAACCATGATTGTAGCTCCTCATATCGGCTGGTTAAATGCTGTCCCAGATGCCGATGCAAAGGTTGACCGGGATATTAATGGAAGCAAACTTGTATTTGATGGAACTGGGTATCATGACAAGGTAAGTATTCGCATTCGATATAATGGAATGCTGTAACTAAGTCGATTCATCATAGAATTGGAGCGACCGGCCATTTAACAGCAGCATCAAATCATGGTACTGGGGCCGCGGCCGAATCGGACCCTACAAAATCGTCTGGATCGATGGTGTGCCAGTAGAAGGCGAGGAATTCTTTTCAGCCTTCGCATCAAGAGACGGCCTAATAATGGGCAGCACATGTTCATTTGCAACATTGGTAGTTAGACCTTTAGAGTCGTTGTATACACCCTCCTTAGAGACTTCTGAGCCAAAGGGCTTTTCGATAGTGATGGACTTGGGCGATGAAGGGATATTGGCAGCTAATATAACCGCTATTAGAACCTTGGTGGATGCTTCTCCGATGTATAGTAGATGGGGTGGGTGTCTGGCTGGAGCCATGAATGAAGGAGATGAGTTGGGGGGTCATGGAGTGTATGAGCAATTCATATTTGTTTAGAGGGGGGGGGGTCTTTGGAGGAGTCTTGCTGGTATAAAGTACTATCATGTACTCTAGCTCTTTTGAATATATACTAGACTTTTGGAATACTTTTCTGTAATAATTTAGCATTGGCTTTTACGTTACACGTAAGATTACAGATCTTCTCTTTTGGGCTTGGTAAATGATAAGTTACTAGCAATCGAGAAATCAAGATGGCAGCCCAGTGGATCAGATACTTCGATAATATATATTTGAGACTTAGCTTAAAATCATCTGTTACATACTTTTACATGAGATACAGCTAAAGAATAGATTTGTAGGGCATGGGCATGGGTTTTAATATAGACAAATTACCTAGACGATAATAGGCGAATGAATTAGATTAGAACGTACTAGAACAACAGCCTGAGACAAGTCAAAACAGGCGGAAAAAAAGAAATAGGTTGCCTTCCTACAATTTCATGGTAGGAGGACAATTAAGGAATATTTTACAAATTGTCATCCCGTAGTAAATTCTTTTTCTTAATTCTTAACATAATTTCGGCTACTGTACTCTCAATTTACAGCCGATGAATTACTTCAACAAAACTTTGCATCCCTCTGCACTAGAAACCACGATAGTTAGATCCTGCTTTTCCTTTCCACTTTTCATTTTTGAAATATTCGCCGGCAGTCTAATATTTGGAAAAGTTTGCAAAATACGAACAATCCCATATGAAGCTTCCGTAAGAGCAAAGTCCTCTGCAGGTCAAAGTTAGCTTATCGAAATGTCTCTCTTGGGCCAAACTCACTACCAAGACATATTCTCGGACCGCCGTGAAAAGACATGAAGCCATATCCGATGTTCTTTAGCTCTGGGCCTTCCCATCTCTCCGGTCGAAATTCATCAGCATCTTCACCATATAATACCTTAAAACGATGCATATGGTAGGGAGAAAATCCAATTCCAAGTCCTTTTCTGATGAGAACTGGTGATTTTCCATCTTGACCTCCTCCTCGAGGGATGAAAGTGGTCTTAGTTGCTTCGCGGACGTTGACTGGAATCTGGGTGTATAGTCTGTTTGCTATAGAAGTATTGTGAGTCTCAATCCATTTCAAACGGCCAAAAGGCGAGAGCTTACTTTCGTTCAATACGCATTTCAGATAGGTCAATTTGTTGATTTGAGATCTTGTCACAGGTTTTTGATGAGAAAATGTAGAATTTATCTCTTCAAGTAGACGCTGGAGGGATTCAGGGTGACGGACTAAAAGGTAGCTAAGAAATTCGTTAAACGGATGTTGATACATGAATTGTACAATAAGTGAAAACTCACAAAGCCCAAGACATCAAACACCCGGTGGTATCTCTGCCAGCGAGTAATACATTCATGAGCCGATCACGGAAAAGATGGCGGTTCTGGAGTTCATTGAATAGTTCAATGATGAACGGGTGACGTTTGATTGCTGATTCTTCTCCATTCTCCTCTCGGTCTCTCAATGCGTGTTCCACATAGTATTTCGCATATTTCTTTACTTGCGTACATGCTTTCTTGTATTTTTGAGGATTTAATAAGAAACAAAAGTTTGCCAGGCGTAGTCGCATGGCAGACACAAGCGATGTATAATCAAAATTCTCAGCGAAATCTTCATGAGCCTTTGGGTCGAGACCGGCAAAGGGCTCTCCAAAAATCAATGAAGTTGTCGTTGCAAGTGTGAAGCGAAAGAAACTGGGCTGCAAATCGATACAACCGGTGGAAGATGATAATTCAGCCAGGAGAGTATTGATAGGACCCTCAATACCTTGACATCCTGATACTAAATCCGCGCAAACTGTCTGCGAAGCAACTCTCGTGAGTGCTTCCACTACTTGTGAATGAGTAAAGTGGATTTGTAATAATAGTAAAGGTGAGCCTCAAAAGAAAGGATTGAATATCGAAATATCTGCACTTACACGATGTCCATCTTGAGTGAATCTGCCCTCTCCAATCATAGGAAATAGACCTTCACGTCGAGATCCTAGTCCCCAATCTGTGAAGCATTCCCTAAGTCAGTAATTCAACAGTACCAAGGAAAAAGTATATCTCTTGCCTTCGAAGTTTGTTGAGACAATTGCCTCGATATTTTGGGGATCTGTCGTAAAATAGCCGATCCTACCCAGCAACTTCACCTCAAAGGTTTGGCCAACTTTTGTACTGTCGAAATATTCCGCTTGAAAAGATAATATGTTTCCAGTCATAAGTGCATCATATTGCCTCTTGAAAACATCCAGGGCCAATGGCCATTTATAGGGAAGTCTTTTCGTGAGTGGCATACACCCATGTTGTTCGCCAAAGAGTATATCAAGCTTGAGTAGAGTAAACATATGTCAGAAAATTCGTAGATCATTGTGTGAATGTCAATATACCTTGTACTCTTTTTGTCTTTGAAAAAAGATATAAATGATATATGCCAGTAATATGAAGCAGAGCACCTTTGCGGTGAACAGATTATCGAGTAACATCATCGTGACGGGTGTTGTTGTGGGAAAATGTGTATGTATCTTTGAGATGAACAAATTATGGAGATATGAGTCAAATTAGCAATTCCTAGGTGAAGATTACGCTACTAGGCTCTCAGCGATCTTGTGGTGAATCTCACATTCCCCAACACGCAGTGCTTCGCTAAACGTTGGTTGGATAAGGATGCACCTCGCTAAGAGGGGTTGTTGGTGAACCAGCCTAATAGAATGACACTACAGTATGTTCACTACACTATCTAATTTTACACTCAAACATTCAGGTATCAATTGACACAAACCGTCGTACCAGTCGTCATTTTCAAAGAGCACCAAAATAAAGTAAGCCCCCCTAGAACACAGTCTACTAATATTCACTACTATTAGTTTGTACCATGCTGATTCAAGTGAGTAGGGAACTTGATAATAGCACTTCAGGTTACACTATGAATCAAAAAGGTATATCTGAAACGTTTCCAAGTTTCAAAAATGATCATTTGGTGCTTCTTTCCGCAACCTTCACGCTAGGCATACTGGTGATTCTATTGTCTCTGTATATATTTCACTGTTTACTAGTGACATCGCGTAGAACTGCTAGAGTTAAGTTACCAAGAGAACGGGATAGTTCGAATCGACAGTTGATTTATCTTTGACGGCAGTAGTAGAGCTGTAATATCTCGCTCGCGGTTTATATCTTAAGGCTATCTTTAAGTGACGAAAGTAAGAAATAAGGTAGAGACTTCGTTCTATAGAGCTAGCCCACTCAACTTTACCTATTCAAGAACACTAGCACTACCCCAACATATGTTACGGAGCTTGTTGAAACTTTCCTACAAGTATTAGAGTCTAACCCCTTAACCTTTCTTTATATACAGGCATTTCTTACAAGAGCGAACCTCCCAACATAACTTGGAGGGAGTTAGGGTCTGTAAGTAATTCGGCATGTGGAGGAAGGAAAGAGACATTATTTTACATTCCCTTCCCTCTCATATTCTGCCTAAAACCAATAAGCCACTCATTAAAAAAGCTAAACCTTACCTAGCACTCTTGAAATACCCCACCTCTTTAACGTGAAGAATAGATCTAGTTATCGAGTTCTCGTCTCGTTGTAAGAGGGTTATACCATCACTATTAATATTTATAGAATGTTATTATGTTATTAACGTTTTCTTTTCGAGAGAAAGAACAAGACCAGTGAGATGATTTTTATACTAGAAACAATTGTATTACTCAGGGAAGAGAGAATGTTATATTTAATACACCGAGATACGGAGATAATATGATAGTATGGTAGTACTTCTAAAGGAGTTTAAGGCTTAAAGAAGGAGAGGCTGGAATGTGTTTACACACACGCACACACATATGTATATATGTGTATTAGTACTTACTTAAAGATGGGACACCATTGGATTGTAGATTAGTATATGTAAGTCAGGGAGAGAAGACATAAGCGTACATTAATACAAATAAATAAAATATAAAACTAGACAATAATATTAAGAAAGAGACCAGACCAAAATATCAGTTACATATATCTTCAACTTCACATACACCTCTTACTTGATCTAGGCTAAGTAAACAAAAAAATAACCACAACAACCTAGCACTACTAGTACTACTAAACCCATGACTCTCCCCATCACTCAAATCTACTGTAGCTATAAAACCCCCCACCATCCCCACCATTAACGATGTCGGCGAAGAGTCCGAAATCCCCTCTTTCAGTGTGCGGGAGATCACCTGCATAACTCTCACGAACCTACAACAGTAAAAACAAGCAACCTACCAGCTCATACATCTCGCCTAAAAAAGCCATCTACAACCATCATTCCTCACTTTTATTCCATCGCATCGTTCTCAAGACGGGGAATTTACTGTCGAAAACGTCTTTGCCGTCGATTTGAGGATGTGTTCTTAGTGGTTGAATGGAGTTGAGAAAGGGTAGGTAGGTATGTGTAGTTTTTGAAAGGAGGGAGGGAGATGAGTTCAGGGATGGTAGTGATGGTATGATTGCTATCAGGTTATTCGTGTGCCATACAACGCCCACAGATTCATCTTGCGAAGTTGTAGATAGAACGAGAAGTGTCCTCTGTGCGCATTTTTAGAAAGGCTGTCAGACCCAGAGTTGGGTTCTTGCTCGGCTTGCTGAGAAAGGATGGTTTGCTTTAGTCAGAAAGTATAATCCTTTTCGGACGAGAATGGGATCGTGCTCTTAGGAGAGAAGGAACTCATTAAAGTGCTTTCCATATGCTATTAATCTAGCTATCTAAAAGAATAGAAGAAAAGAAGAAGAAATGTAAGGGTATCATGCCTGTCCACAAAACCCAGCCTACCGGCATAGTGGTCAAAAATCCTCTACAAGAACTCCAGAAAAGGGGATCCTACCCCAAGTATCATACTCCGTCCCATAATGTACAGCCCAATAACAACCATCTCATCTTATTATCAAACCGCTACTGACACCTCCACCTCTTCTCACAGGTACTTCTTCTCCTCTCTAATCTCAACCCTCTCAGCATACTTCCGAATATCACTAACGACATGCTCCCCAACCTCATCTCCCTTCCCGGCCGCAACCCTCAGGATGAGATCATTCAAACTCTGTCGTCCCAGGATATCGACGTGATCACCCGTATTTGGGCCACCTCTAGGACTAAATCGATCCGGCTCATGTGGCATCTCGTAAACCTTAATCTTGACACCGGCTGGATTATAGCGATGCATGTTCCATCCTTTATTACACATGTAACCAAGAGATAATAAGTTGACGGTACCATCTCCCTCGCCTAGAACGACTCCGTGGTCCACATGTCCTTGAATTAGAGCTGTGTCGATGGTGATGTTTAGCGGCGAGGAAGGTACCTCGGTACGCCGGTAGAAGTAGGAGCGTTCTGCTGGCTTGCCGATTCCTGCGTGTGTTAGTGGGGTCAAAGAAGGGGGCAATGAAGAGGAGATACCGTAAAAGCAGTAGATTTTCAGGTTAGGGGCGAGAGGAAGACGGGTTTCTAGCGGGTTTATCCATTTCCGCGGGTCTTTTTCGTTGGCGTTTACTTCTGCTGTGGTGTGTGCGACACCACTAGAATACGCTCCCTTAACCTGCTTTACATACCATGGTTCGGTGACATTGAACAGGTAGGACATACTCTCTTCCACCGTCATATTTCTCTGAGGCACAGTACCATTTTGGTATTTGAAATTCAGGAATGGACCAAAACTGAGTGCTTGACCGGGGAGATCATCTGGTGCCCATGTTGAGTTTCCCCACACTGCGTTTCCACCGATGGGAAGCATAGAGCTGATTCCTGGCATGGCTCGGAAGAGTTCTGCTCTTTCTTCTCTGCTGAGGAATTTCTCTAGTCCATAGACGGCGAATGCATTTAGTTGGGCGGTATCCTTCATTTCGCCTGATAGGACTGCTGGCAACCCTTTTGTTGCACCCAGCATACATCCAGAGATGTTGATCCAAGAATCGATATGATCGTCTACCCAACTATCACCACCATTCCCTCCCTCCTGTGCTGCCACCCAATGAAAAAAGTAAAATAATACTTGACTCCCCATAGAATGAGATATCAAAACAACCTTCTTATCCGAGACCTTCATCGCCATCTCAATATACATCTTCAACCTCGTAAAATACTGATCCCTCACTTCCAAATTCGGATAGGAAAGTCTCCAATCATAAGCCGCGGTAAAGCTATTCGTAGGATCATACCCAATCGTGGCCAAATTCTCCAAAATCTTATTCCAAATCCAATAACCCGTAATGAAAAAGTCCGCCGCATCAAATCCTTGAGCAGCTCTTAACTTGATGTCCTCCGGATCGAGTCCTGTATCCTTATCCAACATGATATGTTTCTTCCACCCCGCCTTGTCAAGAGCCAACGCCCTCATCATTGTCCAACTCCCCCATAGCCTCTTGCGAAAGTACTGCCTCGAAGAATTTGCCGTTCCCCAACTCTCCAATCCCGTCGATATAACACCCGGTACCATAATAACCGGATGCGTAGCTCTAACACCTTGCGCCAACAAATTTAATCCCACGGAAAAAGAATCGTAATTCACAGCTTCCCTCTCGCCCTTTGCTAGATCCCGCGCATCTTGCACAAAAGTTGCCGGTAGGATATCCATCAACGAATCCATACTGAGATCCCCCAACTCGGGAAACTCAATCAGATCTGATTTGCCCGCGAAGATACCTGCTACTACTATCCCAAAGAGTCCTCCTAGGGCGAAGATAAATCCTGTCCGTCGTTTTCGAGTTTTGATCTTGACTTCTTTGGGCGAATCATGGATTTTGGATACGGGCGCGAGTTTTACGTCTTCGGCTTTTGGAGGGGTAGCTTCGCGGGAAGTTTCTGAGGGCGTGGGTGTTGCGTCCCCTAGGATGCGACGGCGAAGAGACGACATGGTGAGGATTCGACGTCAGTTGTGTGAATAGAGAATTCTGGTAGAAGGAGAAAGATGAGGAGAGCGGCAGGAGAGTGGGACTAAGAGAAGGGAGCTTGGGAGGTGGTCAGGGCATTGCCTTTTTTAATATTTTTGGTTTTGTACTCGTAGGTTGTCGCTTCACCCGACTACGTAATTTCCATCTGCTTCAGAAGCATGTGTTCTACAATCCCGAGTATTTGCCGGGTCATATAAATTGCCCGATACCCGCAAGCTTCGGAGCGGAATGGATTACTCTTAATGTCCGTGACTCCTTTCTCAAACGACATTTGATATCTTGTATGGAACCCTTTCAATCGCTCTCGTGTCTTTTGATACATCATGCGTCAAGAATCTAAAGCAATGTTGCCTTCAGTCTGTTCAAATTCGTTCCATATGTATGCGACTACGCAGGACTCCTGAGGTCTCTGTTACTTCGTCCCTGAGGTTTTCGCGAGCGTTGGCACATTTTCTTTTTGATAGTTACTTAATTCTTTGCTACTTGTCTCTTGCTACATATGCTTCTTCTCTCCTGCAGCTCAATGTCGTCGCATCTGCTCTCTCAAACTCACTCGGTATCTTGTGATATTCTCACCTCTCCTTATCCTCGGCTTTCAAGCTCGAGTCGTTCGTCCTCCAAGCTGAAATACTCCAGTCTAGCGTGGTCGGATGGCTTCTCAAAGTCTTCAGACCGAGTATGTACCATACACCGCTCAGCCAAAATGGCCACTTCTCTTATTGTACATCTAGCAACAAATATCCATTCAATCCGGTCTTCTCATGGGATGTGCCGCAGGGTTGAAAACATAATCATCCAAACTGACAATACTCGGGTCCTCAAATATGAGATAGAAGTACTTGAGCGTCTCAGCCATCCAGAATGGTTCCATTCGGTCGGCTTTCGATGGGCTGAGGATCGTAACGTCATTTAAATCTACGTGTGCGATATCAGTGGTATGCTTCGTGATAGTGTTGAACATATTCCACGCTCGGTCGCGCAGCTTTGGATCGCCAGTCATGCGATAGAGAATGAAGAGAGATTGTATGGCCTCGGATCTGCTGTCGTTATTTTATGTCTATCCACTACAACCCAAGAAGGAAAATGCTCACCGAAGCATATACCTTGCGCCGTCGACTTTGGCGATGCCAGCTGCAAGTCCATGCATTTTTATTTTCTCCTCCACGGTCTCTGAACCGTTATGACTGGCATTGACAGCATCATACCATTTCTTATCCTGCCAAGTACAATTGCTCTTGTTTTCACAGGGCACCGTATGGATGATCTCAGGCATAATGTCCGGTGGCATAACCTCATTTGCCCAAAGACAGCCTTCAATCAATTGTCCACCAATTTCCAAATCTGCATCATTGCCAAAGATCTTTGCGCCTGTAGCAACCATCCCTCCAGCAAAGCATTCGAGATGCTTAGCTCGTGGTTCCGTTACAAGGTCTTCAACTGGTGTCTTACCATCAGTATCGACTTTCCCAGCAAAAAGAATATCCAAATTCTCCGTCGTCATCGGGCGATAAAAGATATTTCGTCTCATGGCCGTCATCGCATATTCGTACATCCTTCGATACTGCTGCGAGCCACCTCCAAGTAACATATACCCCTAATTCATCTATCAGTCCTACTCTTGCCCTGAGAGGAAGAAACACACATCTTCATCAACCCCTCATACACACCCCCCTCCCCGCCAACCCCAAACTCCACAGTTTCACTGCTATTGACTTTTCCTTTTGTCGCATTCCCAATAGGCCACAAACCAGGTATCTTCGTCCTATCCTGGCGGCCTTCAAGATTGTTAACAACCCTTTGTACCGCATCGAAATACTTCATATCCCCCGTCACCTGGCTTAATCTCGTGAACTCCAGTGTCACACTCGCCATTTCCGGCACGCCCACTCCCTCGCTCTCATCTTGTTTCTTCCCCTCTTTCGCACTTTGGAGGTGCAAATGGGAAACGGGGAGACGGGATGGTGTGTCGAAGGCTGTGTATAACATATCTCCTACTTCTATTGCTTTGTCAAGAAGCTCTGGGTAGAGAGAATGACTCATATCCTATAATTTAGCCTTTAGTATTATACTACTACTTAAATATCTTATAAAGAGATCTTACGTAGGCGCTGAGTAAACCGCCCAGGATGCGGGTTGTGGTTTGGAAAACATTGATTGTTTTTACCGGGCTGGTTGTGAAGTCGACTTTGGAGATTGACTTTATTGCCGTGTCAAATTCTTCTTTGAGGTCCATGAGCCAGAGGGTATCTGTTTTTAGTTTCCAATTAGCTTTTCTTCCTTCCTCCTCTCAAAAACTTCATCCCCTTCAGACTCCCCAAAAGGAGATCAATTTATTTATGAACCAAGCGAATCAATCAACCCCACTCCCCAACCCCCCTCCCCATCATTCCCCCTAGAAATCAACCCAACCCCATCACGCAACTCCGCACGACTCCCATCCCCATAAAAAGCACGACTAAAATTCCCCCTAATAACCTCCAACTTCCTCAATCTCTCTTTCTTCTCCTCCCTACTCTCCCTCGCCATTTCCTTCTGAATTCTTGGTATTCCATCTCTCGGCAAAGCCTTAGGGAGGGAAATCAGAGATTCTTTGGGGATGGGGTAGTTATGTGCAACCTCTGACCAGCGGAACTTCTCATTTTGTCTATGTTCGGAAAGGGACGTCTGGTTTGAGATGCAGAGGGCGGTTTGGAGCTCGTGATAAGCTCGTGAGCGATGGAGGGTGCGGAAGTCGTAGAGGAGACTGAGTGTGAAGGTGATGAATGTGAGGAGGAGGATGGGATGACGGGGGTGGAGGGTTGGCATTTCTCACCGGTGTAGCATTACTGTCTCCTCTCAACTAAAGAATCATCCAGAAAAATCATCAAATTGTATCAAACAGACGGTATACGGGATGTAGCATACTCTTCGTGAAAATGGGAATGGGAACGAAGACACGAAGTCCATCGCGAGATTTTTATTCATAATTTTATTTTTACTCTTACTCTCGTCATCCTTCCTCGTGGCCGAGTACCTCGTCTGTTTGATCCAGCTCGGAGGGGAGGATCTCATCTGATCTGGCTTTGGGTTGGTTCGTCTTGTACGAGTTGAGGCTGGTGCGGCGAGCGCGGGGTTGTTTGTTGGGTGGCTGAGACATATATTTTATGTCAATAATGAGACATAATACGTACATCACATACTCTGCCTTCCCCCTTCCACACAAAATCTTCCATTTCTACGTTCCTCTACACAAAAGTCTGCTATCTCAATGCTAGTGTCTCGTCTAGCATAATTCCGCACATACTCGCTGAATTTTTCCAACATCCCTTTTCTTTCTGCTCTTGTCTTTGCGGGGTTGTACGGTTTCTCTCCGCCTTACGATACAGACACGTGGAAAGTCATTCTCGGGAAAGTGGATACAGATATTGCTGACTACATAGCAGAGACCCAATTATCGATCGTTGTTGAATCTGGGATCCGCGGTGTGTGTATGGATTTTGCCTGAGAAATTTTCTTTCCTTTTTCTTCTTCTTTTGGTTTTGTTACTGGGCTTATGTGGTTGGTGGATGTCGGTGGATATCGGAATGGTATTTCGGTGTTTACTATAAAGGTATAAGAGATTTGGAATTTTCGAACTTCTATAGTTCGTTTCTTCGATCTTTTCCGAGAGATAGTAAGTTAAACTCGAGGCCGTGATATAATCGTCGAAATATATATTAATATATTATATAGGTCGTCTACGAAATCATCTACGTAGAAAACTAAGAGGCTAGTAAACCTTAAATATAGCGATCTATAAACAATTAAGGTATACTATTCTACTACTAAGAGATAAAGTAAAAGAATAAAATACGTAGAAGTTATAAGTCGACCTTAATACTTATCTAAGATAAAGTTAAATATATCTTTATATTTATATTTTATTTCTATACTTTCCTTTAAAGAAACTCGATTATAATAATTATGTAGCTAGATTCAAAGATTAAAGGATAAACGTAAAAGCAAGTATACTAGTAAATCCCTTACTTAGATCTAAAAGCTAAGATTCCTCTCCTTACCTCGCTTACCGAGAAACCCCCTCCCTTTAAAAATCTACTAAAAACCCTGGTTCAACCCTAAAAAGGAAGCAATAAGAAGTAAAACCTTTTTATTAACTCTTAATCTCTTCTCCCAACCTTCTCTCCTCAACCTATCCTCCTCTCTTCCTTTTGTGCTCGATTATCTTCTAGTCTACCTGCTGTCTCCTCTTACCTCCCCACCACCAGCTCCTTTAGAGCAATACTCATCTATCCAAAATAGCGCCCCCTATCCCAGAACACCCCGCTGTTAATATTACGGTTCCCTCGGCTCTTTGGCCGTCCCCTCTAGCGAGATTTGCCACTCAGCTCGAGGCATTTGTACTTACTAGGCTGGATACTATGCTGGCTGTCATCCAGTGCCTTGAGCGCCGAGTTGTTTGCCTCGAGATGTAGGCGAGAGCTCAAACTACAACTAGTAGGAGAGCCGGAAAGTCCAAAGTAACGTCCCGCGCTCGCAGAAGTAAGTTGCAAAACGTTGTTTCTGTCTACTTCCTAGCCATTTAAAAGTAGACCGAAAGATCGCCTCCTCGTCGGAGGACAATAAGGGAGAGGAGTATGTGGCAACGGACGAAGACTTTGGCGCTCTTCCATCTACACCTCTTAGGAAGAAGTAGAAGCGACCGGGCGAAGCCCAGGAGACAATTCGTAAGTAAAACCAATATTGTACAATGTTCTAGCTAATCGTATCAAGTCGACAGCTACACACTACACCTGACTTCAAGGAGTGGCTCGTCGTTAATACTCGCATATTAGCCTACCAGAGTACCAATAGAATCCCGAAGAACAGAGGGAAGGGTAACGGATTGGCCCTCGCCTCTTCGCGGAAGGCCAATTTAGAGTAGTCCGACGCAAACATATTCGCCTCTTCGCGATTACTTAGACGATAAGATTTTTGACGCATCAATCGTCGTTGGTAAGTTCGCCACAGCTAATTACAAGAAAAGGTAGCCAAGTGTAGGATTTAGAGGACGACATCTATGACCCCGAAGTTACACTTGTTAATACTACTCTCTAATAGGTGTCGTCGTTTGAATGTATGCGCAAAGTAACCCTTTTCTGGACGGGATATTTATATAAACGCCTATTATACAAATATAGAGAATAGCTAGTAGAAGCGTCTTCGTAAGTCTTAAATCTACAAAAAAATAGTAAACCTCTTAACACTGCCTATAAGCTCCTTACCTCGCTTACCTACTAAAAAATCTCCCCCAAAAATCTCCCTAAAACATCCACCAAAAAACCCATTTCCCCCTCTCCCTCCCCCCCCCCCCCCCCC